TTAGGCGTCGGGACAAGCCTTGCTTGCCTCGCGCTCCTCCCCCGTACCGGTTTCTTGGAAGTGTTTCGTTTCGCTCGTCGAAGAGTTCAGACGGGATGGACCATGGTTTCCGAGCCAAGAATCGGGAGAATGACGCTGCGCTACTCGACACGAAATAGTGCCGCTGTGGCTTTCTTGTCATTTCTTTCTACAAGGCACTCCCGCATGCCGCCTGCATCCCCCTGAGACCGAGAAGAGCGTGGCGTCTCACAGGCATAGGTAGGCGGTTGGGCGAAGGACAAACGCAGTAAAATGCGGGGATTTTCACCGACAGATGTCTTAGCCTTCAGGTGTCATCGTGTTGACGAGTCGAAAGGTATCTGACCAGTCGCGGAAGGGGATTCAGGGCCAGGACGATGTAAACTCGCCTCAACTGGTAAAACAGGGCAAATCCGTTTGCTTGGACTCCCATACCGACACCGGTGCGTTGTACGACCTCGTTCCCACCCCGGTCGACTCCCCTGTCACCGGTTTATGTTGTGTATCCCGACACACTATGACTTTCTTGGCTCGGGTAGCTGCAGCTCAGCTCCAGGGGTGGGAAAAGATGGGAAAAATGGGGGAAATGTGTGGGAAGAAAAATGGGGGGTGTCTCACAGGGAAAAAGGGGGGGGGGTGGGGGGAGGGGGGACACTCCGTTAGCCGTCGCGGGCACCGGGAGGGACGAGCCGGAGGGCGGCAAGTCCTCCAGGTACGTGTACGTGTATATACATGCATACCCCGATTTGGTAGCTCGTCAAAGACAAGACCCGCTGTCGCAGGGGAAAAAACCGGTTTAGGTACGAACCCCGGGTATCCAGACCAAGCATATCTGTGTGTGTGTGTTGTGCCCTTTTCACACCCGGCACTTGCAGTGCATCATTTTCAGCTGCTGAGCTGTCCATGGCGAGGAGATACGGAGATGCAGGCCTCGCCAAGCAACCAGGCGGAACAGTCAGCGCCTGCCGCTTTGGGGGCTTATTTTCCCGGCATATCTGGTGGATTTTGCTTGGACTATCCCGAGGGGTCGAGAAGTCCGTTATGGGTGATTATGCGGTGGCGTCGCAAAGCGAGGCGAGAGACGACAAGAAAAGAATGGGGGACATGGAAAAGAACGAGAAGAACCGCTGCGCTTACTGCGTGGGAGGCGTCTAAGAGCTAAGAGCCCCCGTTCGTCTACGTTGTATGTCTCGGCTTTACCCACTACCCGCTCCAGACCATGTGGTTAACGTCTAAAGCTGTGCTGTGCTGTGCTGTGCTGTGCTGTGCTGTGCTGTGCTGTCTAACCCGTGTCCTCTGTCCTCTGTTTTCCCCATCTTGCTCCTCTTTTAGCCCAATTCTTAAACTTCCAGAAAAAGCAATAATATTCGGCCCCCGGCTTATAATAGCAAATCATAATTCCCGAATAATCCCAATCCCGTACCTGTCAATAGGGGATCGTACACGAAAATCCGGGGTTTGTCCCACTCGAGATGGATAAGACAAGGCGTGGTGGAAACTCGGTGATCACGCCATATTTCTCCCATGAGCCGCATTCGCATTGTTCGACGACAGACGACCTCATCTCAGTCATTCGTACTCAAAAGAAGAGGCAGTCCCCCCCCTCCCGTTCCTAATGCTGGTAATTATGTGCCCTTAGTGTTGCATAACTCCTATTCGTGGGGACGGCTTCGAGGGGGATTTTCCGATATGGAGAAGGGCGAATGCAAATGCCTGCCCGCCCTCTATGTCATCCGCTGCGGGACGTGTACGGAGCAACTCCTGCCTCCCTCCTCTTCGTCCCCTCCCTCCACCCCCCCCCCCCAGCCGATGAGTGAGATAACCGTGAGATAACCGCCGACCGACCATGGCCCCCAACCCCAACCATCGAACACCACCCCGGCCACGCACTGTCACATTGGGTGAATCGTGCCTGATCTGCCATCGATCGTCATCGTCCTGGCCTCTCATCACAGTGATAGTCGCATCTGCCTCCGTAGCGGTCTTGGGACACGGGTCGGTGAGCCCAGCCTCAGCTATGAACAAGGTGAGACATACGTTCTCAGATCGAGAAGTGATTTCCCTCCATCGTACATCGACCATCTCCTTTCATGGCCAGGTCGCCGACTCTCTGCTGCCGGCTAAGATTATCATGCAGCAGGTGAACTCGCATTCAATGAAACCAAACCCCCCCCCCCAAGATGAAAGGTAAAACGAAGGCTTTTTCCTTGCCACCTGCTGGGAAGTCTTGGGTCGCCTTCCTCTGCTCGACACGTTACACGTACAAAAGGGAACTTTGCCCTAGCCCCTGCTACCTAACCCCGTGCGACTTCGCCGATGTCGTCGTCATCGACCGCTTCTTCATGCATCGTGAGCCGCATACAAATGTCGGACTGGACTGGGCGGCCCAAAATGAGAGGTGTGGGTGGATATAGTGTACGCCCCTCGCTGGCTTGCAGGGGGGGCTACGACGCCAAGTATCAAACCGGATCCGTAACTTGTCGAATCCCCTCGGCCTAACCAGGCATAAACGCGAGCCTGTCCTGCCAGTTCGTTCTGCATCTCCATCTCGATCGATATCGGAACACGATCCTCCACATCCCATCGACTGCTCTCAATCAGACGCACATATATTTTCTAGTGTCATATCAACTCATCACAAAAACATCAGCGCCAGGGAATCGAGGGGCCTGAGTGGGAAGCCATAGCGGCAACAAAGTCCAAGTGATGATTTCACTCCCCTCCTCTTCGCATTCACGTTCCTCGTCATCTCGGGAGCGTAGCTCGAGCGGGTTCATTGTAATTGTACATGTGTGGTCTATTTGCCGACGGGTTCTCTATGCAGTCCGATTCCGAAACCCCAGAAACAAAAATCCGGACTGAAAACCTGTTTGGTTTCCCCTGTCGCCCTTCCAAACCCCCCCCCCCCCTTCCCCCCCCCATGGGGAGCATTCGTACTGGGTTAAGCGTAGAAATTGACGGTCTGCGAAAGGTTAGCCAAGGGGCTCGGTGAGGAAGAAACAAAGGCAAGGGATCCTGGTCAAAGGGGAAGGGAAAGGAAAGGTAAAAGCAAAAGCGGTAGAAAAAGCGATGGGAAAGAGAAACGGGAAAGGGGGAAAGGAAGCGCCACTGACGTCTTTCTTCTTGGCCTGCACTTCGGCAATGGCATCGACATAGTGTTCGTGGCCAATCTTCTCCTTGCCGCCCCGTAGCGCGATCATGCCGGCCTCCACGCAGACCGCCTTGAGCATGGCACCGCCAAACTCGTCGGTACTCCGGGCCAGCTCGCCCCAGTTGACGCCCGCGTCGACGCGCATCTTCCGGGAGTGGATCTTGAGGATCTGGGCCCGCGCCTCCTCGTTGGGCAACGGGAACTCGATCTTGCGGTCGAGGCGGCCGGACCGGAGGAGGGCGGGGTCGAGCACGTCCACGCGATTGGTGGCCGCCAGCACCTTGATGCGGTCATCCGACGCGAAGCCGTCCAGCTGGTTGAGGAGCTCCAGCATGGTGCGTTGTACTTCGCGGTCACCGCTCTTCTCGCTGTCGAACCGCTTCGTGCCGACCGCGTCAAGCTCGTCGATGAAGATGATCGCCGGCGCCTTCTCCTTGGCCAGCGCGAAACAGTCCCGGACCAGCTTGGCGCCGTCGCCGATGAACATTTGCACGAGTTGAGGACCCGCAAGTTTCAGGAACGTGGCATCGGTCTGGGCCGCACAAGCTCGCGCCAGTAGTGTCTTGCCAGTACCGGGAGGTCCATACATCAGAGCGCCTAATAAGAAAAAGGAAGAGGTCAGATAAACATGTCAAAACATGCCAAAGCACCAAAGCAGCAAAGCAACAAAGAAGTCGGGCCACATACCCTTGGGCGCCTTGATGCCAATCTTCTTAAACCGCTCGGCCTCCTTCATGGGCCAAACAATAGCCTCCACAAGTTCTTCAATCTGCTTATCCAGACCACCCACATCGGTGTATTTTTCCGTGGGCTTCTCGTCCACTTCCATAGCCTTGACTCGGCTGTCGTATTCAGCGGGGAGAGTGTCAAGAATAAGGTACGAATCCTTATTAACGCCAATCAAGTCCCCAGGCTTCAAGTTGGCCGGATCCACGAGGCCGATCAAAGGAAGGAAGATGGTTTGCCGTGTGGAAGTTTTGATGACTGCCGACTTGCCTACCCGGGTAGCATCCAGGTCAATATTGGCGCCCTCCTCGGACGATTCTGCGGTCGGGTCCAGATCCAGAAGCTCAACCACGTTACCAACAAGGTACGGGAGTTGCCTGTAAAAAGACGAGGGAAAGAGAGTTAGCACTTGATATTCACCACACAGCTACAGTTAAAAAAGGTGTTGAGAGGGAGGATGATTGAGAATTATTGACAAAAGACAGCGGTGCTCACCGGTTATTGGCAATCTTATCTTTATTGTCCTTGATCTTTTCACCCATGGCAGCCTTCTCGTGCGAGAGATGCTGTAGTTCGCTTCTCATAATGCGCGAATCATTCTCTAGCAGGCGCTTGCGTGTTTGGATATCCTGAGTGGCGAGGCTGAGGATTTCCTCGTCGAGGATGTCGTCGGGCTGCGGTTCGGCATCCTTCATCTCGGCATCGCCTTCGTCGGCGTCGTTGGCGGCCGTCTTGCTATCCTTTCCCTTGTCACCTTCATCTTTCTTCTTGTCATCCTGGTCTCGGTTGTTGTTATTGTTGTTAAGGTCGTCGAGATCTTCGAGGCTCGACATGATGACGGTGTGGCGAGGCGGATGAAAAGACGAGAGAGAGCGAGGGCGGAAGAAAGTGATGGAGAGCGTCGGCGGCAGCAGGATAGATCTATGGAGCAGTAGACCCGAATAGAAAAGATGCGTTTGGCTGGGGAGGGATAGTGACGGCCGGGAGGTTGAAAGTGACAAAGTTGCTGGATGTTGGGAATGTGGTTAGAAAGGGAAGCTTTCGAGTTGTGATGCGAGGCTCGAGCTGTTGTCATGCATCCAGGCCAGCTACTGCTCTGGCGAAGTTGGGTAGGCAAGCAATGGTCGCGTAAGCAGCCTTCTCATGGCCCGTGCACCGACAAGGAGCAGCGGATAGCCCCCGATACAACATTCACTACGTTTATAGGCATACGGCGTATTTATTTACACATGTTATTCCATTATCCCTTATACGGTATATTTGCGATCCTCGCCTGTGTACGCGGTTTCGCGGGATGATGCGAGAGCAAAGCCAGGGCATGGCACGAGTTTAGTTGAAGTTTGGGAAATGAAAAAGATGTGAAGACCAAATCAGGCATATCCACATCCAAAGACCCCGTTATGGCGGGATGCAGCTTGATTACACACAATAGGATATTACAGATGCCCAGCGCCGGACTGAATGCCATTACTTCCTCCATTGCACGCACAAGAAACTCTCTAAGCTCGTCGTAGAAGTGAAGTGTCGTACCCCATGCTACTTCTCACACCACATGCTCTTTACTCGTCGTCCAGGAAATTGCTTGCTATCCGGCCGAAAATAGGAACCTCGAACCTGAAAAGTGAGGGGTCAGAAAATGTACACCCCAAAAGCACGGAGCCTGAGTCTCGGGTCTTCTTACCTGTCTAACGTATCTGCGTCTTGATATGCCCTGAAGGTCAAATACCCCATGATCACCAGATCACCGAGGAAGAAGAACCAGCTTAGGAACCTGGACCACGAGAATATGAGGTGGATGATTAAGATGGCAGTGAAGAGCAGACTTGACTGCCACGCGTGAAATCTGCCAGAGCCGTGTCAGTGGACAAGAATCTTCACATGTTTCCTTGCAAGTAGGTAGCCATAGTCAGGCAGCAAAAGCCGAGGAGGCATAAGCTCGACATACCTCACATAATCACTATTCCGCTCCATGATCAACAGGAAAATGGCGCCCAAGGGAGGAAAGGCAAGGTATGCGAGGCAGGCCTCGTAGTCGAGACGGACGCCCAGACTCGTATCGAACTCGCTCACCCCTTCCCTGTGCGCATCGGCGGAAGGGTAGGCGCCAGGGATGCTGGGCTGCCAGCTGCGCTGGGGCTGCGGATGCTGCAGCGGCGGGGGGGACGCATTCTGTTGGTAGTTGTACTGGTTGTGGTTCGCGTGGACGGAAGGCGAAAACGAACGGCGGAAGTCGGCCGAAGGGCGCGGGGAGGCCTGGGGGGAGAGGGCGCGTTCGCGCTCGGGCGGAGAGGATTGGTAGGGCGCGAAGTCCATGGCTCTTGTCGCCGCGACGTCGCTATCGAAACGGACCGAGAGACGAGTTTCTAAAGATAAATAGAACACTCCGAGGAGGCGGCCGTTGGAGGCGGATGGTTCGAGTGGGATTAATGTTTGTTACGTGGTCGAGGGATATTGCATGATCGAAGGCGTTGTGTTCTTCGGGAGGAGGAAGCGTCCAACAAGGATGGCCGTTGACTTTGAATTGGGACTCGAAGATTATGTGGATTATGTACGATAGGTTGCGTGGACTTGTGAAGGGCTGATGATGGGTGCGAGGTCAATGTTTCGCAGTCTCGGGAGATTAGGTAGGTAGAGATGGTGTCGATTGATTGATTGATTGTACATACAGAGTACGACCTGCTGGAAGTGGAAGTACGTCAGATTGTCACCGACCCTGCAGGTACCTGAGCCGGTATGTTTACGGGATAAGGTACTCCCTGCCGTGTTCTCAGCAATTACAACGTACACGTACCTTATTACTGGTACAACTGTAGTTCGAAATACCACCAAACATCACGTTTGTCATGATGTCGAGTTGCCCAGTTCCTTATGTGTATCAGTACATACTTTTTTTTCTCGAGTTTGTCCGCTGGTTGGCAGAAAGTACATATTTATTTATTTCAATGTCAATTCAAAGCCTCAATTCAACTTGAAAGTCATTTCAGAGGTTACCCCGACAAGAGCCACGACGCAACCCGTCCGCGTTACTCAGATGCTCTCATGGTCACAGGCTCGTGGTGTAGTAGCACGGAGTACAAATCAAGCAGGGGTTGACAACCTGGATGGCGCAGCGCTGTGATTATTGTGGTGTAACGAACATATACAGATGTCGCAACTTGGCAATATACTCGGGACACTGCGAAATACCATCATGGCCGTGTATATCACACACACACCCCGGCGATTGCAGAACAAGCATGCTTTCTTAGACAAAAAAATACATGTGTAATTTGTACAAAATGTCGTCCTACCAAAGTTCTACCAAGCACCCATCGTACAATGCCACAGGACCACACCCGCCAATCTATGCATCCTCCTCCTTCTTTCCCCCATCCTGCTCCTCCTCCAAAGCAATCTTCCTCCCCTCAAGCGCCAACCACAAACTCTTGCCTCCAGCCTCGAGCGTATGCGTCAATCCCAGCCCAGCGCCCTGCAGCAACCCAACAAGCTGCGCCGGCAACCCGTCCAAACCGCCCTCAATACCACCCACCCACCGGACGCCATCCACATCAAACACCCCGCCCTCCACGCGGCCGCCGACCAGGAGCAGCTTCGCCAACCCGTTCTGGCAATCCGCAGAGTAGTACCCAGGATTCTTCTTCCTCAGCAGCGGCGCGAAAGCCGACCCCTGCGGCCCCGGCGCCAGCACGCGCAGCGCAGCGGCAAGGTGCGCAGGCGACACGGCGGGGAAGACAAGCCCGGCGAGCGGTCCGACAATGAGGGGTTCGAGCTGGGCGAAGGCCGAGTCGGGGGGCACTTGCAGGGACTTCATGGCCTCGTAGGCCGCGTCGGAGAGGTCGTGGACGTGGGGCCCGCGCGAGACGGCGGCGGCGGCGGCGGCGGTCGACGAAGCTGCTGCTGCTGCCGCTGCCGCTTCACCATCGAAGAAAGACACGAGCTTGAGAGCCACGTTGAACATGCGCGTGCGGAACACGGAGAGGTAGATGTCCTCGGCGATGTCGGGCTGGCCGGCCATGCTGGCGGGCGTCGGCACGGTTTGCAGGACGGCGCGCAGTTCGCGGCGGATGGCGGCCCATTCGTTGGCCGTCAGGTTGTTGTGCTGGAAGAAGAGGATGAGCGGCGTGGAGCGGAGGAGCGACGTGTACGTCCGGATGAGCTGGGACTTGCGCGTCTCGGGGGGACGGGCGGAAGGAGGCTTGGTGGGCGGGACGTAGTCGGGGGATGGATATAGTCCGGAGAGTTTTGCCGCGGCCGCGACCGCATACTGGGGAGAGGACGTCGTCGTGAGGGAGCGAGCTGCTGTTGCTGCCGTGAAGCGGATAGCTGCTGGTAATGGGGATGAGCTTGATGTTTTCGTAAGAGGGAGGAGGGTCCTCCTTGAGGGACGCGGTATTCTGGGCGGCATCCTAGGGCACGTCAGAAGATGTTCGACCGAGGATGTTTCACAACGATCGGCTATACCTGGCAGTTATGGCAGCTCCGTTTACCTCGACCTGGAAAGGATTCGGTGTGTGGTCGTCTGGAAGAGAAGCGTGATCGAGGACGAAGTCGCCAAAAAGTTCGAGCCTGACCCACTTTTGCTGTGGTTGGGCCATGTTCCTCGTGTGGTCCGTGTGTTCCCTCCATTGACCAATGGAGGTTAAGGACTCTGGTAAGTGGGGATTCAGGTACCCAAGTACCTGACATCGCCATATCAACGCCTCCAACAAGTCAACATGAGTATCGATCTCAGTATGGGCATCGCAACCCCTTCACGATAGGTTCTCATATTTCAAACTAATATTCACTCTGATTGAAAAGTAGTACAGATTAGTGTTTCTAGTACATCTTCCATGCGGCGTATCTAACTGTCAGGGCTCTTAGGCCAAGAGCCTGCGCGTCAACCTTCCTCTCGGGCACACCTGTGACCTGTCAGCTCTGCTTCACTCACCAGACCTGGCAATCTCGCAATTCGTCCTTTGCTCATTGACTCATTGACCCCATCTTCCAGCTCTCGCTTCATAGGTCAGAGTGAAGAGAGGCTGGAAGAGAAGACACCAAGCTAATCATAGCAAAATACGTATCTCGTATTGCTTCCTATAACATATCTCAACTCGGGTTTCTAGGACCGATGAGGTAGTTAGGTACTAAGACTGTTACGACTATAGGCATGTCCCGTCCTCACTGGGCAAGGTTCATCCCGATGGATTCCTTCATCGCCGCCGGCGTTTCCTGTAACTCGGTTGATTGAGCCTGTCCTGGTATCATGGTAGAGAGCGACGGTTAACATTAATCTTCCCTATCTGGACAAAACACCGCGGACTGTGCCCTCCAGCGTCTCCTTGTTAAGAACCACTTCCTGAATATCGCCACCTATCCCATTATTCAGCCATCGCACGAGCAGGTCGTTGCTCTCCTTGGGCTTGATGCTGTCTTCTCTCGTCCCGATGGTGATGTGTGCAACGGTATTCACACAGACCCAGTTGGGATCGTGGAGCCTAACCACGATGGCCATGACACGACCGTCGAAAACAACCTGCGTCGTTTCAAGTCAGAAAAATGGGGTTGATGTGAATCAGAAGTACAGTGCGGGACGGACTACTTACCCTCTCAAGCTCGACACCGCAGGTCCCGAGCGGGGGAAGCTCCGCGGCATCAGGATTGGCGGCCTCAAGGTCTGCGTGCATCTTCAAGTACTTCTCCCAAAGTTCAGGGTGATCTTTGGCCGAGACGCGATGCATCAAGGTGACGTGGAACTTGGGCTGGACTCTTCTGGTCTGGCAGAGCTGCTTGTAGAACCGAGCCGTCGGCATACCTGCCGCGTCAAAGGCTTTGTCGAGAAGGGATCGAAGCTCATTCTCCGGTACGCCGACGGACATGTACTCGAGGGGCTTCTTCTTCTTCGGGCCCTGCGACTGTCCGTTGCCCTTTTGTTGTTTGCGGGGGCCCCGGTCTGGGATGGTGTGGGTGATTTCGGGTTTGTACTCTTCAAATGCGACCTTGATGGCGGCGTCTAGTCTCTCCGGAGGGACGTCGGCCGGCACAAGATTCGGGTAGATGCGGTGCAACTCGGTCACGACCTTTTCGAGGTTGGCCCGGCTGCTCGCGGTTGGATTGAGGGTGATGACGGCGTCAAAGCCATCGTCGGGAGGAGAGAACGGCGACAGAGGCTCAAACCGGTCGAGGAAGCCCTCCATAACACCGATAAACTTTTCCTTGTCGGTGGCGGCATGGATGGTCTGGTGGTTGTCGCCACGGGCAAGCACCCGCTCTTGGGTGACGCGACGGATCTCGTCCAGGCCGACGCTGTCGTGATCGAAGTAGAGGGCCACGAGACGCGCATCCTTATGCTGAAGCTTGACGTCTGTGAGGAGTTGTCTGCGCTCGTGCTTCTGGGCGTTGTTCCGATCCGCTACGACTGCAGGATGGTCCTTGAGGAGACTTACCACCTGTTTGGTGAACCGAGGTGGCCGACCCTTGCCAGTGATGTTGTCGTTCTGGACGTGGCCCCAGAGGAAGAGGTGGGACAGAGCCACGGCGATGGTAGTCTTGCCGCAACCAATCGTCGCGATGGGGACAAGGATGACATCTCGGGTCACATCAGCATTCGCCTCCCCGCTGGCGGCAGGTGCCTGGTGCTCGAGGTTGGCCGCGTCGGAGCCCTTCATGTTCTTAAAGGCGAGGAAGTCGTTCCGTAACTTGATGATGCCGTGGTTATTTTGGTACTCCTTGGCGAGACTCTTGTCGGCCTGCAATCGCCTCCGGGCGTAGAGCAGGTACTCCTCGGTGATCTTGACGTGCTTCTTGTACTTGGGAGGCTTTCCGGAAATCATAGCCTTGGTACACTCGCGCCACTGCCGGTACATGAGGTAGGGCTCATCGAACTTGTACTTGAAGAACCAGTCCCGGTAGGGGACCAACTCGGGGTTGTGCGACTCGCGACACCGGATCACGAAGCCCTCGACGTCACGGCCAGAATGGGCGCCAGTCTCAGCCACCTCCTCCAGGAAGGCCTTGACCTTGGTGATATCGTCCATGATGATAACACCGACCTGCTTGAATCCCCATTCGCTGGCGAAATCCTGCACAAGGGTGCTGGGATAGGTGGTAAACTGAGGGATGTTGAGGTTGATGCCGTGCAAATACAGGCCGGCCACCTCCGGACCGTAGGGAAGGATGTGCTCCTCGAAGGAGTCGTCACAGAGTTCGGCCACGGCTGTGGCGTTCCTCTTCCGCAGCTCACGAGCCAGATCTTCCTTGGTCTTGCCCAGCGGAGCGAGCTGTCTCTCTACGGCCTTCTCGCCAGCGATGGCATGGCTGACGTCGGAATCGGCGCGTTCTCCGGTGGAATGCTTGCTGCAAACGAGGAGCGTGCCGTCTTCCAAGCCGGAGATGAAGATGATGCACCCGTTCTCTTTGAGGCTGAGTTCGTAGGGACCTTGGGTCCGCGACAGGACGTTGTCCCATTTGGTTTCGTTGACCTCGTTGACGTTGAAGAACTTGTCGTAGCCCCGGACAGCAATCTCCGGCTCGTTCCGCCGATTCCTGGTGGTGAAGAGACCGCGTGCATAGGTGGGAAGATCCCTCTTCTTGTATTCAAAGTCCATGAACTTCCACGAGTCGACATGGATGCCGTCCGGCGAGTCTTTGACGGCGAAGCTAGACTTCCTGCAAGAAAACCCCTTGCGCTTGCTGCCTTTCCGGCTGCCCTCCTCAAGTTGCTGAACCAGACTGGCGACCTCTTGGGGGTCTTGTGCGACATAGGGAGTCTTGATAAGGTTCGTCTGCTGGGACGCTAGGTCCACCGGGACCGACGCCATGTTTGTTGGTGAAGTGACAAACGGTCTGAAAAGAGTGGTCGAGTAAGAGGACGGAAGACTCGAGAAAAGCGTCCTGGAAGGCGAGGTGAAGGACAAACGGAGCGAAATGCGGAAGCCCGTGATCATACAGCCGGGAATGGATGTCTTGTCCGCCTCTTTTGAGTGCCGCCCTCGACCCTATTTAAGGTGAGAATAACGAAGGAGTGGCCGGGATGTGAGGTGAAGGGAGAGTGAGATTAGTCGAATGACTCGAATGAGTCACCCCGAAGATATATTATCAGGATTAACGGCCAATGTCAAAAGGCCTCTGTTGGAAACAGGGGCAAATGTAGTATTTTTCGGGAAAATAAGAAAAAAGGATTGGAAAGAAGGTGAAAACGGCGCGACGCCTTCCCCTGAGATCAGTCACAGTTCGTTGGTCGCACCTTCGGCACTGCCTCAGGTTGGCGTTGGGCGGCTACCTGGGTAGCGCTTGCCTTTAGGCGTTGTACAGTGGGTGCACTTACAGTACGGATAGGTATTTCTACTGACCGGTACAGCTTGCTACGGTGGGCTCACAAGCCTCTGCCTAGAAGGTACCCAAATGAAGCAAGCGGTAAACAAATTTTGGCGGGGTTGATCTCCCCGCAGTGGCAGAAAATTGAAATTCCCATGAACCTCCCTGATACATCGACAAATTGACGAGCTATCTGAAGGAGTCACCGTCCCACTGAATTGGCCTCAATTATCACATCACATTACATTGCCCGTCTCACAGTCTAAGCAAAATCTTACCCGGGCCCGCCCTCTCGAGCTTGGACCATGCCACCCAACCCTTACCTCCTGGCTGCCGACAACAGCCCAGCCCTGCTCCCCCTCCTCCAGGAGAACCCAGCCTTGGCCTCCGCCCAAGACGACCACGGCTACTCTCTCGTCCATGCCGCCGCCAGTTACAACCACCTGGACCTCCTCCGCGTGCTGATTCACGAGTTCAAGGTCGACGTCAACCTCAAGGACGAAGACGGCGAGACGGCCCTGTTCGTCGTGGAAACGGTCGGGGCCGCCCGCTGCCTGGTGGAAGAGCTGAAAGCCGACGTGCAGATCCGAGGTGCCGATGGCGTGACGGCGAGGGAGAAGATAGAGGGCGAGGCCGAATTCCCGGACGTAGCTGAATATCTGGCGTCGGTGGAACGAGAGCGGTCGGGCCAGGCCAACGGGGTCTCCGCAGCCGGACCCGGGCAAACACCTGCAACTGCGACGGCGACGGCGACGGCGCCAGCAGAGCTGCCTCCCGTTCCCGAGGGGCTTAGCGTGTCAGTTGGGACGATACAACAGGCCGAGGACGTCCCGGAAGAGGTGGACCCCGAGTTCAGAAGGCGGATCGAGCAGCTCGCGGAACGAGAGGATTTCCACACACCCGAGGGACAGGCCGAGCTGAGGAAGTTGGTCGAAGATGCGCTACTGGGCCAAGATCTTGCTTCCGAGCGCAATGTCCGTCCGAGAGAAGGTTAAAAGTGTGGTCTTTTTTTTTTTTTTCCTTCTTTTCCCCCGTGCATCATGCATCCTGGCCCTTGATCTCCCACATCAGATACTGGCCCGCAGAGTTGGGCGGCCGTAAGAAGGCCACTTCTGAGCCGTCTCCCGTCATGCCTTGGGAGAAGGAAGTCGCGCTCAGCGAGAACCACGTCCGAGAAGGCAGGGTGGCGAGCACGTCGATGAGCAGCCCCCGCACCCAGTCGGCGGTGAGGAAACCCTGCCAGGTCAGCTTGCAGACCTTGGACTTTGTGGTCGGGCCTGCATCGTCGGGGACGCGGTAGCGCGATAGATAGGTATCGATGTCGTCGTTTGCTGCGACGCGAGGGCTTCCCAGGCGGACGAGGGAGAACCATTCATATAGTTCGGTGGCGAAATCTTCCAGGTCGGGACGGTTCCCGTGGGTAAGGATCTCTGAAGGGATGGTGAGAGTCGGCATCTCGACTTGAAGAGCCGGATGCAAACCGGGGTTGGAGGTGAACTTGACTGGCGCGTATTGCTGGAGAGGATCCGGGTTCGCAGCTGTGTATGGTAATGGTAAGGTCAGCTAGTCATCTCCTGGATTAGCTGGCAAGGAGAGTGGAAACGCACGAGTGGGACTCAAATCGCAAAAGAGCCATGTCAATGGCTGGTTGAGCACATTCTTGCAGGCATAGGTCAATCTGTCAAAACCCTTCTTGCCGTGAAGCATGCAGGGATCCCGCAATTGGTAGCTGACGACTGTCTCACTTGTCAGCTATGCGAACACCAACGCGAACGCGAATGCGAACGAGGCCAACTCTCCAGCGGTGACCTACTCCACCTCGGCTTGACTCCCCGGCCACCTTTGGCGCCGTGCGGCTTGCCCACCAACCCGGCCCGTTCATACGTTTCCTTGTCCAAATACATGGTGAGTAGGCCTAGGGAAGTGGTTAGACAGGTCGGAAAAAAGAAGGAAAAAAGATAAAAAGAAGAAGAATCGCCGATAACGACTTGCCTTCCCGCAAGGAGAAGACATTCTCCACCGTTTTCCGGCCCTCGGACAACATGAGAATGTTTCCTGCCATTCTAATTTAGCGGTATATTCTTTGGCTGGCTGGTCAAGGGATTCCAGATTTGACACACCTCGCTTGATGTACTCGTTGAAGAACAGGCCGTCGAGAATCTGACCCAGGGTCATGACAACCCTGTAGTATACTGGAGGGGCACGTCGTTCGACGAGCTTCTGCTTGACTAGCTCATAGCATTCATCCGGAAGCACAAGGTCAATCTTCACTTGGTGAGATTAGATAGCACAGCACAGCCAAGAGAATAGGTAGGATGACAGGACAGGGGCTAACTGACTAACCTTGTGATTGAAGCCCTGGTGAAGGATGGGATGCCATGGTTTTCCTTTGGTAGGCAATTTTCCTTGCTCAACGTGGGCCATGGATCCGTACGTTATGAAGCATTTTGATGTCTGGTAGACTGTAGGTTGGGGGAAGGAAAACATCTCAAGTGATGCGTTCTCTTCACGGGAGAAAAACGAGTCGTTGGTCGAGCAAGAAAAAGAAAAAAAGAAAAAAAAGATGATGAATGTTGGATGTACAGTGAGTGATGGTGATCCCTCGGACGCGTTGTTTGATAATGATACAGAGAGGGGTGGTCTTAGCGGCGGAGTGCCCCTCTTCAAAACGGCCCCATCCCATTATTGGCCAGTAGGAGGAAATTACAGCACGGATGGGGTGGCCTTAGAAACACTGACTAACAAGCAGCAATCCCCTCAACTGTCAAGTCTCTCACCATCACATATTCAACTCGGCTCGCTTGAAGTTGACCTGGACGTCCAGGGAATTCAGTTCTGTCAAGATGGACTGTATATTGCGATTCAGACAGGCGCACGAATCCTTTCGAATACCTGAAATTGAAGCTCTTGCTATAATTGAAGACGTAGAAGTCAAAATCTTGGAGTATCATCAAGACGTGAGTCCTTCATATGAGAGCCTCGGTCTTTTTTTCTTCTTTTTTTTTTCTTTTTTTTTCTCCCACCACCTGACACCCCCCAGTCCCCCTTTTGCCTCATCAACGTCCCATCAGCCGCCGCAGCCCGCGCCCTCATCCGCCGCTCCATCCTCTGCCAATCCATCCACGAACTCTGGGGCCACGCGCCATCAGGCCTCCTCTCCGACCTCCACGACGACGTCCGCCGCCGCGCCCTCCCCCTCTGCGCGCCCTACGCCAACGCCTCCTTCAAGTTCGCCCTAGACGCCTTCCACCACACCCGCCCCCACCCTGAACGCCTCGCCATCTTCAACTCCTTCGCCTACCTCCCCCTCGCCGGCGCCATCCTCCTCGACAACCCAGACGAGACCTTCACCGTCTTCGAAGACTGGCCCTTCCGCCCCCCCGGGACCCCGCCGGGCCCGCACCCGCTGCGCGCCTTCCTGGGCCGCCTCCTCGCCCACGGCGCCCGCGACCTGCGCCACGTCTACGACCTCAAGAAGCGCCGCTACATCAGCACCACCTCCATGGACTCCGAGCTCGCCCTCCTGACCGCCAACCTGGCCCTCGCCCGCCCGGGCGCCTTCGTCTACGACCCGTTCGTGGGTACGGGGAGCTTCCCCGTCGCGGCCGCCCACTTCGGCGCCCTCGCCTTCGGGAGCGACATCGACGGCCGCTCCATCCGCGGCGCGGGCGGCGCCCAGACCGTCAAGGGCAACTTTGCGCAGTACGGCCTCCTCGGTCGCTGCGGGGACTTCTTCGTCGCCGACCTGACCAACACGCCGTTCGTCGCGCGGCGGTGGCTGGACGCCATTCTGTGCGACCCGCCCTACGGCGTCAGGGAAGGCTTGCGGGTCCTGGGCGCCCGGAAACCGGAGAGGCCCGGCGTCGTGGCTGTTGCGTCTTCGGCCGACAAGTTCTGGCAGTCGCCCGAATACGTCCCGCCGAAGAAACCCTACAGCTTTTTGGCTATGCTGGATGACATACTCGAGTTTGCGTCCCGGGTGCTTGTCGATCGGGGCCGGATCTCCTTCTGGATGCCCACCGCCAACGATGAGGACCAGGAACTCGCCGTGCCCACGCACCCTTGTCTCGAAGTTGTGGCGGTTTGCGTGCAGCCGTTTAACAAATGTGAGTAACTGGCCTTCACTTTTTTTTCTTTCTTTTTCTTTCTTTTTCTTTTTCTTTTTCGAACCATTAACCCGTTGCCGTGTCTTCCATCTCCTAACTGGTCCGTAGGGTCCCGTAGACTCATCACATACAGCCGCGTCCCCGACGACCAAGTCGACCCGGAGAAGGTGGCGGCCTACCAGCGCACACAACACGCCGGGGGGACGGCGGACGAGTTGAACCCGTTTCGCGAAAGCTACTTCAAGGGTTTTAGGAAAGACGCGTCGGAGGGAGACACTGACGGAGGATAGACGGGCAGGCACGGCTAAAGTAAAATGCAGCTCGTACCCCCTCATAATGAAGGTTAGGGGCAATATATATTTTCAACCTCGTCAACCTCCTCCTTTCTTCCTTCACGCTACTTGTGTGGCCCAAAAGGCCACCATTCTCGCTCGGCCAAACCGCTGCTGATATCTCGGTTGTTAAAAGGGATGTGCAAAAGAATCAAAAGGAATTCGAAAAGAGAGAGAAGAAAAAGAGAAAAACCAAAGCATGCTATAATCCCGGGTCGTTTCCCTCTTCATCTCTCATGCGCTTTTTACGTTTCCATGAGCATACCCATATCCTTTAGACGTTCGTTCGGTGGTAGTTACCGAAACTCAATGGCAGGGACACACCCCCTGTCTTCGACGTGTTTGAGCTCAAGTTGCTGGAATCTGGAGGGGAAAAGAAGAAGGTCAGTTAGCATACCGTCCAGGGGCGCGCAATATGAACCATGTTGGAAAGAAACAAGGCAAAAAAAAAAAAAAAAAAAACTCACTTCTCGCTCTTGGAGTGAAAGTAGATACCGCTAACTTCCCCCTTGACCTGGTTGAAGCATATGTAATAGAACCCCTCGAAGCTCGCCCCCGTGATGGTGCGTACTCGGTGATCGGGGACGAGGAAGTGCTCTTTCCACCGCATGAAGATGTTCTCTTTTTGCGCGACATTGTTAATGAACACGGGGCCCTTGCGCACGGTTCTCAGGTACGGCTGGAAGGCGCTGAACTTGTTCCAGTGGCTGAGGTCGATCTTGTCGGAAGCGCCCCAGCTCTCGTGTTTCGTGAGGAAGCTGTACTTGGTGCCGATGATCTCGCCCTCAAAGTACGTCGTCAGGGTTGGGTGGTCCTCGGTCAATCCTGGCTGCGCTGTCAGCTTTTTTTTTTCAACCCTTTCCAAGACAAAGAGGCGGGGACGCGTCAAGACGGACCTTGGATGCGCAGGTATCCGCAGAGAAAAGATTCCCTCAAGTCGACATGCTTAATCTCCACTTGGACGTCGTACACTTGTTTCTCCGATTGCTGGGTTCCATGGAATTTGCTACCGGGTCGGAGGAACGAGGATGGCGTAGTCGGGATCACCTGTTTGAAAACGGAAACGAGTCTGTTAGTTGGTTTGTAGACATGAATTGCGAGGGATCAGATCAGCCGAGGGAGAAAATGCGCACCCTCATGCTGGGGAAGTCAGAGCCCATCGAAGGGGCCGTGTGGTACTCCTCGTCATCCACCGGGCTGGCGTTGCCAACTTCTCGGTCCCTACCGGAGCCCCCATGCTGCGACGGACCGGCAATGGATTCGCGAGAATTACCGCCGGCGTGGTCATTTAACGGTATTCGCACGCCTCCCACAGCGGGCGACCGACTATTCTCAGCCCCGTCCATCTCCTTTACGGAATCCGGCTCTGCGCTGGGGCCCGGCGTCGTACCGGCAGTGGCGGTGGATTCGGGGCCCGGTGACACAGTTGTTGATCGCGACGATATGGCGGAGGCAGGTTCATCCTCGACCATGGCGTCAGCTTCCGTATCGTTGGCAACGTTGGTATCGTTCGTATCGTTATTGCGAGAAGACGTGGAGACAGGGACAGGTACAGGGACAGGGACAGGGACTGGCAAAGTCTGTCGGGTGTCTGCGGATTCTTCCTGAACGTCGTCCTCCATATCACTTTCCCGTTGACCGTGCTCTGATGCCGGCAGCCAACCCAGAGAGGAGGATCGCGGGTCGCCGTCCTCAGGACATGATGTGCTGAGGGATGGGGGAGAAGAGGGATTATTCGTTGAAGGGGTCGGCATGGTGGTAGTTGAAGCGATGGGGCTCGGCTGGTTAGGGAAGTTCGGTCAGACGGCGAGAAGCTGAACAATCGTACTATATCGTAATTGGCGGTGGCAACGAAAACACAGGGAAGAGGGGCCGCCCGCGGAAAGAGGGAAGAATTCCCAGTACTCGAAGAAAACGGGCGACGGGTGACATAAACCGATCAAGGAGGACAACAGCAGGAAGTAGTGTGCGTGATCTGGTAGCCGGCAGGAGGCAACTGAAAGATCGTGACGAAGCTGTTAATGTTCGAGTTTTTGCTCGGTTACTGCGAAACTCGGAGCACGATGCGATATGAAAGGAGTGGTTGAAGGGCTGCAAAAGCAGAGCGCTTGGCGGTATGAATGTGGCGATGCGATCAAACGAACACAACTGGCATGGATGCGCAGTTGGAAAGGGGTGGAAGCCCTCTCAGGCGGCGGAAGACATGGAGAAGAAGATCTTCCCAACCTGGCGATGACAGCCAAGAAAATGAGGCCGCAAAACTGCAGGCTATACTAACCGTTAAGGGACGGTCAGGGTAACATAACAGGGTCGGGGTCTGCCAGCCAAAAGGAAGTGAAGGTGATGCAGTAGGAAGAATGCGGGCCTTCGGAACTTTGGGTTGAAGAAGAAAAAGAAGAAAAGAAGAACAGATGAACCCCCGAAGACGGAAGACGGAAAACGGCGTGTACACTTAAACTTGTTCCTGGGGTAGGTACCTTAGGGAATAATTATGGGGTACCTATATCTACCTTACCTACTAGTGTAATGACTGTCGAGTCACTTGGGCGGGACAGCGGGACCCTCTGGGGATCTGGAGGTCATTGGCCTGTGCGTCCTCCGCGGGTTGTTATATTTGCCACCACATGCCGGACCGTATCCACCTGGCGGGTAGCACGGAGGACCCCGGGCTGCCCCGGATACGCGATCAGAAACACACCAGAGATTCGTGCAAAGATCGAAAGGTCAGGTCCATGTCTTTCAGAATAATAGGGATGGTATCATTAGAACAGTTTCCCCTTGGCGGCGCCTCCATTTGTGAAATCAGAAGAGCAAATCACATAGGCCCGACCCGGCCTAAGGGTATGCCACGATCATAGGCAATTTTCCATGCTATGCTCCCCACCGCTTCCTGTTCTATCCAGTACAGAATACGCCTCCGTTTTTCTCCTGCCCTTTAGCACATTATAGGGTATCATCATGTCGTCATGCTGGCAAAGTCCGAACCGTCGTTGTTCAGATAGGCTTGATCTTGAAATGAAGCGCAATCAAGCTGAAGACTAATGCCTTCAAGTCTTGCACAAGATAGTAGAAGACACGCAGGCCTTCGGGATCCGCCGATTCCGTCACGTCCACCAAGGAGCCGATTTTCGCCGTCTGTCATCCAACCGGGTCAGCGCAAGTTCTCGTTCAACCCAACCAATGTAGGGACTACCGACCTCAAAGAAGATTTTCTCGTTTCCCAAGTGGATCTCGAGTTCTTGCCGTCCGTCCTTGTTCTTCTGTGGCCATTTCGAGTCGTCTTCCCTATGGAGAGTGTCAGTATTTCTTCTCGAACATGGTTTCCCGGCTCGACAGGCGTCTCGTACTTCAGGATTTCGCTGGTCCGAATAATGCGCTTGATCTCTTCGACCACCAGAGAGCTGACACACACTGTGAAGTTTTATTCGTCAGCACCTTATATGGCGGATTGGGTGGACAATGCAGGATTCGGCCGGCACTTCATACTCTCTTTGCGGATCAAGCTATCGTTTCGGTAGTTGGAGTTGTTGGCATAACGGGCGACTGCGCTGCGTCCATCTCCTACAGCTTTAAAGTCGAATTCTACGCATCGGATTAGTTAGAAAATGTGTCGCCAATTGAGGGGCGACGGGGAGTCTAACCAAGAAACTCATGACCAAATCGCCCAGAGTGACCAGAGCTGCGAGGCAAATGTTAGTGAATAGATCGAAAGCTGCATTATTCTTTTGTTTTCCCATAGACAGCCGCCCGTACTAATATCGGATGTAAAACGGTTCGTTCATGGACGACATTTTGTCAGCGTCCCAATCGTTGGACGTTGGACGTTGGAGCTGATCACTTGTCAAGTTTGGTCGGATATTCGTTCGTACTCGATATTCTTCTCGTCTGTCGCGATGCTGCAAGGCTGTCGTGGGGCAGCGAAAGAGCTGAAGAGCTTGGAGCAGCCTGCAGGGCCAAGGCCAGAGGTGGGGTCAAATCCAGTACACGTGTAAAAGGGTGGCCTCGGATGCACTGTTGATCCGACCCGGCTCAGGGGAGTCCAATCACGTGCCATCTTCGCTTACTGCCACCTGTTCGGGGAGGCAGGCCAGATGTCCAGACATACGACCCGTCTAAACACCGTTATTCAAGGGCGAGGGTGGCATCTAATTCTCACAGCTCGCGACGACTCCAAGCCTCCCACCGCACTCTTGACAAAGCGCTCAACATTCGCCGGATGGTCTAGGTTTTTTATGTACTCGACCTACTACCAGAGCTGTGTGCCCGGCAGATATAGCTCTCCGTTCTCTCATCCACCCTTTCCTCAACCCCTGCATATCTCCACCGCCTTCAACTGCGCCCTGCAGCCCATTCTCAGCCTGCAAAGTTATCCTTTCCACCAACATCGACCGATATAGCAACCCGATTGTACAACCCTTGCTGACGCGCCGGCATCTGCCCGCACCACCGTCGTCGCCATGTCCTTCCTCGAGAATGCCTACAGCTTAGTCCACCAGGACAATGCCGCCGACGTTCCCAGCATGTCCGAGCTCCGGACACAGCTCGAAAAGGGCACCGACGAGAGCAAAGTCGAAACAATGAAGCGGATCCTCACCGTCATGCTCAATGGTGACCCAATGCCGCAATTGCTCATGCACATCATCCGATTCGTCATGCCTTCCAAGCACAAGCCTCTCAAGAAGATGCTCTACTTCTACTACGAGATTTGTCCCAAGCTCGATTCCACCGGCAAGCTGAAGCAGGAGATGATTCTGGTTTGGTTAGTTTTGTGCTCTCCGACTTTGTCCACTTTCCTCGCTAGGTGCCTTGCTATTCGGAGCTGACTTTTTTTTTTTCTTTTTCCTTTTTCTTCTTTGCCTCTAGCAACGGCATCAGGAACGATCTTCAGCATCCGAACGAGTACATCCGCGGCAATACCCTCCGCTTCCTTTGCAAACTCCGCGAGCCCGAACTCATTGAGCCCCTCCTGTCTTCTGCAAGGCAATGTCTCGAGCACCGTCACGCCTATGTCCGGAAGAATGCCGTCTTCGCCGTCTCGTCCATCTACCAACACTCTCCTTCCCTTATCCCTGATGCCTCCGACCTCATCAGCACCTTCCTCGACGCCGAATCCGACGCCACATGCAAGCGGAATGCCTTCGCCGCCCTCGCCGCCATTGACCATGACAGGGCTTTGCTACACCTCAGCTCGGTGTTCGAGGGGATCCCCAATGCCGAGGAGCTTCTGCAGCTTGTCGAGCTGGAGTTCATTCGCAAGGATGCTGTGAAGAACTCCCAGAATAAGGTGAGACGACTAAAGCGAAGATTAGTGTCGCTTTCTTTTTTTTTCTTTTTTTTCTTTTTTTTTCTTTTCTCTTTCTGACTCGTTGCTGCAGGCCCGGTACCTCCGCCTTATTTTCGATCTTCTCGAAGCGAGCACGTCGACTGTTGTATACGAGGCCGCCTCGTCTCTGACAGCCCTCACCAATAACCCCGTCGCCGTCAAGGCCGCTGCAGCCAAGTTTATCGAGCTTAGCATCAAGGAGGCCGACAACAACGTCAAGCTCATCGTTCTCAACCGTGTCGATCAGCTGCGCAGGAAGAATCCAGGTGTCCTGGATGACCTGGCCATGGAGATTCTGCGTGTTCTGTCCAGCCCTGATATCGATGTTCGGAGGAAAGCGCTCGACATTGCTCTCGACATGGTGTCCAGCAAAAACGTCGAAGAAGTCGTGCTGCTTCTCAAGAAAGAGCTGTCCAAGACCGTCGACCAGGAATACGAGAAGAGCACCGAGTACCGCCAGCTTCTGATCCACGCCATTCACCAATGCGCCATCAAGTTCTCCGAGGTGGCGTCCAGCGTGGTCGAGCTGCTCATGGACTTTGTGTCCGATTTCAACAGGGCGTCTGCCGTCGATGTTATCAACTTCGTCAAGGAAGTCGTCGAGAAGTTCCCGCAGCTGCGCAAGCCCATGGTGCAGAGGCTGGTGGCCACATTGGGCGAAGTCCGGGCTGGTAAGGTGTACCGAGGCATCATGTGGATCATTGGCGAATACTCCCTCGACGAGGACGACGTCCGGGAGGCGTGGAAGAGGATACGCGCTAGTCTCGGCGAAATCCCCATTCTCGCATCGGAACAGCGGTTGCTGGACAGCGCCGACGAAGGCGACGAGGACAAGGAGCAGCTCAACGGGCATCATCCCAAGCCGGCGGCGCCTTCTGGCTCTCGGAAGGTCCTCGCAGACGGTACCTACGCCACCGAGACGGCCCTCACGAGCGAGTCTTCGGCGGCCGCCAAGCTGGAAGCCGTCAAGTCGGCGCAGAAGCCGCCTCTGCGTCAGCTCATCCTCGACGGCGACTACTACCTCGCGACCGTACTGGCCGCCGCCTTGGTCAAGCTCGTCATGCGGCACTCGGACATGTCGACCGACGAGGCTCGCACCAACGCCCTCCGGGGAGAGGCCATGCTCATCATGATCTCCATCGTGCGCGTGGGCCAGTCCCAGTTCGTCAAGGCGCCCATCGACGAGGACTCGGTCGACCGGATCATGTCGTGCGTGCGGTCCCTGGCCGAGTTCACGCAGCACAAGCAGCTCGAGACGGTCTTCCTCGACGACACGCGCAAGGCGTTCCGCGCCATGGTGCAGGCGGAGGAGAAGAAGCGGGCGGCGAAGGAGGCGGTCGAGAAGGCCAAGACGGCCATCCAGGTCGACGACGTGGTGCAGATCCGCCAGCTGTCCAAGAAGAACGCCACGGACGGCGTCGACGAGCTCAACCACGACCTGGAGCGGGCGACGGGCGCCGAGGGCACGGCCGAGGACCTCAGCTCCAAGCTGAATCGGGTGGTGCAGCTGACGGGTTTCTCGGACCCCGTCTACGCCGAGGCCTACGTCACCGTGCACCAGTTCGACATTGTGCTCGACGTGCTGCTGGTCAACCAGACGACCGAGACGCTGCAGAACCTGTCGGTGGAGTTTGCTACGCTGGGCGACCTCAAGGTGGTGGAGCGGCCGACGACGCAGAACCTGGGCCCGCACGACTTCCACAACGTGCAGTGCACCATTAAAGTGTCCTCGACCGACACGGGCGTCATCTTCGGGAATGTGGTGTACGACGGCGCGCACTCGACCGACACCACCGTCGTCATTCTGAATGACGTCCACGTCGACATTATGGACTACATCCAGCCGGCGACGTGCACGGAGACGCAGTTCCGCACCATGTGGACCGAGTTTGAGTGGGAGAACAAGGTCAACATCAACTCCAAGGCCAGGTCGCTGCGGGAGTTCCTGGAGCAGCTCATGGCCGCCACCAACATGAACTGCTTGACGCCGGAAGCGAGCATGAAGGGGGACTGTCAGTTCTTGAGCGCCAACCTCTATGCCCGGAGCGTGTTTGGTATGTTCTTTTTTGTCTTTCCTCTTTTTTTTTTGGTTTTTTTTTGGTTTTTTTTTTTTTTGGTTTCTTTAACTGACTTGAACACAACAGGCGAGGACGCACTCGCGAATCTGAGCATCGAAAAGGAGGGCGAAGACGGCCCCATCACCGGCTTCGTGAGAATAAGGAGCCGCTCCCAGGGTCTGGCGCTCAGCCTCGGGTCTCTCAAGGGTATCAACAAGATCGGCGTCTCGGCGTAGAAGGAGGTATCATCGCCGTTGGGGAGGAGGATCTTGGCCAGATGACAACCACAACGCCCGTTCTTCCTTTTTCTTCTTCTTTCTTCTTTCTTCCTTTTGTTACTCCTTGCAGTATGTTAGTACGCTTAATGAATATGTCCTGCAACAAAAGTATACGGGAGAGGGGAAGGCGTCGCGTGGCCTTTTTCGGAAGAAGCGGTATGGTAGCCTGCGGACGATCTTCCGGTGAGAAGCAAGATGGATCTTGGCGAAGAAAAAGAAAAATGGCGAGACGAGTAGCATGGCATGGGGCAACGTGAAGGGTGCTGATGAGGATGATCCGTTTGGCAGGTGGGTTTGCTGCGAGGTTAGAGTAAGAAAAAAAAGGAACAGAGAGTCGTTGAGACTGTGGGTGTCAGCGTCTATCGGAAGAGTAGAGATGATTACGTGGGAATTTCCCATGAGGATCTGATTTGTTTCTTCCCGTCGTTCGTCCACGGAGCTATAAGCGGGCGGCACGATGTCTCTTATTTTCGAAGGGCGGGAAAAGCCTCAAGAGGAAGTGATCGCGGTGTTGCTGGGCGTACTTCCACACGAACAAACTCGAGTCCCGTGTCTATCGAACCAGGCGACCTTGTCCAGGGTCCTAGACCTCGGGATTATTATATTTATTTGTATCTGGTAGCTGTAGCCGGATACATGATGGAGGTCGTGATCGAGTGAGATATATGCACATTCCGTCTCTCATGACGCTGCCAATTCCCCTTTGCCCGCCTGACGAACTTGTGCTTCTCATCCGACAGACAATCACCGAAGGGAAAAGGGGTCTGGGAATAAAACAAGAAGAACAAAACGCTAAATATTATTATAGGCCCCGATATCATGGTGGATTGCTTCCCGTCCCGATCACCCACAGGGCATTATCCCGTCTAGAGATGCACGAACAGGAAGAGAAGTATGGGGTCGGGTCGGGGGAGACAACGAGAACAATGACACGTCCGGGTCGTAATGGGTGGAGGGAACGCTTCGCCAAAACGCCGGGAATAATTAACAAGCAAGAAGAAACGGAAAGCGGTTCGTGAACAAGACGGGGTATTCGCACCCAAAAGAAACGACAAAGACCCCAAAAAAAAAAAAACCCGCCAATATCGGCAAGCCAGCATGGCGAGGAAACAGGGGCGATGGGGAGAAGAATGCGTCAGAAGGACGCCCCGCCTAATGAATGCGCAAAGTTGCCGAAGCGCCCTTTGGTCATCCTCAGGAAGAGGTCTCTTGGGGGGTCACCGCGACGGACTTCGGGTCGGCGCGCAGACGGAAATGAGATAATATCGAAAGCAACTGATGGTGACGGCTCCCGAGCTCGACCGAGAAAGTGGCGCGGACGAGGCAGCGAGGCACCTCTAACGGTCGAGTACCAAGGCATTTACAATGTGGCCTTCTACCCAGCCCTGGGCGTCGAGCGGCAGGTTCTCATTGAGGATCTTGCCCATGTAGGCGATACGGACCTTTCTGGAAGCGGGAAGCTGGTGCCAAGTCATGTCAGTGGACGGAGGGGGGGGGGATAGACAAATCAATGAATGGACAATGTCGAAAAGAATTGGGACAACATACCCTAGCTCTTTCGTGGACTCTCCAAGCCAGAGTCCGAATAGATTCCGTCTTCTCCACTGAAACAACAATGTCCCGGCCGGTCTCGCTTAACCGTGCGCGAACGGAGACCAAATCTTGCGTCTGCACAACGGCCTTGCCCTTCTCTTCTCGTCGTTTTGCGGCCTCATTCTCATCGAGATTGTCGCTGTCGTCGTCGTCATCGTCGTCGTCGTCGTCGTCGCCGTCGTCATCGTCATCGTCATCATCATCGCCACCGGTCAAGTCGCCTTTGGCGTCTTCGTCGTCTGCTCTCTCGCGGGACCTCCGGTGTCCTTCCGTCCCGCCGCCCTCGGTGTCATCATCTTCGGCCAGGTTCTCGGGATCGGCGACCACCCATTCCGGGAGCGGGTAGTAGTTCCCCAGGATATCGTATACGCCCTGCGCAAGGTTACCGGTGGGTAGGGTGACGTCCGCGGCGCCGAGGATGCTCTGGGCGGTGGCGAGTCCGTCCCTGCCGTCGTCGGCGGCGTCCTGGCCGGCGGAATCCCAGAGGACCTGGAGGGCGGCGTGGATGGCCTGCCAGATCTCGGGACGGGCGGTCACGCGGGTGTCGAAGAAGTCGGCGCGCTCGCGGTCGATGGCGGCGCGGGTCCAAGTGCGGTCGGTCGAGGTCCACGCGTGGCGGCGGAGGGGTTTGTTGATGTGCTGGCCGAGGGGTTGGTTCTCGCGGCGCGATCGTCGGCGGGACTGGACGGGGAGCAGGGTCGAGGCGCTGGTGGTGGAGAAGGTGTGGCCGGGGCGGTCGCGGTCACGGTCGCGGTCACGGTCGCGGTCGGCGAGCCGGGCGGTGGGCTGAGGCGTGGGTGAAGGTTGGGCGGACGAGTTGGGGCCAGGGGCCGGTGCGGCATCTGGGTCGGGGTGAACTGGGGCCAGGGAGCCGCCGGGTGAGGGAGGGTTGGGACCCTCGGGACGGGACCAACAGCAACCCTGAATAGGAGGTTAGATTATGATTGTGGAGGGGGCCATGTCTTGCGAGGCGTACGAGGCGCAGTAGAGCGAGCCAAGCATTGGCAAGGTATCGAACAAGTGAAGAGAAATACATGTAGCTATCCGTTGGGCAAGGACCGGAGAGAGTTGTCTTGGATCGGGGGCAGACAAATACCAAGACGGAAGGAAGAGGAAGGAGCTTGAAGGGAGGGGTGGGCGAAGGGCAAGGCACGTTGCATACCATTGTGTGAGATGATGCTTGCTGGCTGGCAGAGCTGCCGCTGACTATCCTCCGAGGACTCGTTATGTTTCGGATCGAACTCCCGCAGTGTCTTAACGGCACAAACAAAGATGGCGAATGGATTTGAAGTAGCGAATGCAAGGTCCCATGCCCATATCCGATAGCCTACCAAATAATGTGGAGAGCTACTGGGAAGAGCTGCTGGAGGGGGTTGGAGGTTTGTTTGGTAGGTCGGAAGCAGGGGTTGATGGGAGTTCAAATCAAGCCGATCCGAGTCCAAGAGTTGTCCGAATACATGGTAGAAGATAATAGAGCGGCCTAGAGTCAACTGGAGCTGGGCTGGACGCTGGACGCTGGACGGTGGTGGCAGGTGGAGTGGAGGTGGAAGGGGGAAAAGCAAAAGGTTGGCGATTGACGGTTGACGGTTGACGGTTGACGGTTGACGTTTGCATCTGGAAAGCGAGTTGAGCAAGTCAAGGTCTCCACTTTCTCGGTCTGGCCGATATACCTTAAGGTAAGGGTGAACCTAAAACTGGAGCTTTTTGACCAATGAGAATGCGTTTGAATCCAGCTCATGTCCAAGGTACCAGATCCTAGGACATTCATTGGCTCAAAATGATGGCCTTATGTAAGGTAACTTAAGGCACTGGGCACAGATAAGGTACCCTTACGGATAGGAATGATAAGATAAGGCAATGTTAGGTTTCTCTCCCGAGTTAAGGTAGGCTAAGGCTAGAAAGACAAGCCTGTCCCAGCAAACCGTCAACGGGTTGCCAAGGCTAAATGGCAAACTCGAATAGACTACCAGAGGTAGCCCCGGCAGTTCTTGCTCCCACAAAAACACTTGGTCATGTGCTGCTTCTTCTCCTCCTGGTCCACCCCATCGTCCTCGTCCTGGTGCACGCCACTCACGTAGTCGAAGGTGAGCTCCTCGCCGCGGGGGATGTCCCGGATGGCGAACATGGCGATGTCGTGGATGTGCTTGTCGGCGTGGTCGCCGACGCGGGCAAAGGTGCGCAGGTTGGGGCCGCACGAGTGGTTGATGAAGCGCGTGGGGCCCGACATGAACTCGCCGTCCACCTCGAGCGGGTCGCCGCGCAGCCGCGTGTCGGGCGAGGCCTCGTCGGTGAACTTGTCCAGCGCGAACATGTACACGTCTTTGCGCGCGGCCACCTCGGCTTCGTCGCGCCGGCGCTGCGCCTCCCTGGGCGTGATGATTTCGCCGACGTATTTGTCCACGAACTGGCCCTTTTTGATGTCCACGGGGGAGCGGACGCCTTTTGTGCTCTTGTCAGTCGTCTTTCCTGCCGTAGAGTTCTTCGCTGTGTATAGAAACAACCCAGGAGGAAAGGGAACAAATAAAGGGGGGGGGGGGGGCAAGGAGACGCATCGACTCACCCCAACCCGTCTTTTGCGTACGGAAAATCTGCAGCGGCACTTTCCGACCGCGGTCGACCACTCGATTCGGGCACGCCTCGGAGCACGCACACCCATCGTGGCACTCATAAATAGGCTGTCTCGAGTCGAGGAACTTGCTCCTCAGCAAGCCGGCCTTGTGGCCGTGCATGTGGTAGCGGTACACCTTCTTGCGGCCTCCCTCCACATCGTCCAAGCCAGCGCCGCCGTCCTCCGCGGCCTCTTCTTGCTCTTGCAGGCACAGGCAGTGGCCGTACTGGCAGTCCTCGTCGTCGGCGCAGTCGCAGCCGGAGCGGAAACTATGCTCGGCGGCCTCGACGCCTTCGCCGAGGACGGAGTGGTACAGGAAGCGGAAGTTGGACGGGAGGGTCGCGTCGTCCTCGTCATTGACGATGGTGATGGGGTATTGCTGGTGCGTGGGGAACGCGCGGATCTGGCACCAGTGGCAGTTGGATTTTTCTTCGGTTACGCCCTGGAATAAGGGAAGACGACTGTCAGCTACGATGGGGTAGGGACGAGGAAAAGGGTTAAAGATGCGGCACCACAGGCACTACATACGGGAGTCTGCTCTTCCGTGTTTCCATGGTAAAAGAAGTGTCGCCTTGTAACGTTCTCCATGGTGAAGTAGGGGTGGTAGGGCTGGAAGGAGTAAGCGCCGCTAAGGGTAGCTAAAGATGGACGAGTGGGATGAAAAATGAAGCAGCATGGTGTCGCGGTCTTCGAAAGGTCCCAGAGACGTGGGATGGGAAGGCAGTTCGCACAATAAGAGCCTAACTGGAGAGAGGTAGAGCCCCACTGCAGGCATCTAGCATGCGTTGGTAGGCTGCCAGCCAAAACGCATACAATTCTGGCGAGAGCAGGAGAAGAGGTGGTGTTGAAGGCTTACTGCAAACTCGGCCATCTTGAAGTTGTATTGTGACTGGTGACTGGTGACTGGTGTCGCGCTCCGAGACGCGCCAAGCTGTAGCTGACTCAGCAGGTCGCCCGGTGTGGTGTTCTCTGTTCTCGGAAACATGTGAAGTACCTAGGTACCCAAGGCAACGTAACCGTAACCGTACCCACCCCCGCAACCCCCCATATTGACGACCGAGACCTCACGGTCCCACCGTTTCCTCCGAGGGTCGTCCTCGGTAACCGACAGAGCCGGGGGTCGTCTTAACAAGGTCAGCTCATCCCACCATCAAACAACCGGTAGACAAACATGGAGGGGCTAATAATTCACTCCATATTCAGCAAGGTCGAAACGCAGTTTGGGGAGATTTCGAGAATCGAGAATCAGTGGCGGCAACACCACACCATCCCATCCACAGGGTCATAGTCATACGATATCTGAATGGAAGCAAAATGAATGAGAGCGCTCGAGACGTTGGACAACACAGAAAGAAAAAGCCAGAGCTACATTCTCCCTACAGCGTGCTCTGTGGTCACCCCACACATGCAGCAGCCCTTTCAACTCCGGGGTAAAACGAAGAGAGGTGGGGACATTGGGTCAGGGTCACAGGTAACAAAAGGTGTCGGTACGTTCTGAGATTCCTTCGGGTAGATTCCTCTTTTCCCCATTGGACGACAAGAGCACTTCTTCCCCGCATGGCGCCATGACCATGCGCTTTCACCCGCTTCCTCATACCACAATCGTCCACTTCACCCACTTCACCCACACTTTACATAAAACTGTTTGGGCACCGTTGTTGGCGGCGGGCAATAGCCGAAAACCCGATCCATCTCTTTGCTCCATTCCGGGCGGCCGGGCTGACAGGGGGGGCCGTTTAAAAGAAAGGGGGAAGCCAAACCCAACGCCATGGAAGTTCGTGTCGGAGCTTTGGCATTCCTACACAAATATCCTGTACGGATTGGGTAGTATCATAGTATCATAGAGGTACCTAGGCCGAAATACCGAAATACCTACCAACGCGTCCTTGCTTCATATCCCGAACCCCTCAACCCATCAGCCATCTTCGGAGCATTGTCGTCTACGACTATCCCTACCCACGGCTTGGGGATACGATCATACGAAGCGTTACCTACCTCTACGAAGAACACACACGATGTCCAAACCAGCGCATACACGGTTCCAGCGGACCCTCTCCAGCACAATGCCGAGGGAGGCAACCAGGCCGTTCTCCACGCAAGCTCGGGTGCACCCGACATTCCTCCCATATCTTCACACACGAGGCCGGCTAGCAGCAAGATGGTGAGTCTTTCCTGTCCTTCACGGCAGCCCTCGTTTTACCCTGCCCCCTCCTTCTTCACAGCCGTTTGTGCTGCGGCCTGTCAATGTTTCCCCTCTTTCCCAACACCAAGACTGACCCTTTGACGCCTCCCTGCGAACAGGGTCCCATCCACCATCGCCTTCATTGCTGCCGCCTACGCCGTCAACCACTACATCCAACTCGAAGCGGCTTCGCGACGCGCCGCCGAGAACGACGAGCGCCAAGCCCGGGAGAGCCGCGCGCTCACCATCGAACTCCTGGACGCGTATGGCGACGGGTCGAGCTTGGAGGCGCTGGAGAAGGCTGTCGAGGTGTACGAAGCCAGGACGGCTGCGTCTGGTTCGGGGAGAAGCTCGTCTGGCTAGCCGCCTGGGCCGGAGTTGACTGCCCGCCGTTGTCATCACCCGCCCACTCTACTTTGTTCTCCGCGTCTTCTTGCCGCCGCGTCGGTCTCTCTCTCTCTCTCTCTCTCTTGCTTTGTTTCCTTCTTTCTTTACTACATCCTTTCCTTTGTATGGGAAGTGTCGGTTTTCGGGCAGAGCAAGCATGACAAGCGGCGTTTCTGGTTTCTTCTCCTTTTTCTCTTCTTTTCTTCCCCCTTTATTTTTTCTTTTCTGTTTCTTCATGGGACCCTTGTTTGAGATCGTCTTGGCGTCAACTATTCATGGCGGGACAAACCCTGCGAAGCCTATCACGTTGATTGGGCGACTGATTGACGGGGTCTTACACGTACTGGAGAGACGTCTTGGGTGCAGAGCCCTTTCTGGCTACAATTATAGAGCCAGTGGGGATGAGATGAACTGGGCGAAGAGCACTTGGTACGGCTCGGGGAATGAAGTGTTTGGGAACGAAGAAGGATCCCTACCTTACGTACCTTATTCGATTACCCCTTTGTCTCAGGGGTAGATAAGAGAGATAACACGACCCCAATAAAAGATGAAGTAAAAGACCATCTCCTGATAATTCCCAGTGCACGGAGGAGGAAGCCCCATAGTATAAGCTCATATGGAATGATGTCACTGGGAATATGGATGACGTGTGAACTGTGAATGGAGCTAATTTAAGCAATCTGTAACTGGACTCTTCGAGACGACACGGAGATTCTAGAACGATAAGTTTAGAAGTTCAACACACGTAGATGTCGTGGCAGTATAAAATTCTGTCTCGGGCCTCGGCAGGGCCAGTGACTACAGCCGTAACACTGGGGCGTTGAGCGTGGCTGTGAGACGGTAAGACGGTGAGAGTCGAGAGTGGAGTCAGTGACGTGCGTTTAATGAATGCGATGCCGATTCACCGTACTCGGTGCAGGGTCTCGGTGTCTGTGTCGATGTTATCTTTGGTACATCTTTTGGTACGAACTAAGGTACGAAGTGCGAAACGAAGTACGTGTACGAGACTGGCGATAGCAGAGCTAAGGTACACGTACCTTACCTTAAGGAGGACGAATGACGAACGACGAAGGACGAATGACCAATGACGAAGGACGAACGACGAATGACTGCTTGATTGCGCGGCCTTGGCCGGGGTGACATACGCCAAGCCAACCAATATGCCGCGCTTCCAGAAGTCCTACGAAGTACTCGGGCATGTCCGCCTCATGGTCCATGGCAGGTCACACGGATAAAGAACAATAAGGTAAGAGGGAAGTAGAAGTTGGGAAACAAAAACGATGTCGTCAGTCTGCCTTTTCCTTTCTCTTTCGACTTGTATTAAGATATCGCAACTGACGCAGTGACGCTAGCCAACGAACGAAGAGATAAACCATCAACTACTTAAACCCTCTCTCGCCGTCCTACTCTCTCATCCTTGAAACTCTTCATGATCATACAAAATCAAAACCCCTAATCAATCATCTCTCACTGCAAAAAAGAAGAGAGAGCAAAGAAAAAAACTCAGGTCGAACCTCAAAACAGACAACCGTTATCCACCGAGAAAGTAGGCCAGAAACACGCCCTACGGAACCTAGTGCACACACACCCCTGGCAAACAAACAACAAGAACAAGAACAAAGACAAACAAAAACCCACACAACAAAGCAAACATGTGCTTCGGTGGTTCTCGACGTACAGTTCACCACACCGGCGGAGGTATGGGACCCCGCCCGGCCATGATGGGACCCTCGCACGGCGGCGGACGGATGGGAGGAGGCGGAGGCATGATGGGCGGTCTAATGGGCGGTCGTCGACGAATGGGCGGCGGCGGCGGTATGGGTATGGGAGGTATGGGAGGCGGTAGGCGTATGGGCGGAGGGTACGGAGGTCGGAGGTGCTAATTACTGCGACTGCGACTGCGACTGCGAGACTTGTTTTCCACTCGTCAGCAGGCCTGACGAACCAACATGTGTTTTCCGAGTTGACGACGGCAGCGATACGACACCCCTTTTCGCTATAGATGAGATGATTATGGATGGAATCATGCAGAATGGTCGGAATAGCGTTGTTCTTTACGTGTATTTTATTTCGTTTCAAGCTACCCATATACGCACTCTTGTTATTTTGCACCTCCATTGTGTAACTCCGGAGCCAAGTCGAAAATTCCTCCGAGAGTCCGCTGGTCTTCATTCTCACGTGCACGTCTCAGACATGCATGATGCTTCGAATATAAAACCCCATTGTCTCCCTGCCTCCATCATATCCCCTTTGATCTTTGACCGAGACGTCGCTGAATCCAACCAGCCGGAAGGATGCATTAAATTATTAGCGTATTGGTATCTCACATCAGCAATCTTAGGGAACCAGACTCAACCCCTGCAACGTCGAAGCTCAGCGTTACACTGATATCGCCGTTATCCATCCTGTTATACCACATGGATTCTTAAACGACGTATTTAAAGGCCCCTTATCAAACGTACATCTGCCGGTGCCCGGGAGGTAAAGAAAGAAAAAGAATAAGAAGAAAAAAAGAAAAGAAAAAAAAGAAGAAAAAGAAGAAGAAAAAAAAGGAAATTGTGGGTGTCTTCACCATGGACCAACCCATCCTCATCGCCTCCTTCTCCCGCTTCGGCGCCGACCTACCCTTCTCCTGCACCCTGGCTGCCGCCGCCGGCGTCCTCTCCCACGTGCTGTACTTCATCCGCGGCGAAAGGGTCTACGAAACCACCCGCATCATCCTCCTCCACGCCCTCGCCCTCGTCCTCCTCTTCGTCAAGGCCGTCGCCTCGCTCGGTCTAGTTCCGGGTCTCGTCGCCGCCGCCGCCGTCTCCTCGACCTATTTCGTCGCCCTGTTCGCCAGCATCGGCGTCTACCGGCTCTACTTCCACCCGCTGCGCCGCTTTCCCGGTGCTACTCCTTTCCGCCTGACGAGGGCGTACGGGATCTGGTTGAACCGCGATGATACCTTGCATTTGAAGTTCTTGGACATGCATCGTCAGTATGGCGACTTTGTCCGTATGGGTGTGTTTTGTCTTTTCTCGTTTCCCTTCATGCTGCGTCCCCGTCGTCCTGACAGTTGAGCAAAAAAATCTGCATGTGCCCTGCAAGGCCCCAATCAAATCTCCATCGTGAATCTCGACGTTTTCAACAAGATCCACGGCCCACAGACCAGGTGCTCCAAGAAGCACGCTGGCACGTACGACATCAATCGCTTTCGCGGGGAGTACAACCTGGACACCCTCACCGACAACGCCTTGCATCGAGACCGACGCAAGGTCTGGGACCAAGCCCTGAACACCAAATGTGCGTCGGGGGGGAACCAAACCCCCTCCCCCCCCCTTCCCCGGGTCTTCTTTAAACCCATCCGAAAAGAATCCCCCGCCAGACGAAACTTGAAAGGACGCCGCGCTAACCTGGGGGTCCATCTCCAAACAGCCCTCGAAGGCTACGAAAGCACAACCCGCGCCGTCATCCACGACTGGCTCGGCCGCCTCGACGAGGTCCAGGGCCTCCCCATCGACACCTCGCTCTACGCCAAGCTCATCCCCTTCGACAACATGGGCCGTGTTGGTTTCTCCACCGACTTCGCCACCGTCAAGGAGGGTCGCGAGGACCGCATGCTGAGGATGATTGAGATTAGCTTCGACGTCGTGGCCCGGATGGGCCTGGTGCCCTGGCCTCTCGCCTTCTCGCAGGATCTGCCCCGTATGGGTCTGCAGAAGGAGTTTGAGGAGCTTGCTGTACGCATGACCGATATGAGGATTCAGGTGAGTCTCCTCTTTTTTTTTTTTTTTTTTTGTTCTTTTCTTCTTCTCTTGTCGTCCTTTTCTTGTGCCGTCGCAGAAGGTTGCGGGGGGAAAGAGGCAAAGACAAAGGCAAAGGCTGACCACCGCTCCAAAGGCCGACTCGGAAGACAAACATGACATTATGAAGTTCTTCCTCGAAGACTTGCATTCCGAAAAGCCCAAGACGCTAAAGAACATCAACGCCGTATATGCAGATGCCGCAGCCGTTCTCATCGGCGCCACGTACGTGTTACCCTTCCTCGTCCGTAGATGGAGGTGGAGGTGCATCAGCAGGCGAAATAGGCGGGAGTTCGAGACAGAGTTTCTTGTCCCCTCACTTGTTGACAACCTCTTTTGGGCCCTATGAAACAGCGACACGATAGCCTGCGCCCTGGGTTTCCTATTCTACTACCTCGCCCGCGACGCAGACCTACGACAGCGCCTCTACGACGCCATCGCGCCGGCCTACGGCAAGAGGACGCCCGGCGAGTTCGCGTGCATCGACCTGCAAGCCATCGAGTTCCTCGACGCCGTCATCAACGAGACGCTGCGCATGAACACTTCGGTGCCCATCAACGGGCCCCGCAACACGCCCCCCGAAGGAGTCGAGGTCGACGGGACCTACATCCCCGGCAATGTCAGCGTGTATACTCCGCTGCACCTGTACCATAGAAGTGAGTCCAACTTGAGCAGACACTCTCATCTCCCGTTCACGATGCACTTTTGTGGGAGGCAGGCCAGCTGACGAAAACAAAACACGCACGGCCGCGACTGCTCAAGGTCCGAAGTATTTTGTGCAGCCGGACGAGTTCATCCCGGAAAGATGGACCACTCGACCGGAGCTCGTCCTCGAAAGGCGGGCTTTCCAGCCTTTTCACTTTGGTGCGTGTTTCCCTCTTATCTTTTTTTTTTTTTTTTTTTTGTGTTCGGTGAACGACCACGGCGCGCACCGAGCCTGGATCCATCATGAGATCATTTTGATCGGATACTCATTCCACGCTTGGCGACGAAACAGGCCGGTACGACTGCGTGGGCAAGAGACTCGCCCGGAACGTCATCCGCCTGACCGCGGCCTACACGCTGTGGCATTACGACTTTGCGTTCGCCCCGGGCGAGGACGGGAAAGACTTTGAGAGCAGGGCCCAGTGGAAGGCCATCGTGAAACCGGGCAAGCTGGAATGCGTTTTCAGAAAGCGGGAGAGATGAGAATGCGTGTTTATGTGTTGATGAACGTGACAGGAAGGAACGTGAGCCCGGAAGTCTCAGATTGGAGTTTCTGATACCAGCGTGAAAATCCAGTTTGTAAGGATGAGGTCTTTCCTCGCGTTGGCGGGGATTTTACCAATCTGTTGGTCGATGTCGTGAACGTTTGAAGGCGACTTTCTCTGGCCTACACAGTTCGTCCTGCCCCTCCGTTTTCGTCTTCCCGTTTCCGTGCATGATACTGGGCCACCCACTGCAGGTCCCTCTCATGCAAATCAGGCAGATACAACCACCTCTCCTGATCCGAGCTCCAGCTCCGGTTGGGAAGGTAAGCCTCCAACATGTAGTAGTTGTCCCTATGAAAAGGGAAATCCACAGTCGCAGGGCCCTTCCGGCGCAAGAGGGCATCGGTCCCCGCCAGCTCGTCGCGGCGCGTCATCTCGAAGCGCCGCCGTCGGTTGCCCTTGTTTTCGGCGTGGCGCCGGATCGACCGGGTTGTGGAGCGGAGGTGTTCTTCCAGGAGGCGGGCGTACCAGAGCGGCGACGCGAGGGCGTTGCGCACGACGCCGACGTGCGACGCGAGGAGGACCTCGTTCCACTCCGGGGACGTGCCGCGCGGGATCGTGGGGAGGGGGTCGCCCGCGTCCAGGCGGGGCTGCCAGTGGGCGAAATCGACGACGACGCAGAGGGCGATCCAGTGCAGGACGCAGGTGAGGCAGGTGCAGATGAAGGCGTGGTCTGGTGGCTGGATGTGGTGGAATTTGCGGGTGCCCATGGTGTGTCTGCCGTCTGCGGGGTTCAGCAGCGCAGGGTGGAGTGCCGGATCGACGTCGCCGAGGAGGCGGGGGAGGCGGATGCACTGCGCTAGGCAGGGATAGCGGAGGTCGATGATGTCCTTGACGAGGGAGGTTTCCCAGTCCAGGATGGTGTCTCGTAGAAACTTGGATGTCCGTAATAGGATGAAGAGATCGCTGGGTCGCAGGTAGGATAAGACGACCAGGAGAAGCTCGTTGGGCAGGGGTATCCCGTCGGTGGAGTGGTGAGCAGTCGGTTTCTTGGCGAGCCTCTTTTGCTGTCGCTTGCGCTGGCGCTCGGTGCGCTTGGAACGGATGGTGAGATGACCGTCGACGGCTACACGATCCGAATCGGTGAGGGGAGCGGAGGGCGTTGGTGAGGGACGCGAGGTCGGGATTGACGGGTTTGTGTCGTCGTCGTCGTCGTCCTCGTCCTCGTCTTGACTTTGATCGTTCCTAGGATCATAATGCGTCGACTTCTCCGGTTCATGGTCTTGAACGTCTTGAGACTCTTGACTTTCGTCGGCGTCGGCGCTGCACTCCGGCAGTTTTACGATATGGTCCGCCATTGAAGCGCACAATTTCGTCGAGGCGATTTCAACGGAGGCCGTGGGCAATCGAGAATATATCATACGCACTCGCTGAGGTGGCGGTGGACCATGGAAGTGGCGAGTTGAGCGGGAGCCTCAGTTGAGGGGCCAGGGCTTAAGGACATGTTGAGGAACATGCACGTGACTGCTGATTAGGTACCGTCACGACTCACGACTCACCCCTGTCCAGTTTCAACGGCACCTACGAGTACCGGTATACAAGTTCAATTCTCTCAAACGATACTTCTTGTTGTTGGCCATTCTTATGATAGCATGCTTCATGCATTTTGGGGTTGTCTTTTATCTTGGTCGCGATGGTTGAAGGTGTTAGCTCGAGTTTAGTCCACCGCCTTTGATCATGAACCTCTCCAGTTGAAGACGGAAGTATATACCGTAAGGTACTCAATGATCAGTCTGTTGTACTGTTGTACAGGCTCTTAATGAAATACATCTCATAGGCTCATACTGGCCTCTTCATGCCTTAGTTTCGTTCAACCTCTTACTTATTAGGAGTTTAACCATTATTATCCAATAAATATCTCATAGGTAGGTCTTTCATTTATGGATCTTCATCTGCACGTTTTCATGTCTCTCCACGAGTCCACATAGTCTTAGTCTCTTAGACACCCTAAGGCGCCTAACTTCATTATTAGCCTGTGACACTCCCCAAGGTAGGTAGAGCAAAATGTCTTACCGCTTGATTGATAGTATTATGTTTCCTCAAAGGCAACATTCTACTGTCTAGACACGAGTCTAAATGAAAAGAAGAGCATAAAGATACAAGCTTTGTGTTTCCTCTGCTTGTGAACTACCCTAAGGGACCATAGGTCCGAGACATGGATTCTGACCTTTTCTTCATTCTGACCATTCCTTTCACACCTTGATTCCCAAACCCACTGCACCTGCCACATGCAACCATTTGACATGTCCTGCCATCCACATTTCCTCCTAGTCATCCTGGCAGTCTAAAATTAAGACTAGCTTGTGAGGTGGGATATCCGCATAGGACAGTACATACAAGTGCCAAGTGCCAAGTGCCAACCATTAAAACCCATACCTTATGAACCATGTCTCTAACAAGCAGTAGGAAAAAGAAAAGTCTCACTTCTTGGACTTCTGAAGCTTACCCATCTTCAAGTCAGACACTCAGAAGCCAGAACAGCCATGAGGGTTCAGCATTCTATGTCTTGGACAGAGGGGCAGCTTAAGCCTTAGAAGTTAGAGCAGGGCAGAAGTGGGATGAGGAGCACAAGGGTCCAATCCAAACTTCATTTCCCAAACCGGGCACTCAGGCTTAGGGTTCTGGCTGTCATAGCCAAGCTCGCGAATGATAGCGACACGAGCCGTCTCGGCCTGACAACGCCAGCTGCCAAAGCGATACTCGACGTGGCCCATATGCTCGTTGAGGACGTGCGTGATGACCTCGTCCACCTCAAACTTGAACCGCTCCTCGAACCAGGCGGTAAGCGAAGCCTCGTTGACAAACGCAGGATCGCCCTTGAGCACGACGACGCGGGTGCGGTTGCCGGGACCCTCGGCCTCAGCGGAACGAATCCGGTTCAGGTTGACGCGGCAGCGGTAACCGCCGACCACGAGGCGGGAGCGCGTGTAGGTGGCGTAGAAGCGCTGGGCGGCCCACAGGTCGAAGAAGACGACCTTGGCGGCGGCGGTGCAGTGGCCGCGCTGGGGCTGCGGGGCGTTGATGACGCAGGCGAAGATGCGGCCGATGTTGCGGATCTCCGAGAGCAGCTCGTGCGTCGTGACGCGGGGGGGCAGGTTGACGATCCAGAAGGAGCAGTTCTCCGACTGCGGGATGTTGGCGCTGTGGTTGCGCGCGATGGTCGGGTCGCCCTGGTAGTTGGGCGAGATGCCGTGCTGGATCTTGATCACGGCGAGTTCGTGCGCGTTGTGCTGCGTGGGGTCGTACCCGGCTGAGCGGAGGACCGCGTTGCTGGGCAGGAAGCTCTGGTGGCGGCCGACTGTGTTGGGAGAACGAGCCATGTGGTGGGTGTTCATGAAACGGGAGACATGGTTGACGATGGGAGCGGCAACTGGGTTGCTGGGGCCAGGAGCCCGACCGCCATGGTTGTTGCCGCTGCCGGGATTGACAGAAGAAGACGGCATGGCAGGGTTCAAGACGGTTGGAGCCGTGGTGGACCGAGGAAGAGCAGGCTGCGTACCAACGGTGCGGAAGGCAGAAGCCGGGACAAGAGCATTCTGCCCATTCTGAACCTGGCCAATCTGGCCGATGCGAGAATCTTGGAAAACCTGCGAGCCCTGGCTGCCACGCTTCATGTTCATACCGGCTCCCGCGGTCATAAAACCGGGAGGAGGTGCAATAGGCGGCTGGCCCGAGACTCTGTTCCCAACGGGAGTGCCCATGATGGCGGTGCGATCCCCATTGTAAATACCAATGGCAGTCATGGACTGGTACGGGTTGAACGAGTCCCTGTAAGGAGTGCCCCCGTAAGGAATGGGCGAAAAGGGGAGAGCCTCCTGCCGACGAAATGCATTGGTCTGAGGGGCAGGAAAACGACGACCCATGGTCCCATCATTCCGGTAAATGTCGTCGTGGAAAGAGCCATCCGTGGAAAACGAGGTAGCAGACGACTGCTGATCGAGAGGCGACGACTCATGGCCGCTGTTCAGAACCGGAGTGACAGTCTCAGCCGTGGGAGTGTTGGCAGGGACCCGAGTGTATGCCATATCGTCCTCGGACGAGGGGGCGTGGAAGGTATTGTTTCTTCCATGACCGACAGCCAAGTTGGCAGTGCCGGGATTCATTCCCCGAGTGGCCATACCATGGACGGTGGCAGGGTAGTTGGGAGCATTGTATTGCATGTGGCCCGAGTTGAAACGAGATGCAGGAGGAGCTACATCATAGCCATGCTGAGCTTCATATTGCAGGCGAGCAGCAGCCAGAAGAGCATTCACGAGGGCCTGTTCTTCATTGTGACCGGCACCCAAATGGGTCAGAGGTTGCTGCGGAGCTCTGGTTGAAGCAGCACGGCCTTGGTTCGGATTGTCATTGTCATCGGGACCAGGGGCCCTGTTCCAAGTGACACGGGTGACAGCACCGGGAACAGAGGACTGAGTGTAGTGATACGCCATATTGACTTGACAAGCTAGGCAGGCATCAAGTTAGCCCAGAACCCTAGATTTGTAGGATAGTCTGTGGGATGCACTTACTTGTTGGCTCTTGATAGACTCAGTGATTGTACGCTTGGAAATCGTAAAAGGCCCAAAACAGCTCGTAGCAAAAGGCAATTTAAGTCGGAAACTTCAATCACAAAGCCGGATTAGCTTGCGGGTTTGACGATGATAGTTTGTTGAACTGAGTTGCAACCAAACCAGCACGCGCGCTTCACGCAAGAAACAAAAAAGAAAGAGCAAAACACAAGGGAAGATATCTCGTGCCTAGTCTTGCAGAGGGGAGTTGAGTCAATGAAATTTAAACACAAACCTTCACGCCAGAAGATAGTATTCTGAGAAGCTTGAAAGCTGGCACCAAGAGGAGGGAAGTGAAGAAGAGTGTAGCACGTTGGCGGTTGACTTGGAAGAGAAGATGAAGGATCTTGACCGCGCGCGAGGTAAAGTTTGATGATAGCTTTTCTAGCACTGCCAGTTGTCTCTGGTCAAGAGAAGAAAAGTGAGGAGGTTATTGGAAGAAGAGCTTTTATGCCAGCTTGGGTTGTGGGAGATTTGGATATGGGTTGAGTTGTGGTTAGGGCAGGCTGCAGCAAAAGGATCTTCAAGAGACTTAAGTGGAAGGAGCACAACTGCCCTCTGGAGGTTCTTGACAATTTGGAAGGACCGTAACTGCCCTCTCAAGCTTGTTGGTGATTCACATAGAATATTCTACACTTGCAAAAAAAAAAATGGGAAGTTATGGACATGAGCGCCTATGCCTACCTTCTTCTGGAGACAAGCCTGTATTAATCTAGGCCGGGACTAAGTAGAAGGCTGGTGCCTCAGCGCGCCTTCCGTAATAGAGAAGCAGCTTCGATATGAGGCAGTGTGAAGCAAAGAATAACAAGGCAGGAGCAAGATATCTTTGATGTTTTGCATCTTGGATCTAACAAGAGGGTTCTTCCCTTATTAAGTACAGTAGCAAAGGGCTGTTCTTTCTTCATCAAGCAGCATGTTTGACATTTAAGCGAGCCTTGTGACTGAAGACAAGCAGAGCATCCCTTTGAGGATGTGGAAATGGAATGGTTTTGCTTAACCCCTGGACTCGATGCCGGGCCCCCTGTGTCCGCTAGAATCGTCAAAGGGACACTCGAGCAAGCCTCTAGAGTGTCTTCTATTGTAGCATATGTCCACAGTAATACGTCGGAGCTTTCTAGGCTATGATCGTGTGTCTTTTCGACATGTCTCAAGTCCAAGGACATGGGGCTCTGCATGTTTCTACAGTTGACGTTGTCTCGGTGAAGGAGCATGTGGGGCCGGGGAGATTCGGTGTGTCTAGGTGAGGGAAGGTACCTGGGTCTAGACCATCCCTGTTCCTGTTTGGCTAGGCACACCGTCCTACATAATCTACTTCCTACCTCCTTCCATCGCATGTCTCCTTCCACAGTAATCATCACTGGATTGACAAGGGGGTTCTATGACGTGGAGGGTTTTTTTTTATTTTTATTTTTATTTTTTAAAGGGGGGAGTCTCTTCATTTCTTCATGGTACATTCCAGAGGTGACAGGTTCAAGGCTACGTAACTTGGGCCAGGCCTAGCTAAGTTTGGTTAGACCCCTATGGTGCCGTACTCGGTGAGCATCCTTCTGGCTGCCGCTGGACTAACGAGCTCGGTGATCGCTGCTTGAGTCCTGGCGAACAATATTCCATACGCGATGTGAACGGTGAAAAGACAGAAGCTTGCTTTTTTTCTCTCAGATTGTGCGTATGAGACCGGAGGCGCACCGCTTCTTCCGAACCCCGCGATCCCCAGGGCCCAAATTTGCGATTTCTGAATTTTGGCTGGTCATTATTAATCGACTACCTAGTGACCAAACCCGGCAGATGGAGCCCCAAGGTCCAACCGTACGATGGGATACGGGGTGCCGATTGGCTATCTGCCCTTACAAGTTCCCACCCCTGGCTGACCGAGGAACAACCCGAGATGGTCCTGGGCTTGGTCTGTCGCAGTCCAGGGAAAAGTCGCTGGAAGTGGCCACGTTAGGAAGAAAAAAAATAAGGAAGTAAAGAAATAAAGAAAAAGATCAACTTCCTATCTATCCCACCCGCTCAGCCATGTTTCTACGATCAAGGACCTTAAAAATGGAAAAACATCAATGCGACTCGATGAAGATGGACCCTTGATGGACCCCGATGCAACCCCGGGCTCCGGATCCGCTGAAAAGGTGGGGAAAGCTGGAGTATGGTTGACTCGATGTCACGGGGTTGAGGTACGGGTACGTGTAGAGGCTCGTTGAGGTTGAGGTACATCCGTTCAGCCGAACTGGGCCGAGAAGACGATTCGCACCTACGGAAGTTTCAAGCCCCTCCTTTTTTCTCCTTCGTCCTTCATATCCAACCGTTTGCTGAGTCGAACATGCTCGGCTACCAGCAACGGGCCCAATGGCTCTTTGGAACCGTCCGTTTGCCCCCGCTCCTCGCTCCCTCTAAGCCGCCCCTGAATGGCCTATGGATACCTTAAGGCACCTTACTTTGAAGACAGAATACTGTGAAGGAGGAGGACGTGGGGTCGTGCGGTAATTGGCCAATCCCGCCACATTTGCGTCATAGCAACCCACTATAGCCTTTTGGCTTGTACACGTAAGGTAGTGTACATAGCCCACCTTTGTACTGCCTCTTGGTACTTGTCGTCTGTATCCGTAGACTTTAGCTTCCCTTTCCCCCTTCGTACCTGCGGACTTCTTTTCCCTTGACCCTTCGTGCTACTTTTTTTTTTCTTCTTTCTTTTCTTCTTCTTTTCCTCCTTCATACTTACTCCTCCTCCATCCATACTTTGCTCCATCCCATCTTTTATGCCTCTCTCATAGTATCAGGCGTGGACACGACGTGACGACAGGCTGCTTCTCACACATCAGTGACATCACCTCCCTCCTTTTACGTTCACGTTCTCGTTCTCGTTCTCGTTCTCGTTCTCCCCTCGCCTCTCCTCTTCCCTTCTCCCCGCCGCCTCCTCACACCTTCCACCATGGCGTCTCCAGTAGCTTCGGCCGCCCTCAAGTCGAGGGTCGCCAGGAAATCTCTATTGGACAAGCTGGCGCGGCCGCAAGACCTCATCCACCACTTCCCCAATGGCACCTACATCGGATGGTCCGGGTTCACGGGCGTGGGATACCCCAAGAAGATCCCCACTGCGCTCGCCGACTACGTCGAACAGAACAACCTCCAGGGCAAGATGAAGTACGGCCTCTTTGTGGGTGCGTCCTCGGGCGCGGAGACGGAGAACCGGTGGGCCGGGCTCGACATGATCGAACGGCGGAGCCCGCACCAGGTCGGCAAGGCCATCGCCAAGGGCATCAACGAGGGCCGCATCCACTTCTTCGACAAGCACCTGTCGACGTTCCCGCTCGACCTCGTCTACGGCTTCTACACCAAGGACCGCCCCCACAACAAGATGGACGTGGTGGTGGTCGAGGCCACGGAGATCAAGGAAGACGGCAGCATCGTGCTCGGCGCGTCGGTCGGCGCCACGCCCGAGCTGGTGCAGCTGGCCGACAAGATCATCATCGAGGTCAACACGTCCATGCCGAGCTTCGACGGGCTGCACGACATCACGTTCAGCGAGCTGCCGCCGAACCGCAAGCCCCAGCTGGTGATGGCGGTGGAGGACCGCATCGGCCGCACCACGCTCCCGATCGACTCGGAAAAGGTGGTCGCCATCGTCGAGTCGGACTACCAGGACATGACGGCGCCCAACACGCCGGCCGACGCGGCCAGCCGGGCCATCGCCGGCCACCTCATCGAGTTCTTCGAGCACGAGGTGGCGCACGGCCGGCTGCCCAAGACGCTGCTGCCGCTGCAGTCCGGCATCGGCAACATCGCCAACGCCGTCATCGGCGGGCTGGCCGAGGCCAACTTCTACAACCTCAAGGTGTGGACCGAGGTGGTGCAGGACACGTTCCTCGACCTCTTCGACTCGGGCCGGCTCGACTTCGCCAGCGCCACGTCGGTCCGGTTCTCGCCCGACGGCTTCAAGCGGTTCTACGACAAGCTGGACTACTTCGACGGCAAGCTCCTCCTGCGCAACCAGCAGATCTCCAACTCGCCCGAGATCATCCGGCGGCTGGGCGTCATCGGCATGAACACGCCGGTCGAGGTGGACATGTACGCGCACGCCAACAGCACCTGCGTGATGGGCAGCCGCATGCTCAACGGGCTGGGCGGCAGCGCCGACTTTCTGCGCAACGCCAAGTACAGCATCATGCACACGCCCAGCACGCGGCCGTCCAAGACGGACCCGCACGGCGTCAGCTGCATCGTGCCCATGTGCACGCACATCGACCAGACCGAGCACGACCTCGACGTGGTGGTCACCGATGTGGGCCTGGCCGACGTGCGCGGCCTGAGCCCCCGCGAGCGGGCCCGCGTCATCATCAAGAAGTGCGCCCACCCGGTCTACCAGCCCATCCTGGAGCGGTACCTGGACAAGGCCGAGTTTGAGTGCCTGAAGAAGGGCATGGGCCACGAGCCCCACCTGCTGTTCAACTCGTTTGACATGCACAAGGCGTTGGTCGAGGAGGGCAGCATGCAGAAGGTCAAGAGCTTCTAAGGCTGAGGGCGTAGGTAGGAACGGGCTAATGGAGAAGAAAAGTCGGTGTGTGGGATGTGCTTGAACAGGCTACAAGTGTGTTGATATCCAGTGTGAGGAGGTCGAAGCGAATCAGCGATCTTGTAGGTTTTCCCCCTTTTTTTCTTATTGTTTTGTTTCTGGATTCGAGAAGAGCTGGTGACGGACCATGGTGAGGCATTCGACAGGGAAGATGTTCAGGATTCTTCGTGTCTTTGGGAGTACCTAGGTACCTTATATTTTACTGGTGCATGCTGCATACGGCTCAGTCGCCTTGGCTTCTTAGTCATTCCCCTGCATATAAGTCGTTACAATCTTCAATTAACGTCTCATGTGAATCTGGGAATCTCTCATTAGATATGTTACTTCTTCAGTTATCACCTCAGCTTGCCATGAATTATTAGTGTACACTTACTGACATGGAGACGCCATCTCGGTGTCTCGGTACAGTGGTGCCGACAGTGTACGGAGCTGATGCCGACAGGATTAGCCAACGATTCGGTATTGATCTTGCAGGACTTGAGGTATTTGCCGATGTTAGACTGGACACTCTAGTGTACCGCTACCTCGTAGGTAAGCGACTGACCCCCAGAGCCTTGGTGTCAAGTACTTGTAGATACGTACGTTTCACTGTCGGTGACTAAGGTACCTTACCTTGGGTAGACTAACATTTGTCCGGGCTGTTTCATCAGCGGAAATCCCCATTTCCCACCCCGCCGTAGACCCCCACGACAAAGCACAACGAGAACGGAGTACAGAGTACATGCAGAGACGTACCTTAGGTATTCGCAACTCACTGGACGGGGATTTCGTGGTTTTTCTTCCCAGACCCCGACTTTGCTCGACTTTGACTCCACATCAACGGTTTCTGCTTCGCTATTCCACGTCCAGAACTGAAGTGCCAGTGTTGTTAATCATGTTAGACACGTTACCCTGTCACGTCGTTCGAACCTAATCCGCCGTTCCCCTCGAATTCTGATTCACCGCCCGGCAATCCCCTCGGACCGTGAACTACCGGGGGAGGAAGCCCACGATCCTCCAAGTCCTCCAAGTCCTCCAAGTCCTACAAGTCCGACAAGTCCTACAAGCCCGACAAGTCCTACAAGCCCGACAAGTCCTACAAGCCCGACAAGCCCGACAAGTCCCTCGCTTCTCCCCTCTCCCCCGCCGTCTCCCACACCACCAACCCCAAGATGCCCGATAAACAGCTATCCACCATCTCCTACGCAGCCGGTGCCTCCCTCGCCGCCATCGCCCTCGTCTACGTCTTCGCCCCCAATTTCGTCCTCGACGAGTCCAGCAGCTCCTCGGCCTCCCGCAAGAAGGGCGTCGTCGGCCTCCGCAACTCCGCCAATGATTGCTTCATAAATGCCACCCTCCAGGCCCTGGCCGGCCTGAACGACCTGCGCCTCTACCTCATCCGCGAGACCCACCGCCGAAACATCGAAGACCCGGCCGTCTACGCCCGTCTGGTCCAACCGCCGAACCGCACCTTGCCCGAATGGAAGCTCCTCGCCTTGCAGCAGGGTGCCGTCACCCAGGGCTTCAAGGACATTCTCGATGCCCTCAACGAGCGGCCCATATACAAGAAGTCGACCTCGGCTGCCGATTTCATCAGGGTCATGGAGGCCGCTTTTCGCCAGCGCGTGAGCCGCCAGCAGCAGGATGCGCAGGAGTTTTTGCAGATCGTCGCCGAGAGGCTGCAGGATGAATACCACGCAGGCGAACGCGCGAGGGCTTATGCTAGGCGTGCTACTGCTACCGCGTCGTCTCCGGGCGTCGCCCATCTCGGTTCTGCCGAGTCGCAGCCAGTCGATGGGAAGGCCGTTCAGAAGAAGCTCCATGAGCATCTATCCGTGTCTGAACGGTCACGGTCAGACTCTTTGGCGGACGCCGCTTCCTTGCCCGTGTCAGCCTCTATATCGGCCCTAAACCTGACCGGTTCGGATAGCCTGCCCTCCACTGCTGCCACTACTGCCACTACTACCACCGCTGCGTCCACCCAGACCGCAACAGCAACCGCCACCGACGGCGCAACGCTCGCTGGCATCGCGGCCGACGAAGAAGAGGAGGAAGGATTTCCAATGGAAGGTCAGCACGAGTCACAGCTACGATGCCAAAGCTGCGGGTACCGGTCCAAACCGAAAACGGAAACCTTCGTCACCCTCACCCTCAACGTCCCCCATGTGACCTCCACATCATTGAGCGCATGCTTCGACGAAATCTTCAAGACCGAATACATCGACGACTTCAAGTGCGAGAAGTGCCGTCTGCTCCACGCCGAAGAGACGCTGTGCCGAGAGCTGGCCAAGGCCAAGTCGGACCACGCGAGGGCGCAAGCCGAGGAAAACCTCCAGAAGTTGCGCCACGCCATCGAATCCGACCCGGAAAACCCTCCCCCGGACGTGCCGCTCCCAGACGCCCGCGAGGCCCCGAAGCGCCGCATCGCCCGCTCCTTCCGCATCACCTCCTTCCCCAAGATCCTCACCGTCCACCTCTCCCGCTCCATCTTCAGCACCCAAGCCTCCACCAAGAACTCGGCCAAGGTCGCCTTCCCGGAACACCTCCCGCTCGGCGGGCTCGCCGACCGTCGAAAGTACCGGCTGCTCGGCCTGGTCACCCACAAGGGGAGCCACAACAGCGGCCACTACGAGTCGTTCCGCCGCCAGAACCTCGCGCCCGCGCCCTACGCCAACTCCAACACCTTCCGCGCCTCGGGCGTCTACAGCAAATCCGCCAGCCCCGTCTCCACCCCGCAGCTGAACGCCACCTCGCGCGCCGACACCCCGGCCGCGTCGTCCACCCCGGACCTTTTGCTCGCCCCGTCCCACTCCCGCCTCCCGAACCCGCACTTCCCCCTCGACGCCGACGCCGACGCCGACGCCTCGAGCATCCGATCCGTCGCCGCCTCCACCCGTTCCGCCCTCTCGCGCATCTCCCTCTCGCGAGACCCGGATCGTCGTCACGGTGCCGGGAACGGCGGGTCATCGACGACAGACGACGCGCCCGGCAAACCGCCGCCGCCGCCGTCGACTACGTCGTCCCCGATGGTGGTCCCGCCGGCTGTCAAGCCGCATCGCAAGCGCAAGGCGCCCGAGCGGTGGTGGCGGATCAGCGACGAGACGATTCGCGAGGCGAAGACGTCCGAAGTGCTTGGCATGCAGCGGGAGGTGTATCTGCTCTTTTACGAGATGGAGGACTAGCCCTGGCCTTTGCGGAGGGGTGGTGTGTTGTCCTAGACGGGGCCATTGTAGTTTTACCAGCGTGGTGCGTGTTTGGCATCCACGTTGAGAACCATGACATGGACGGATGGCACAAAGGGGCGTTTTGGCGTTGTTGTTTTGCATATGCATATTCTTCTTCTTCTTCTTCTTCTTCTTGGCTCTTCAGCTCAATGCATGATTGCATGGATATGCATCGCCCTTTTTTATTTTTTATTTTTATTTTTTTCTAAGGAGCCCTTCCTAGGTCCGGGATGGATGCATGAAAAATGATAAATGGCACTGAGTGATGTTAGATAGATGCTCTTCATATGCACAGCTCATGTGGTGATACGATCCCACAAACACGGCTTCACTCAACCGCCAGCTCACCGCATCAGTGTATCAGCGAGTATTAACTATATAAGGTGTAAAACTGGGCAAACTACCCTTCACCCGCAAACGCGCAGCTCTCCCCCGGGCGCCAATATGCTTCCGTTAACCATCTTTACCATGGGTTGGCCAAAATACGATCTGGTCGCATCAGAGCATGAAACATCCATGAATGCTATCCCCATCCTAGCTCCGTGATCCATGCTGTTTTGTGTCGTCTTTTCGTTGTTTCCTCCGAAGGGATTATTAAAGATCATACACAAAAATGGAAAGTCAAAAAGGGAAAAGAAATGCAACGAAAAGAGAGAAGCACCGTATCTCCTGGGTCAGGTGTGAGAACCGAGACCCGAGACCTCTAGCACAAGACGACATATCCTGAGAAGTGTTGCATGCTAAACGTAGAGGGAAAAAAGAAGAAGAAATAAAAAACCCCCCCCGGGGATGGTGGGAAAACAGTCCTCTACTGGCCCAGGATTTCTTTGGCGACAGTCTGTGCCTCTTCCTCGCTCAAAGGAGGCAGGTTGCGCACCTTCTCCGCCTTCTCATTATCGTATCGCCATAGACCACCCGTCTTATCGGCATCGCCAGAAACGGGTACGCCGACAACAGGACCCAGGCTCTCGAGAATGGGATCAGCACCTTGGAGCGCAGTGAAGTAGCGTCTCTCCCAAGCCCTGTCTTCCTCCCGCTCCTTGGCACGGAGGTCGCGCTGGGCCTGCTCGATCTTGCCCTTCTCGACAGAGACGGTGTCCATATCGCCTTTGAGGATGGCCGCGGCCACCTTGGCCCACGCGCGGCGGGACTCGAGAGGGTACTGCTCCTCGACGGGGCGGATGCGGAGCGGGGTGATGGGGTCCGCGGCGGCGTCGTAGGTGTCGACCTTGGTCTTGGAGGCGTTGGTCTTGGAGGGGCCCTTGTAGATGTCGAAGCTCTTGGTCCACACGCCGGTGACGTTGTAGAGGACGTCCTTCTCGTTGTCGGTGCGGTACAGGACGGCGGTGACGGAGTTTTTCTTTCCTGAGAGCCAGCCTCTGCCTGAATAGTCGATCTTGGCGGTAAAGCCGGACGATGAGGTGATGTAAGAGGAGCCGTCGAGCTCAACGAAGGGGGTGCCGAGGAGGAGGCCCTCAATGTGCAGCGAGGGGAGGGTGATGAGGAAGGTTTCCGTCTTGTTGGCGGAAGAAGGGTCTGCGTTGGGGATGGGAACGGTAAGGACGGCGTGACCGATCTGCTTGACGATGATGGTGCTCTTGAAGGTGGCCTTTTGGGCGTTGTAGCCCTCTAGATGGACACCAGAGCGGGCGTTTCGAATGGAGTAGGCGGTAGCAGGAGGGTGATGGCTGGGGAAGTTAGCAAGGCCATGGGGGGGGAGAAGAAGTAGGAAGAAAGAGCATTCAATCCATCAGAAAGGGGTATTGGCTGGCTGGATGTATTATTTTTCTTCTGGTTTTTCACTTCCTTACCTGACCTGTTCGCTGATGAGCTCGGTGACACCAGCGCTATCCTCCCACTCCCCGAGGAAAAGCTCGCCCAGGAAAGGGTTGAGAGGCTTCTTTTCGTTTCCATATTCCTCACTTCGGCTGGCGTATTGCTGCTTCAGGGTGCTGATGAACCACTTGAGGACCAGGACAGCTCGCTTGGCAGGGTCGGGTTCGCTGGCGGGGGCAGCGAAGAGAGGGGGATGCTGGCACCAGTAGGAGGAGAACTCGGTCAGGGAGGTGCCTGAGAGGATGAAGGGCGGCGCAGTGAGAGAGGAGAGGTCGCCATTGAAAGAGGCGATCGACTGGGGGATGGCGAGTTAGCAAGACATTTCTTTGCTTTTGCCCCCTTTTCCTTTCTTCATTCTTTTAGTCGCTCACCTTGACAAAGGCACCCCAGCTGCTGGAGACTTGGATAGGGGACGCCATGGTTTCTTCTTGGGTGGTTTACCAGTGTCGCTACCGTTGTTAGATCTTGCGTGCAAACAGCAAATCGCGCGCTTGTCGAGAAGATTCTAGAGGCAAGGTGAAAGGTTGGTGTATCTGTGGAATGCAAAGTATGATGTCGGTTATTGGAGTCTAGTACGACGCGATAATAATTAAAAGAAAGGAAAAAAAGGTGTATGGAGTAGGGGAAAGAGGAAAGTGGGAACAAAATACGATTATTCATGCGATATTGGGCAAGAAGGCGATGAGTGGGGGATCGGGGTCGAATCTGGAGATTTTGTGGTGCTTTACGCGGGGCAAGTGCCAAGTGCCAAGTTCACACGCTGTTGCCCTGGGCTGGGTGCAGGAGGCAGTCCTGGAAGGCACAGGTACCTCCCTGTGAATTCCAGAGTGGGGTCAGAGACGAAACGGTGCCTTGGTACCTACCTAGGTACGATACAGAATTCCTAATCGGGTACTAATAAGGTACAGAGACATCATAGTACTTTACTACCTTAACATAAGGAATGGGCTTTGTATTAAGATTATATAGAGGTTTCTTTGTCTTAAAAGAAAAAAAGAAAAAAGAAAGAAAGAAAGAAAGAGTAAGAGTTTGGTTTTAGCAAAGTTATGAATTAGTATACATATACTACTCGTGTTTATAAGAGGAAAGCATGGCATGAATTTCAATAATAGCTGGTACTTTAAAGGGTGGAGGAACATCCAGAGTACCTGTAGGTACCGAGAGCAGTTCCTGCTGACGTCATCGGGCACACGATCAACCTCGTGTGTGCAGTAGTGTGCAGTGCATGCGTCCCCGATACAGAGGAAGTCCATGACAACTTGGTCCATCCCTTGCCTCTTCTTGAGCATACTCTTATCTTAGTTCTATGAGTAATTAATGGTCCGCTACTTTGGTACTCCTTTTTCATTCCGGAAATAATTGGGTGTCCATCTGACCAGAGGTTTGGCGTGGCAGTTGATTGGGTTCACCGAAGCCCAGATTAGTCATCAAACCAGAACAAGATAAGATACCCAGAGATAAGATAAGCTCTCTTCCTCCGACGATACCCAGGTACCAAATGCATAATAAACACATTTTTTGGAGCGTCTTCGACTCTTCTTCCACGCTCTTCGGTCTTCCCACTGCCAACCACCTCAGTTATCAAACCGACACACCATGACGACTTGTATGCGGCAACGCATACCACCTCACCCGTAATGACATCAACCGCGGCGCAGTCTGCGCCCGCGTCCTCCCTCCTCAACATCAATGCCTTGTTCGACAACCCTCTCTTCGCCGGCGGCATAGGCCTCGCCTCCATCGGCGCCGTGGCCGCTTTCGGCCGCAAAGGTCTCATCATGGCCGCCGGTGCAGCCCGCCGCCGGCTCCTCGTCAACGTCGAGATCAGCAAGCAGGACCCCGCCTACCCGTGGATCCTCGCGTGGCTTTCCCAGCCGCGGCCGCAGACCGGCTTCCTCGCATCTCGCATCACCCGCATCCACAACCTGTCGGTATCGACGACGACGACGACGGCGGCCATGGCGAACAGCGCTCGCAGCGGCAGCATCGGTACTAGTAGTAGTGGTGGCGGTGGCGGTGGTGGCGGTCCGGGACAGACGCATTTCTTCCTCCAACCGGGCTACGGGCGCCACGTGGTCAAGCACAAGAACGCGTACATCGCGGTGAACCGCGAGAAGCACAACACGGCCAACATGAACACGGGCGAGCCGCACGAGGTGGTGCAGCTGACGACGCTGTGGGCGCACCGGCACATCTTCGAGGACGTGTTCGCCGAGGCGCACCGGCTCGCGGCCAAGGCGCACGAGGGCAAGACGATCGTCTACGCGGCGCGCGGCATGGAGTGGTCCCCGCTGGGCGATCCGCGGAAGAAGAGGCCGCTCGCGTCGGTGGTGCTGGACGAGGGGGTCAAGGAGGGCATCGTGGCGGACATTACGGATTTCCTGGGCCGCCAGCAGTGGTACGTGGACCGCGGCATCCCGTACCGCCGCGGGTACCTCCTGTACGGGCCCCCCGGGAGCGGCAAGAGCTCGTTCATCCAGGCGTTGGCGGGGGAGCTGGACTTCAGTGTGGCCATGGTGAATCTTAGCGAGATGGGCATGACGGATGATAAGTTGGCGTATCTGCTGACGAAGCTGCCGAAGCGCAGCATCCTTCTGTTGGAGGACGCGGATGCGGCGTTTGTGAACCGCCGGCAGCGCGACGTGGATGGGTATAGTGGCGCCACGGTGACGTTTTCGGGGCTGCTGAACGCGCTGGACGGGTTGGCGGCGGGGGAGGAGCGCATTGCCTTCTTGACGACGAACCATGTTGACCGGCTTGACCCGGCGTTGATCCGGCCCGGCCGCGTCGACATGATGGTGCGCATTGGCGAGGCGACGCGGTACCAGGCCGGCGCTATGTGGGATCGCTTCTACGGGGATATGGATGAAGACGGGTCTGCGCGGGAGAGGTTCCTCCGGCGGCTGGACGAGCTGGGCCTGTTTGGCGGGGAAGCGGAAAAGGAAGGGGAGGGGGAGGGCGGAGACGAGGCGATCAAGGGTCGACATACGAGCACGGCGGCCATACAGGGACTCTTCTTGTTCAACAAGAACGACATGGAGGGGGCCATTGAGATGGCCGAGGCGTTGGTGCCGAGGAAGTATGAGCCGACTGAGGCGATTCCCGAGGGAGCTATCAGGACGAAAGCATAACGACTCTCCTTGCTGTTGTGGCAGCAGCCAGCTGAACCGGTGCAACTTATGACAGCCTTGCCCGGTTTTCTGTTTTCGCATGTTGTATTATACAGTTGTATACTAGATGAGAAAGTGTGCACCAAGGGGGCATAGAATGCGATTTCGAGATGATACCCTGGGGGGCTAATCTATTTTGTTCACCAGCCTGCAACTTGCACAACGCATTTCAGGTAGTAATAACGGGCAAGTCGTCTCAGACTCTCAGTGTTCTATTCTACTTTTTCCTCGCTTTTCTCCCATTGGCACGACCCAAACAAGCAGCTCGAGTAGGTTGAAGTCGCGATTCAATTGGAGACGCGTCTTCACCTCGGTCTGGCTCCTCACCGAAGCCTTTAATGGACGAGACTTGTATAAGTACTTCCCGGCCATCTTAGGCAGCAGCGTACGGCTTCACATCTCACACACCACCATCTCAGCTTCAAATTCCCATTCCACCATGTCAAGACAAACTACTCTCGCCGACTACTTTTCCGGAGTACCCGAGGCATCTTCGAACCGCCAACCAAGAGAATCCCACTCGCCATCTCAAAACAATGCCCCATCTTCCTCGTTTTCATCCCAAGCCTCCTCTCCTTGGCCGCCTGACTCTGATCATGAAGACGAGAGTGGAATAGGAGGCATGGTCCGCATGGAAGGGCAAGGAAGAGGAAGGGGAATACCAGATGGACGACGAGAAGGACGACCAGAAGGACGAGGACGTGGCAGAGGCCACTGGGGAGAAGGTCGAGGAGAAGGTCGGGGAGGAAGAGGACGAGGTCGAGGTCGAGGTCGAGGACGAGGAAGAGGAACCAATCCTCGATACGATGCCCGTCCCGCCTCCCGTCGCGGCAACGCAGAACTCGCCGCCATCTGCAAAGAAACCCGCTCCGTCCTCCCCGACATCCTTTCCCATTTGCCCAACATCAACGCCACCGTCTCGGAATGCCTCCACCTCGACACCCTACCCCGTCTTTCACCGCAAAACTGCCCCCGCCATCCACCCACAACCACCCGCATCGTCGACGCCGACACCATCAACGCCGCCCTCGACCTGGCCGCTTCCCAAAACGTCTCCGTCTCGTCATCCCCCTCCTCCCGCATCGCCATCCTCAACCTCGCCTCCGACCGCGTCCCAGGGGGCGGCTGGCGCAAAGGCTCCCTCGCCCAAGAAGAAGCCCTCTGCTACCGTTCCTCCCTCTCCCTCTCCCTCCACCAGCGCTACTACCCCTTCGACTCGCCCCTCATGGGCCTCTACACGCGCGACGTGGTCGTCATCCGGGGCGACATGGCATCGGGCCACAAACTCCTCGTCCCCGACGTCGCCGCGTCGGACCTCCCCGTGCTCAGCTGCCTCAGCGTCGCGGCCCTGCGCCGCCCCCAAGTCAGGGAAGCGCGGGTCACGACGACGACGACGACGACGGTTGCGGCGGGCGAGACGGTTCACGCGCGCAGGGTCGAGTTTGCAAGGGCAGGGGACAGGGAGGCCACGAAGGGGAAGATGCGGCTTTGTTTGCGCATGGCGGCGAGTCGGGGACATGGGTCGCTCGTGCTGGGGGCGCTTGGTTGCGGGGCTTTTGGGAACCCGCCGCGCGAGGTGGCGGTGTGTTGGAGGGAGGTGCTGGGGGAGCCTGAGTTTTCGGGCGGTTGGTGGAGGGCTGTTGTTTTTGCGGTGTTGGATCTCAAGAGGGAAGGGAATTTCGAGGTGTTTGAGGACGTTCTGGGTGGGATGCAGGTGTAAGTCATTGATCGACGCCGTGACACGAAGGCTGCGATTATATCTCACAGGGAAGTTCTTTATGGTACGCCTCGAAACCCCTGGTCATCGTGATGCGACCCCTCACCATCTCACGCGTCACAACAACACAGCAGAACTCACCAGCCGCCAGTTTAGTCTCTCCGAAACCAGAAGACATTTGTCCTACCGTCTACCTTCCACCAAACCAGACTTATGGGCAGAACTCTGGCTCCGCTCATTCCTACTCGCACGGAGGCCTTGGCGAGTCGACCTCGGTCTCAGGCCCGGCTTGAGCATACCTCATCAATAATGCCTTTACGAGCATCGGACCAGACAAACCATACAACTCCTCTCCTTCTCGAACTCGTCGGTACTACATAATGTTTCACTCTCTGCATACCACCCCCCTTTCAGAACCCAGACGAATGGACTGTCACGTCTCCCATCGTACCGGACGTGATAGGGGGTCAGGGGCGCAAAGAGATTGGGAGAGGTTCACAACACATCGGATGGTTGAGGCCAATAGTATGGCTGCCAAGTGAACTTTTTTAGATCCTTCTTTGATAAAACTGGACAGCCTGGACTACGTATCAGCGACAAGACGGGGATTTGCAGGTGATGAACGAAACATTGCACGAGACTTGAGTATCTGTGTCTGAGGACCTCAACTGACTCGCCCGTCCACCATCCACGTGTCGAGGCAAAACTATATAGTCCATGGCTTTGCCAACGACCACAATTACAGCCACCTGTCTACGTATGGTATATATATATACGAATGGCGGGGACCGTCAGATTTTAGGGTCAATCTTCCATTGATCCATGGTCGTGGACCTTCTTTCGCTACTCGTGGTCCTCTATTTCATCTTCCAACTTTCACAATGAAGCTGATCACTGTGATCAGCACGTTGTTGGCCATCGCGATACCCTCCATCGGGGTCGCTGGTCAGCCTGGGCTCGCTCTCGGTTCCACGACTTACCCCAACCCCGGTATTTGCACCGGCACTTGCGTTAATACACACGACCCGTTCATCGTCCGCCGCTCTGATGGAGTTTACTTCCGCTTCTCCACCAGCGGGAGGGTAACCATCCACACGGCCTCGGCCATCACCGGACCCTGGACGTACCAGGGCGCGGCCTTGCCTGGGGGATCGACCATCGATCTCGAGGGTAATCAGGATCTCTGGGTAAGCTGGAGCCTCCCGCGTTTGTAACTCATGACCGGGTCGTGTTACATGTACACATACCGACCCAGCTCCCGTCTCGTCGCACAAAGTCGACTCCTCTATTGGCCATTTCTGTCATGTGCCCTCGGAACAGCCCTTATTGACTTCCCCTCAGGCCCCCGACGTCATCCAAGTCGACAACACCTACTACCTGTACTACTCCGTCAGCACCTTCGGGTCCCAAACCTCCGCCATAGGGGTAGCCCAGTCGTCGACCTTGGACGCCGGCAGCTGGACGGACCTCGGATCGACGGGGATCGACTCCGACCCCGCCTCGGAGCCCTACAACGCCATCGACGCCAACCTGATCAGGGCGGCGGGCGGCCAGTACTACATGACCTTTGGCAGCTACTGGGCCGGCATCCACCAGGTCGCGATGCGGAACCCGCCGACCCAAACGGCCCCCGGTAGCGTCCCCTATCAGATCGTTTCCGACCCCGTCAGCAGGAACGTGGAAGGGGCGACCCTCTTCCCGCGTAATGGCTTCTATTACCTTTTCTACTCCAAGGGGTTTTGCTGTCGCTACGACCAAGAACGGCCACCGCCTGGCGGGGAGTACAGGGTCCTCGTCTGCCGCTCGGAATCCCCCGCGGGGAACTTTGTCGATAGGAACGGCACTTCGTGTACGCAAGGCGGGGGGACCGTCGTGTTGGAGTCGCACGGGTTCGTGTACGGGCCCGGCGGGCAGGGCGTCTACCTCGACCCTCAATTGGGGCCTGTAAGTGGTCAGAATTATTCAGAATTGTTCGCGAATCACCAACTCCGGTTGGCCATTCTTCTTCTCTGTCGTTGAAGCTCTCCGCTAATGTCTGAATCGACGCACTAGGTCCTCTACTACCACTATCTTGACACACGCATTGGCTATGCCGATAGGCAGAAGCAGTTTGGCTGGAACAGAATTGATTTTTCTAGCGGCTGGCCTGTTCTGTACTGAGAGACAGGTGCAATAGTATGTAAGGCAAGGGGCATGCCGCATCTCCGGGCAAGAAACCATGGGCGTATCATGTACGGGTGAAGTGTAGGGGAGAAGACGGCTTGGGAGTGCCCCCGGAGTACGTTTGAAGGCTGCAGCCGACCATTCGTAACTTGTGAGTACCATATAGAGGCGTTACATGCGGGCGTTTATGTGTACCTTATATAAGTACGTAGGTGTTAGGACTTGCACGTAGAACTGATAATCTAAGGTACAGGTACAAGGACCTACTACTTGGTACTTAGCTTATGGTTCCGGCGACGGTGGAGAAAGCGACGGGACTGTGGTACTTCCTCCGGCGCTAGGTCTACACGTGTAGGACCGGATCCGAGACTCCGTGGAAGCGGAGCGGGGACCGGGTCACCGGGGTTGGTGTCGGCCGAGCTGTGGGTTCTATTTCGTAAGATTCGCTCTAAAACAAAAGCCTGTTTTCAAAAGGATGTCGTACGGAGGAACGTCCATCTGCATCGCATCGCATCGCATGGTATGGCCCATAGGCAGGGCAGCTTCGTGACTTTCGTGCCGAGATGGTCGAGACGATTCTATTGATATAATCGGAGTGGAAATAGTGACTGGGCTAATAAGAAACGGACCATGTTGTGATTGTTGTGAACTTCCAGTGTGAGGTGTCAGAGTCGAACGTGAAGCAGTGAAGCTGAAGCTGAAGCCGAGCAGCTACAAGGTACAAGGTACTCCGTATGAATTAGAAATTCCGTCCCGACCCTTACCGTGGGAAACGTCGGGCCGATAACAACCGAAGACCCGGTTTGTCACGTGACTGTACACATGACTTCAAGGCCACGAGCACATGTCATCTGCCCCAACCCCCCGCCTCCCATTTAGCCCCATTCGGCTGCCTCTCCCCTCCCCCTTCCACCCTCCACCCCCCCCCCCTGTCAACAGTTCATCCGTTTTCTCTCCCACCTGGAGGATCATCAGCTCCACACCAGCTCCTTCGAGTCGTCAGCGGTCCCCATCGCCAAACCACCGACGAAAGACGCACGCACGACGCACGACACAGGACGACCCGGATGACACGCAGCCAGCTTCCTACACGTCAATCGTTGTCGCCAACACCTTTCTCGTTCCGTCGTCCTTTTCCCTACCTACGATTATAGCATTATAGCTCTTCCGATACCTTCACTCTGTGCTCCGCCGCACTCTTCCCACCCTCCGTCGACCTCAACTTCAGACTCATCAGACTCATCAAACCCCCTATCCGCTCGCTATCGCGTTTTCATTCGTTCCTCTTCCCACCGTCCGTCCCTCTCCCACCGTCCCCAGCTGCCGCGAGCTGGCGGCTCTCTCTCCAGCTCCATTCGAATGAATGCCACCCCTAAATCCCTTCCTCGCCGCCTTCTTCCGGAGCCCCTTACCCGCCCAGTGCTCTCCCGTCCATCACCATATCCTCCTAGTACCCACCACCGAGGTTCTCCTCACCTCGCGCGAGGTTGAGAGCGGCGCCTCCTCGGCTTCGTCGTCGAATGATATCCTACATTCCGAGGATTTCCTCGCTAGCCATGTCCTGAAGGCTCCCGGCACGGCTGTCGCTCCGCCCGGCTCGAAGGAGGCCGTTCCGAACCTCCGCGAGGTGAGAGGCAAGGCGAAGCAATACACCACCCTTAACGGTCGTAGCCTCGTCATTAAGGATGGGCAAGTCTATACGAACAAAGGTTCGCCCACCCGTGCTGTGCTGCTGCGGCTTGGTCCTGCCACTGCCTCTGCCACTGCCACTGACTGACATTGTCGCTGATGCTGATGCTGATGCCGATGCCGATGCTGATGCTGACTCCCAATCTCCTCAGGCTTCAAGTCCCTCGCACAAGCCCAGCTACTCCACGACGTCCCATGGTACCCAGACGTTCTCGAACCCCGACAATGGCTCGTCTACTACATCTCGCGGCCTCTCGTTGGCACCTGGGAGGAGATCAAAATCACCCCGGCCATTTTGGTCGAGGGTGCCGCGAGGAAACAAGCCCTCGAGCAGAGTCGCACCGCCGGCTCCAACGGGGGGGAGAGCACAACCCTCCCCCGCAAGAAGGACATCAAAAGCTTCCACGACCTGCTGAACCACTTCCCCGTCATCGCGCGCCAGATGCAGCCCGGCCTCGACAAACTGTTTCTCGAGTTCCGGCACGTCTTCGAACGACCGCTTCCGCCTCCCCCCTCTGCCGCCACCATTCCGGACCCCATCCCCGACGGGCCCATCACGAACGCCATGAAGAGAGCAAGGTCCAGCAGCATGTCCCTACACCACAACACAAAAACCGAGCAGCAGGCGACCACACCCGTCACGCCTGTTCTGGACCACTTCTACATGGACAACGACGACGACGACGACGACGACGACGACGTCATGAGGGCGTCTCTCGAAACCGCCGTCACCACCGCCATTGATCTCTTCCAGGGCGTGGACAAGCAGCAGCTGTCCATGCTCGGCGCCACCACAGACCTGACGGGACCCCTGGTCGAGAGGTTGATCGAGCGTTACGTCACCGAGAACGTGCATCACCTCATCTTCCCCCGGTTGGCGACCTTGAAGAGACGCTACGACCTCGAACTCGAGGCCAAGATTCGCCAGATGGAGTTCATCGACCTATCTCAGCTCGGCATCGGCATAGAAGGCGGCTCGAGGGTCAAGCACGAACTGACCATTCACCTGGCGCTCGCCGTGGAAGAATTCAAGAAAATGGGACATGCCGCGAGCCCGCAGGAGATGCTGGAACTCTTGCTTTCCACCACCAAGCTGGTCACTCGGCTGACCGGCGTGCCGGGGGACGGCGAGGGTCAGGGCCAAGGCGAGGGTCAGGGCCAGAATGAACACCAAAAAGAAGCGCCCTCGGAGAAACCGACATTGATGGTCAACGCCGATACGCTCGTATCCCTGCTGCTTTTCGTGATCATCCGGGCCCAAGTCAGGAACTTGCAAGCACGGTTGGCGTACATTCGGCACTTCATCTTCATCGATGACGTCGAAAATGGCGAACTGGGCTACGCCTTGAGCACCTTTGAAGCCGTTCTGACGTATCTGGCCATGGACTCGGGAGGCTTGCGAAAAGCAAGCCGGCGGAACAAGGCTCTGTGGGATGCCGCGCGCAGCGGGAGCCTGGCCGATCTGCAAAAAATCATGGAGCCCAGCGGGGTCTGCGGCGACAGCGACAGCGACAGCGACAGCGACGGCGATGACGATGACGACGACAACGACGACGACCAAGAGGAGGAACCGGAAGAGTGCGGACGGCAGCAAGTAGACGCATCCGACGGAACAGACGCAGCAGACGAGGAGGGCCCTTACCACAACACAAACACAAGAACATTACCTAGCCACTCCCCCAGTAGGAAAGACTCGGCCAACGACCCGCCGCCGAGGAGGTCCTCCATCACATTTGCATCCACCGATCGGTTCTCCCTCGGGTCCGGCCTACATCACGTCTTCCCGTTCCAGGCCGGCCATGGGACGACGGCAGGGACGACGGCAACGGACGGCGACCTCCACCCCCTCCAGCTGCCCACCAAGAGAGTGAAGAAGGTGGCCATGGACACGAGGAGCATGTCCAGCAGTTCGGAAATCTCGTATCATTCGAGGGCCGGCAGCCTGCTGACCATGGGAAGCGCGCTCGAGGGCGACATTTCCATCGAGCGGCTCTCGCAGACGCACGACTCCTTCGGCGAGTCGGTGCTCATGATGGCCGTGCAAAACGAGCGCCCGGACGTGCTGCGCTACCTCCTGTCGCTGGAGGCATACTACCCCTGCCCGGTGGTGCTCAATGACATCAACAACGAGGACACCACCCTTCTCAGTGCCGCCGTCCAGCTCGGCCACACCGAACTCATCGACATCATCCTCGGCTTCGTCACCAAGGCGGCCACCACGCCGGACCAGGTAAAGCGGTACCTCGCGCTGCAAGACATTTGGGGGCGCAGCTGCGCGCACTACATGTTCCACGCGCCGTACCTGATCGCCAAGATTGGCAAGCTCGTTCCCTGGCGGCAAAAGGACAAGAACGGCCAGACGCCGCTCTTCGCGCTCTGCCGGTCGTACGACCACGGGGACTACCTGGAGATGGTGCAGGCCGGGATGGATGCGGCGGCGGAAGCGCAGGGGGACGGGTGGCCGCTGCACGTAGACGACCACGTCGACAACAAGGGGAACACGCTGCTCCACATCGTCAACGACGCGCTGCTCCTCACGAGGATCCTGCAGGAGTGCGACGTGGACGTGAACGCGACCAACGAGAAGAAGTTCACGCCGCTCATGGTGGCGAGCAAGTACGGGCGGCTGGACATGGTGCGGACGCTGTACGTGGACCCGCGGGTGGACACGGCGGCCAAGGAGCTGCGCGGGCTGACGGCGGTGGAGCTGGCCAAGGACGACGAGGTGCGGAACCTGATCGACGGCCTCGCGCTGTTCAACCTGCCGCCGGCGGGCGCGGGCGCGGGCGCGGCGGACGCGCGCCGCATCTCCGGCGTGGTCCGGGCGTATTTCGTCGAGGACGCCACGGTCCGGCTCGTGCTCAAGTCGGCGGTGCCGGTGGCGGTGCCGGCGGAGGTGGTGGACGCGGCGGTGACGAGCTACACGGTGACGACGACGCGGCGGTCGCTGTCGGACTTTGAGCACCTGAGCCGCCTGCTGGCGATGGAGAACCCGGCGTCGTGGATCCCGGCGGTGGGCGGGCCGCGGTCGCCGTTCCAGGTGCCCTCGAAGCCGTCGCGGACGGTGCTGCGGGACATACAGATCCGGGCGGACTGGTTCCTGCGGATCCTGCTGGCGCACTCGACCTTCTCGACGCACGAGATGCTGTGGGAGTTTTTGCTCGTGCCGGACATCCAGCTGGACATGATGGACCAGCGGAGCCGGCTCAAGGCGGAGGCGCGGGCGGAGAAGGTGCGGGAGGAGATGGAGCCGCTGGAGGATGTGCGCGAGGTGGAGCAGTTTGCCAACCACGCGCGGGAGATGATACGGAGCGTCAATTACGCGACTAAGAGTGTGGCTAAGAGGGCGAATGCCGCGAGTGTGGCCGCAGCTGGTGGGTGCACCTTTTTTTTTTCTTCTTTTCTTTTGTTTTCTTTTTTTTTTTTTTCCCTTCTCCTATGTTCATGTGGTGTCCTTAACCCCCAACTAACCAAAGCGTCCGTCTGAGCAGATCTCCACGACGCAGCAGCGCTTCTCCACCGCGCCGCGGCAACGCTCGACTTCCTCCCCCGGCGGCACATCACGGCCTTGGAAGGCTACGTACGCACGCTGGCGCCGCCGCAGCTGGGCCCCTGGGCGGCGCTCCACAGCTCGCTACTCGCATCCCAGTCGACGATCCAGGCGCTCCTCTCGGCGCTGGCGCGGCCGGCATCGCTCACGTCGCAGATGGCGACGACGCGCAAGGCGATGGAGCGGAACCACAGCTCGCTGCACCGGTCGACGCGGTGGCCGCTGGGCCTGCTGGACGACACGCGGCAGCGGTTGCAGGAGGAGAGGGAGGAGAAGGCGCGGCAGGCGCAGGGGCAGCTGGACGACCTCGGGCGGGAGCTGCGGTACACGCAGCAGGTGGTGGCGGCGGAGCTGGCGGGGTTTCACGAGCTGCATCGGAGTATGGGGCGGAGGGCGATTCGGGACTTTGCGAGGGGGGTGGTGGTCCAGGAACGCATGCGGCTGGATGGGATGGTGAGGTTGTTGCGGAAGTTGAGGGAGGCGGGGCCGCGGGTTCGAGAAGAGAAGCTCGCTGGTGGTGTGGAGGCGAGGGTAGCAGAGAAAAGCAGCCTGGCTACAACCATGGCTGCGGATTCCGAGACACCTTCGGGTAATGGCACAGAAGGAGAGAGGGCAGGGTCGGCATAGCATAGTTAGAGTAGATGGAGGGGGGAGTGTATAGATAGGGCAGGGTGGTGAGTGTCTTAACAGCAACACGACACACAACAGACGAGACCATAATTAGTGGATGGAAGGGAACCCGGTGTTCTTTTCTCTTGGTATACCCCGGCCGCGGCCAGCGTAAAGCAGCGTTAAGCAGAAAGACGACCGAGTACGACTAAACCTATAGAAATAATGTCTTGTCGAATCCCTGCCGTCGCAATCATCATGTCTGTTCAGGGGGAGGTTGCAAGACCCGTCGCCATGGCGCATCTAAGAATACACTGACGCTTCACTATCCCGGGATCCTAGAGGGGACCTTTCCAGAGTGGCCGAACCTTCTGCTCTCTCGAGTTGGACGTTGCTAGAACTATAACCTATGACCCCATTGCCTCTTCACTCTGCCCTCGCTGCATCTTCCACGCCCTAAGACCGAAGATATCACGGGCATGAAGACGGGGATGCTCCCGTTATACTCCTGTACCTTGTACCTTGTACCTTGTACCTTTGACGGAAACGTGGGAGATGAACGTTATCGATAACGAATTGATCAACGTCAACGATCATTTCAACGGGCCCGGTATATTAATATTCCGCCACGCCGATGACACTTAACGACGGCTGCGTACCCGTACGCTAAACCGTTTCGGGAGTGGAACTTCAACGGAAGCTTCAAGTTGAACGTCCAAGGTACGAAAGCACGTGTACCCACACAAGTAAAAGTGTCCCCAAGTACCGAAGCAAGACACAGGGGTCGACCTTGACCTTGACCTTGACCTTGACCTTGGAACTTCGACCTTCCACCTTCTTGCTTTCTTGTCTCTCCACCCTCAAAGCCACTCTCTGTGGTGCTGTGTCGAAATTCGTCTTCTCGACGAAAAGCGAAAAGCAAAGGGGCCTAAACCTTTGCCAGTCGATACATCTCCTTTCTCTTTTTCCGTTCTTATTTCTTGTTCTTTCGCTAATATTGACGACGCGTCCTTGAATCCTCCATGCGGCTCCTCTCCTCGACCATCCCACGACTCTCAAGACCTCGAACGTCCAGTCTCGACTCCAATTCCTTTCTCTCCCTTCCGACTTTCGACTTTCGACGTTCATCTCCGTTCCACCACTAGCCCCGTCGATGCCGCGAAGCTGTACAATTCCCCTGTCGTCATCGACCCCCCCCTGAACAACCGCCCGCCCCTCCCCTTCCGCCCCTCCGCCGCCCCTCATGGCTCGCCGCATGGGGTCCGTCCGCCTCAAGAGGGCCAACCCCATAACCGTCGCAGTGGGCGCCCTCCTCTGCATCTTCATCGTCCTCTTCCTGTTCTACCCCTCCGGGTCCTCCCATGCCACCACCTCACAACGGGCCGGCGCCGCCGTCCACCCCCTCTCCCCTCCGACAGCGCCGTACCGAAGAATTCCCGGCCTCTCCGAGTCAAGACCGCCGCCGGTCATCCGCTACAACATGAACAACATCACCGCCACCGCCGACCCGGAGGGCAACCGCGAGAACATCCTCCTCCTGACCCCGATGGCGCGTTTCTACCCCGAATACTGGGCCAACCTCCTCCGGCTGACGTACCCGCACGAGCTCATCACGCTGGGCTTCATCCTCCCCAAGACCAAAGAGGGCAACGAGGCCACGGCGGCGCTGCAGAAGCAGATCGCCAAGACCCAGCGGCACGGGCCCGCGCGGGACCGGTTCCGCAGCATCGTCATTCTGCGGCAGGACGACGAGCCGGCGCTGGCCTCGCAGGACGAGGGCGAGCGGCACAAGCTGGCGAACCAGAAGGCGCGGCGCGCCGTCATGGCCAGGGCGCGCAACGCGCTCCTGTTCACCACGCTGGGCCCGGACGCGAGCTGGGTGCTCTGGCTGGACGCCGACATCGTCGAGACGCCGCCCTCGCTGATACAGGACCTGGCGGGGCACGACCGCGCCGTGCTCGCGCCGAACTGCTTCCAGCGGTACTACGACGAGGAGACGCGCCGGGCCGAGGAGCGGCCGTACGACTTTAATAATTGGCAGGATAGCGAAGTGGCGCAGAAGCTCGCGGGGGCGATGGGGCGGGATGATATCTTGTTGGAAGGGTACAGGGAGATGCCGACGTACCGCGCGCTCATGGCGTACATGGCGCAGGAGGGCAAGGATGAGAAGTTCGAGGTGCCGCTGGATGGGGTGGGCGGGACGGCGTTGCTTGTCAAGGCGGATGTGCATCGCGATGGTGCCATGTTCCCGCCTTTTGCTTTCTATAACCTCATTGAGACGGAGGGGTTTGCCAAGATGGCCAAGAGGTTGGGGTGGCAGCCGTACGGCTTGCCGAATTACAAGGTGAGAGGTCGCATCCCACTTCTACATTCCTTTCTTTTCTATCCTCACCGTGTACTAACTGTCTTTCTTCCCAGGTTTACCATTACAACGAGTAGACCCAATTGACCCTGTTCCGTCACGAGCAGGACAGGGAAATATAGTCACCAGCAACCGAAACCGACTCTGCTGCTAGCCGATAGCAGAGCAGACATCATTGCCTTGATGGGCACGGACCGAAGGACGGAGAGAACAGGACAACAGGACGTCTTGTCTGTCCTTGTCCATACAAGCCGCCGACCATGAGCGAGGTGGTCGTTGTATAAAGTACATCCCAGCATATCACCATTTCAACACGCAAAAAGGGGTCGGGATTCGGAGTCTCACGGTATTATTGATTTATATTTACTACCTTTATGTATCCAGGCACTCTCCAAACGAGAAGATGCCCTCTGTTTTGTTCTTCATTTCCTTTTCAACCGAGTCACGAGTCAATAGATCACTGAAGGAACTATTACCGTAACTATGAACCACAACGATGTGATGTCTTTCCTCTTCCATCGCTTTATAGACACATGCTTTGCTTGGACCTTTATCCTCAAACATATATATACAACAGCATGCATGTCTCACTATAACCTTCACCTTCTATTCTGCCAACACATGCTCACTCCCCTCACTCCCCCTCATACCTCCCCCCCTCCTCATGGCACCAAAACTCCACCAGCCCGCGCGCCCCCCGGACATCCCCCGCGCGGAGCAGCGCCGCCACGTCGACGTTGAACGGCGAGTCCACGGCCGGGTACGACAGCAGCGAGCGCACGGCGCGCACGCACTCGAGCACGCTGTAGGCCGGGGTCCAGGCCTCCTTGAGCAGGTCGAGGCAGATCTCGCCTGAGTCGAAGGCGACGTTGGGGTGTATGATGGGGGTGGCGAAGCGGATGCGCGGCGGGTGGAGGGGGTAGGTTGGTGGGATTTCGATGGTGAGGAGCCAGCGGCCTTCTGTGTTTGTGTCCCTCGTTAGTCTTGCGAGATGATGGGTGGTGTGGGGGAAGAAACAAGCGAGAGGAAGAAAGGAAAAGGAAAAGGAAAAGGAAAGAAGGGAAGAAACAAGCGAGAGGAAGAAAGGAAAGGAAAGAAGGGAAGAAGAAGGAGACCAACCGTCGTATCCGCATCCCACCCCCCGTCCATTCACCACCGCCTCCCACCGCAGGAGATCCTCATCCCCCACGGGACCTAACCTCTCGATCCCCTTCTCCGATGCCTGCTCCCCGCGCCATACGTCCAGTTCTTTCAATAGCCGGCGCGTCGGGCTGCGGTTGTTTGCCGGCGCCGCCCCTCCCTTTTCCTTCTCGGGGAGTTCTTGTATTCTCCACGACATGGGGAATCTGAACGGAAGCTTAAGGTATGGATGTAGGTTTCTGTCAGCCCTATCAATATTGATCGGGTCTTTCGTTGGTCGAGTCGCTTTTCGTCGTCTCCGAGTCTGGGGAGTCTGCGCGCAACGGAGGGGAAGTTGACCGGGGGGTAGGAGAGTGGGAGCCGGACTGCTGAATGGCAAATGGGTTGCTGTTGGCGGTAATCCAATTGGAGTGAGAGGAGGAGCAATTGGCAACTACCTTACCCATACGTGTGGAATGGAAGTATAGTATGGAGTATACCTTGGGCGGCCAAGTTCACGAGTGAAGCAAAAAAGATGTTTGAGGTACGAAGTAATAATGGAAGCTCTGTCCGGGAGACTGAGGTAAGGTAAGGTAGAGGTACCTTAGGTACCTTAGGCAGCGGGACACGGGACGCAGGTACTTGCTTCGTACAGGCTCCGTACAGATACAAGTACCGGTCATCGGCCCAAACTGAACCGAGGCTGCTCGGCTCACCCAGGCGCTCTAACACTGCGCGCTGTAAATCAGGTAATTACCTAAGCCAAGGCAGTGGACTCTTTGGCCTCCCACCTCCCGTCACCGGCGACCCCCTTTCACTTTAGCCCCGTTTCACTTTAGCAGGCTCAACGACACAATCATAGAAGCAAGACAACCAATATCCCCATATGTTCATTACGCATTTGTCTCCCGTTAAACAGCACATCTCTCTCGTCTGCCTGTCTTAAATCAACCTAACAAGACAAAAACATTTCCTCCTCTAGTTTGTCTCCATCGGCCCTGCGGCCTGTGGGAGGGGGGAAATCTCATCCCCATTCCTACTCCACCCCAGCGCGTCAGTCAATATGTTCTGAGAAAAAAGAACAGCTTGCAAAAAACAAGCCATGAGATAAAGATGCCCCCCAGCTCTGCCTTGGGACTGATTTCCATCTCCTGCTACAGAGGGAAAAAAGAAATCCCGAAGGAAGAAGAATAAACTAGAAGGCTCATGCCATGACTGCCCCCTCATGCTGTCATGTGTAACGCCGGCCATACTCCCACAAATTCTGTTGAAATAGCAAAAGAAAACACAACGAAGCCTCCTAAAACCAAGAGTAGAGAGGCAAGGAAAAAAAGTTAAAGAAATGAGACGGAAAAAGGTATTTGCGTTTCTTCCGCCTCGTGGTCCGCTCATGATGGTGACATGCATAAGGTAATCCCAGAGAGGAGAGTTCCGTATCGTATCTCCCGCCATCGAAAAGGGGGCATGCTCTGTCGAATCATCGGGGGGGAAAGAAGTCCGTCGGCCGCATGAAGCGTGGCAAAAAAGAAGGAAAAAAACCTGTACAGTGAATTCCATGTACATTCGTCATCATATCCATTCGATCAGCGTTGGAACCGTCGCTGTCTCTCGTTCACGTCTTGGTCGAATCCCTCGACTCCGGCTTGGGCTTCCAAAACTGCATCAGCCGACTCAGCCGCTTCGCCTTGCTCGCCTTCTGCTTCTTCTCCGCGTCGCTCTCGTACTGCACTTCCGTCGACAGCTTGCTCCGCTCGCCGTGCGAGCTGCTGATCAGCCGGCTCAGGCTGGCCAGGCTGGACCGCCGACGCCCGAACGCCACCGACGACACCGACGACGGGCGCTGGTCCGGCCGGAACGGCAGCTGCGCGCGCGGCTGGGGGCCCGGGATCCACGTCGTGCTGCTGTGCCGCGTCATGGTCGACCGGCTCGACGTCAGCGACGGCGGCACGTCCATCGACAGCCGCACTTCCGGCCCGGGCTCGCCGAGCAGGAGCGACTGCAGCGTGTTCTCGTCGTTGTTGACCGACGACGGCGCCGTCGAGATGCGCTGCGCGTCGTACGAGATCGGGGACCGGGGCGACGGGAACGACGAGGCGTGGCTCATCGCGTAAGGGCTGACGGGGACGTTGTTGCACGTCGGCAGCTGGAGCGGGCTGACGTCGTCCGTCGCCATCGTTGTAGTATCGCCGCCGGCCATGATGCGTCGGGGTGACGGCGCCGCCGAACTGGTTGAATCGGACCGAGTCTGCTTCTCGAACTGACCTGGTGCGGGAACGGGAACGGGAACGGGAGGTATGGCGGTGGACGCCTCTTCGACAATGACCTGCTCGTGCAACGACGCCGCCGATCGCTCCGACTTCATGCTGGCCGTCGGTCGTCGCCGCTCCACCGTGCCCGCCTCCTGCAGCGTCGAGCCATCGAGATCAAATGCTTTAGGTTTAGCCGCCTTGGTCGCCGGAGGCGTTTCGTCCTCGTCGCTGCCGGTGTCTGTCATGTCAGTCTGGTCCTCGCCTTCCTCGTCCTCTTCAAACACGTCGGCCATTGTCGAGCTACTGCCGAACCGACTGATGCCGAACCGCGCGGCCTCGAAGGGGACCATCTCTGGCGCGCTCTCGGCTCGTCGATGATAATGCATACCCGGTCCCGAGAAGCCCCTCATGCCCTGTGCACTATGCAACTGACGCTTTGTTGTCGGACCAGCCGCCTTTTGCGCTGCTTCCCATTCCGGATTGTGCGGTAGCGGCGTGTTGAAGGGACCAAGCGCAGCATCGAGGTCGATCATCGGGAACGACGAGTCATCGTCGAATCCCATGCGTCGAGGCCTCCGCCGCTGCCCATCGTCGGTTGAATCGGACGAGTCCGTCACCGTCACCGTCACCACCGGGGCCACGACTGACAGGGCCACCGCCTCCGCCTCCGCTGGCGCCTCTGAAGCGGCGCAGTCGGGAGATGGCACCTCGTCATTCGGTGTAACATCGTGATGCGTCATAGAGGCGCTCGGTGGTTTCTTGCCGCGAGGCTTTGACTTGCTCTTTAGTATGGAACCGGCCCACGACTTCACCTTCTTCTTATTCTTCTTCTTCTTCTTGATCGCTCCTTTGCCAGATGCCTGCTGGGTAGATGGTTCGACATCTGCAGGCTCATGACCGGGCTCGGCGGCTGAGTCGCAAGTAGGATCGGACGATACCGACGCGGAATCACCAAGTTTCGGGGACAAATCGTAAGAAGCTGCCCGGGGAGACTGTTTCCCTCCGACTGGTGCCAGTGAGGCTGCGAAAGGGTCGAGTCCGAAGAAAGACCACCTTTTGGGTGTCTTGGTCGGGCTTGGGTTGGAAGGGATCTTGGCCGTCGGGTCCGGCAACGAGGTCAGGGACGGGATCGAATTTCGTCGATGAAGAGACGGTCCACTGTGGCTGACGGACTGGATGCTCTGGGAACGCTCCAAAACCGCGCCGGCCGTGCTAGGCCGCGACCCGACCGTCTGCCGCGTGGGGGTCCGCTCCAACGGGACGGCCTCTGCGGATGGGTTCTCGGGAATCGTCATGTCGAGCTCGGAGATGATTGACGATAGACTTCCCGAAACGGAATGTCCTCCTGGGCGGGCGGTTGCCGTGCTCGATCCGTCGCTTGATACCAAGGAAAGGGGTCTGGGAATAAACTCCAGCTCGTCGGAGAACCCCACCCGAGCACGAGGCGCAGGCCTAACTCGAGGTGTAGTTTGGATGTCAGCTGAGTCTTCGCTTTCCTCGGAGGTAGGCTGTTTGTTGTCATCCGGCTTTTCCTGCTCCAGGTCGGGAGTCCTCGGCATGGAAAACTGTTCCGAAGCGCTGGTGCGGGGGTCTTCAAATTTATGACCGAAGCCGGCAGGACTGGCAGGGGCGCTGCTGCCACGGAACGAACCAGGGCGCTGCGGCGGCTGAAGAATGAGGGTCAGATCGTGGCTCGAGATGGCTGCAGATCGTCGATGGTTGTGTCCTCTTCGCCGGCCGCCGGGGGATGGAGACGGAGCACCGACGGAAGGTGGTTGGAAGGCGGGCGATGCGAACCCGCTCTCCGACTTGGTCGGGCTCGTGCTCATCACCGTGATAGATTCGCCGGTCCGAACGTTCCCCCCGACAAACTCGCTCCCTCCTCTTCTGTGGCCGTGACCGCCGGTCAAAGAGGCCGACGGGCCATGTCGGGGTGAGCGGGGTGACAATGGAGGGCTCAGAAAAGCAGGTGTTGAATCGGGAGGGAGAGACGCGCCCGGGTTGAAGTTGAAGCTGGGCAAGGAGGGGCGCCCAGCTGGCCGGGTAGGCACAGGCACAGGCACGCTGCTGCCCTCTTCGGTGTCGACCTTGTCGACCTTGGTGGCAGTGGAGAGGCCAGACATCTCAACGACCGATCTTGGCCGTCGTGCCGTGGACCTGGCTGGTGCTTGTGTAGGGACGGAAGGCTCGCGCGCTGGGAACACGAAAGGCGGATTCGGAGGCGGCACAGTCCGAGGAGAGGGCTGGGGCGCATTGGACGACATGTCGAGGTGATTCGGGTGGGTTCCAGCGTCCATGGAGAGCACGCTCGGTACATGGCGACCAGACGACGGACCTTCGAAGGAGCTCATGCCTGTAGTATCCATGACTCTCTCTGGTCCAATGGTGGCCATCTTCATCCAGCCGCTCGGCGGCACCGGGGTCGATGAGCGCCGTGTCGGCTTATGGGGACATTAGTGAGGGCGACAGGGGAAGAGACGCAATCTCGGGTCGAGATTTCGTTTCGTTTCGTTTTATGTATTTCTTTTTTGTTTTCCGAGTCGTCGTTCACCGAGGCGAAGGATGATGAGATGTTATGCAATCCCGGAGAAAATCCCCGGTAAAGCGCAGATAGAGACGATCGAATACAGAGGGCGATTTCGTTCTCGAGCGAGCACTAATGAAAATGGCGACCCAAGTCAGTATTATGATTTGTGTCAAATCTTGACACGACCGGCAAAAGACAGAGAACGGAGTGACCTAGAAGTCATAAAGGTGTTGGCATGAAGCCAGGATATCACGTACAACTCTGAAGAGCGAAAAGAAGCTGCCGCCGTCGTGTGTCTGTGTCGTCGAACGAGATTCCTAAAGCATGAACAAGACAAAAATGCTGAATGCCCCAATTTGTGGCCCTAAGCAGGTTACCAAACAGAGGCTGAAAAAGATTCGCTCTTTACAAAAGGAGTGGACGGTCCGGAAACACAAAATCTGACGATTTTGCCGGACCCCGAAATCAACGTAGGTTGCTTCGGTTGGGACTTATTGAAGTGAGGGTTGGGAGGATGAGGTTGTGGAGGAGGGTGAGAGAGTACGGAGGAAGAAGAGAGAGGGGGGGAAATCAGGATGCTACGGATACGGAAGGGCGGAAACGTGAATCGATGGAGACTGTACGAAAGTAAGGTACGAAGTGCGAAGTACATAGGGTACATAGGCAGGTACCTCAGATAGGCGAAACAGCAGACAAGGCAAGAAACCTTAACAATCAGGAACGCCGAGGAACAACTTGTGGGGGTGACCCATATCAAATTGGGGGGAAACGCCGTCCATCGGTCGTGGTGGATACTTGCCAAGTCCAACCCCGGCAGCAGACCGGAGTGTAAGGTACGGGATACAATGTGCGTAAGGGCTTAAGTGTGAAGTACATGTACAGATTACCCGCACTCTGTCCTTTTGGTATCAGTACCTGCATTGCACTATCTTCCAGGACAATGTGATGCCTCGAATGCTCACCTTCCTGACTTGGGCCCAAGAACAGACTACGGTACGCTACGAGGACTGAGAAAGCAGCTGCTGCGCACCGTTCGGATGCCTACTGTGGCCTTGAACTGAGTGGCAAGTCAACTGGCCAAACCGCTTCTAGCGCCTCTGCACGCTAAACTGCAAGGGAGCGAAAGGAGATAAGATCAGGGGGTTAGGGGGTCAGGGGGTCAGATGGAAGCAGGGGTTCAACCCAAGATGAGTGCCCACACTAAGGCAGGTACTTCGGTCCCAGGTCATCTCGCAGCCACGGAGCACGTACCTTAGCAACTCGGTTCACTCTCGAGCAACCCTGTCGAATATCGGCGTCCTCGACTTTTACTGGTCAGACTTCTCTCAGACTCGTCTCCTTACATCAAATGCAGGCTTCTGGATGCAGTGGAATTACGGATACGTGGTTCTTTTGTTTCTATTCTTTCTTTTTCTTTCTCTTCCATTTCCCCAGGCAACAAGTTCCAGATTTAAATTTACAGTACGGAGTACAACGTACGCAATTGATGGTGTGGGGGATGAGTTCGTAAGTATGACCGTTCATGGGGGTTCACGGAGCATCGCTGGATACTCGGCAAGAGAAATTAAACGCCAAGTTCGGCGCAAAACGCGAGTAGAATTAATCGCTTCTTCGCATATCCGTACTCTCTGATGTGCACCACTACTTTCACTTGCTATTAATTGCCTTGACACATATGGAGTTCAACTGCCCTCGTTTCTTAGTAGTGAGAACCATCCTAGGCGCTCGACTGCAGATGCATGCATGCATGTGTGTGTTCTAATTATGTATGTATGGCGTCCATACCGGGCAAGACTTCCGTGCAGCCTAGGGTTGCCTCCCTTGGTTAGGTCCGAGATTTGTACGTACAGGTGTACATACAATATGACTTATAACGTACGACCAATTCAAGCCCCCCCAACACCCCATGCCCGGATTACATACCTATATAAGGTACTTTTTGTTGCTCCGTACGGAGTAACACTCGCCCTGCCAAGGGGGCACTGAGATTGCCTGCATAAGAACTTCATCTCCCCGCGATTCCTGTTCGCCCTGCCAACTTGACGGGTTTCCGTGATTCAAAAAAATCTCGGAGAACGGGTCATACGGGTTCTTGCCCAGGGGAACTGAACTTGTCATTCAAGTACCGGACCGAAGGTTGCGCACCACTCCTGTTCGTCCTGTACGAACTATCCGTACTCCGTATCTGAACCCCCAAAAGGTTACATGCGATGTGGGGGGAGCGACCTTGACTCTGTGACCATCGGCCTCTCACTGGACGACAAACCTCGGAACACGGAATAGCGCAAACCGTCCGTTGGGGGGAATACCGTATGCTATGTACATTGTAGGTTTCTGTTCACGGTGTGCCTCGCGGGCGTCAGCACTACTCCGTACACTACACCGACTGCAGAGTGGCGATCCTTTTCGGTACGGTCAGCAAATGTCCAGCGCGGAAAGGCGCCCGCAGACAACGCAGACAACCCGCCAATGTTCAATGCGAGGGGACCAGACTAGGAATGGCTTTCTTTTTTCGGCTGCCTGGAGTTGGGAGTTGCGAGAGAGGGAAGCGCACAGACCGCCACATATCCCGTTTTGTCCAAGTCATATTGGACCGGATAAACTAGTTGGCTAATAAACGCCCTTCACTTAACGCAGGGAATGAATGAGCCGTTGGTATGAATGAGCCGTTTGGCGTGGCGAACGAGTGGGCGGTATAGTTGTAGGAAGTATTAATTACGGGTGCCGAGTAATAATTACTCCGTCCCATTATCGGTATGTTTGCATCTCTTAATTAATACTTCGTAGAATACCTAGGTAAGTGTTCGTACGCGGAATATGTGCAGCCGGATGGTCGTGGGTTTATGTTACATTACTGTGTCGGTTGCACTGTCGATCCCATCTTGGGTGAGCGGCAACCAAGTGACCTTCCTTGCTCATCTTGCATCTCAACAGCCGGCTCCTGGAGTTGCCGTGTGCCGGCCCAAAACACCAAACCGTCTCAGCCAAACCACCAGTACCCTTACGTTCGTTGTACGGGCTAAACAGACATAACTGCAGCCAGAAACCCCCACTGTAGGTTAACAAGAGACCTCGAATGCTTACGTCTTTGACAACATATGTCATCGTGGCTCAGCCGCTCATACAACGTAAACATTGAACCGTGCACCCAGCTGAAACCGAACAACAGGTTGGGGGGGGGTCTGGAATCCTGGAATCCTCCTCGTGTTTCTTGGGGTCCTCTGTTTCTCGATCGTGGATCGTGTCGTGGCATGACAAAGGAGGACAGCCCCAGAACAGAACGTGGAGATCTCCATCTGCCAACGCACCCTGAGAAATCATTTAGTGCATATCGATTTTTGGCTCATGCAGCGAATCATGTTGCGTAAACACGTTGGAGGCCCAGAGTTCGCAATTTCGCCTGTGCCGTGGAGGTTCACGCTGGCTCCAAATATTGACTACGAAGTACATAGATCCACCACCCACTTTACTAAAAAGTAATCAAAGTTGCCCCTTATCGCTCATCCCGTGTCTGTCATCCCAGGGCTGAACCCCCAGGGTCCCAGGGGTTGCAAAGCCGTATCGTGAAAGGTGAAAGAGAATGAAATGTCATGAACGTCATCCTTTCCGAGTCCCATTGAACCATTGAAGACGATGGCTTGGCTATTTGTCTCTCATGGCGGGGATGACCCTGCCTGCGGGAACTGTGAAAAAGAAATTCTGCTCGAGACAAGATGCCGGGTCTCCGAATCGGCGCCGGTAGCTCGGGAGGCCGCTTAATCTCGATGTTTAGTGCACGCGCCGTCGGGTCACAAAGAAAGAAAGAAGAAGGAAAAAAAAAAAAGACATTGGTGCACTAGCAGCCGCATAGCTCGGCGCAATCGTCGTGAGAAATGAAGATGACTGAGAATACCTATCAGGAGGGAAACCCGAAAGGAGACATAATCAGCCTAAGGAGATGCATAGTTGGGAAATTGAGTCGGAGATCACGATGAGAAATACAGTGGTAAAGTAAAGTACGTGACCGGGGTATCCTTCGAAGACAATCTCTAATTAGGTACTTCGTCCTTCGAATTACGAAGTACGGATACTATTTACAACGTACTGTTTAACGTGGTCCTGTGTTTCATCGAGTCTCTCGACGAGAAACAAACGACAAACGAGTGAGATAAAGCAACTGACAAACCAAACCAAACCATTGCCGTGAAACCCTGGTATTGAATCAAATTGTTACACCATCGGCATTAATTAATTGAAATGAAGGGTCTGCGGGGAAAAGGGAAGTTAGGAATGAAGGGACCTCTCTAAAGTGAGGATCACGAATTCCATAGGTCAGCCACATGTCAAAGTGGATCCCACCGCCACATCTCACGTCTGGAAGTCTGGCCAACCACCAACCAAGTCAGTTTTCCATCCATGATACTGCTGATTCAGCCTCGCCCGCCTTCTGGATTAGAAGAAGAAAAAATCGGACAAGGCACGGATAGCAAAGCTCGAACATCGAAGTTGTTGTCCACATCCCATACCGACGCAGGGCACCAGGGAACTCGCGGAACAAGTCTAGCTACCATATTTAAAAGTCCGACTTTTCGCCATGTCCGTAACGGAAGAAGCGACACCTAGCCAAGCGCCCGCGGCGACAAAAACGCCGTTGGGGATGCGAAAGAATGGTACCATGCCAACCCCAGCAAAGCCCGTCCGCCCCTCTCGCAGAACAAACCTCTCTGACGCGCTCTCCAGGCAAGCAATGGCATGAGCCCAAAAAGGCGTTCCGGCCAAAGGCGGGGCTGACCTCCTACGAGCAACGGGCAAAGGAAAGGGAAGCTATGGCCGCCGCGAAGGCGAAGGAGAAGCAGATGAAGGACGAGAAGGAGGCTTTGCGCCAGGTACGTTTGCTGGGAAACTGCGCTCTACTGTCTGGCCCAGTAAGACTGACTTTTTTTTTCTTTTTTTTTTCTTTTCTTGTTTCTGTTCAGCAACGAACCCAAGCTCTCCGAGAGAAAAGAGCCAAGAAGGAGGAGAAGGAGAGATACGAGAAGATGGCGGAGAAGATGCACCGCAAGAGGGTTGAGAGGTTGAAGCGCAAGGAGAAGCGCAACAAGTTGCTCAATTCGTGATGCACGAATTTTTCTTGGAGCATGCGTAACGAGTTACTCTTATCACGACGACTTTTCCAGATTTACCGAGCGCTGCTTCGTTTGTCCCACGATCCCGCATCGAAGTCACGGTACCGGTGACACGCCCCAGGCACGGCACGTACGCACGAAGCTACATGGGCTACGGTTGGCGAGGGGATGTCCTCGCTGGTCAGTGGGAGGGGACAAAGGGGTGGGAGGCGCTTGGTTCTTTCATGGAGGGGTGCTTTCCCTCGACGACGTCCGCATCGGAGCGGGCGCGACATGGGGCTGGAGTTCTGGGCAGGACTCAATACAGAGCACGCCGCCAATAAGGCCACTTGGCCTGTTAGAGTGGGCTATGAGCTCTATGTTCCCAGGATGAGTCGCAACATATGATATGCCAACATCACATCCAGCATCCCATATGTCTACCATCAACTCACGACCTAGTGCCAGTCGGGGGAGATGGCGAAAGTCTGTCGTCGTGTTCGTACAAATGATATGAAGCCCAAAGTGCCGGTATGGCATGGAGTCTCATTATGAGCTTTTTTGCGTTCCCCTCTAATCCTGAACTGGGAGTCCCATGTGGTATCAATGGAGCTTTCAGCTTGCGCGAGACACAGTTCGCCAGTAGACACTCATCCCAGACAATTCAGTCATGGTAGTCGGACGTCGAGCATTCGGTCTGACCGCTTTAGGACCCACGCTGAGTGAGCCACCACGTCGCCAGTGTCAGGATCGTCACATGGACATACACAGACCAGGGGAGTTGATGCTGCGTCTGAAGAAAACTTGGACGCCAGAAGAAGACGGAGTTAGTTGAATGGAATGACGGGGATGCAGAGCAACTGATAGGACTTATAGACGCCCACGACCAGGGGCTAGATCTGGATATTGATCGTATAAGCTGATGGCTCTACGGTACGGGCTACATGGCTATCATGGGAATGTCTCTTATTAGTTACCTTAGTAAGGCTTACGAAGAGCTAAGAATATTATGAAGGACAGCGTCTTATAGTAGACCTAGGCGGGCAATAGTCTATTACGGATAGAGGGCGAAAGGAGGGTCACGACTTGGAAGATCTCCGGAGAAGAATAAGGGGACCACTATCACCTATAACCTACCTAGGTAAGTTTAACCTACCGTCCACCTGTCAACATTTCATTCCTTGATTTGGGATCTATCTTCTCACTCTTCGTTGTCTACCGTTTTGACCTTTGGTATACATATACACACATTTAGCCAAAACGAGCTTGACACACTTGTAGGTGTATCCCAGGGTCGACTTGCTGTCTGCCATCCACTGTCTACCACTTATTCCCAATCAATCTTCTCACTAGCTAACCTTCTCCTTCTTGATAATCTTACACTCATGTCGTCGAGGGGACGCCTTTTCTTCCTCGCCCCCGCCCAACTCATGAGGGTCTACGAGACTCATCTCACCCGTGCATAGTGTATTGGGTAGCAGGTTCTCCAATAGACAGGAAATCGTTGTTCTGACCTTCATACCATTGGTTGTCAGATGCTCTATTAACGGCGACTATGACATATACTCCCGCCTTTTCACTCCGGCAACGATTCTAGCTATCCTTAAGCTTCTCCAATGCACCCTCAAGTTCCCTAGCGCTAGCCCTCGAAGCTCGTTCAAAGCTCTCTAGAAAGAATTAGAACTTTATACAAGAATAATGATACACGGCAAAGACCTACCATCAGGAGTTCCATCAAGTGTTATAGCATGCCAATTACCTGAAATCCAGAGCGTGGCCGGACTCATGTCGCTATGAGTCTGGCGGGGAAGGTCTTGAGGAAGATCGACTCGAGGGAACGGCACAGTCTCTGTAATGCGTTAAGAAAGAGCTATATAATCCTATGCTAGACGAGGGACGTATGTACTGTAAGTAAAGTGACGTGATTTGTGGTTAAAATCCAGTGGCAGTTTCTCCAGATCTTGTGTTACGCCTATTCTATTCTGTTGCATGGCTGAAGATTTAATAGCATTCCCGATTTCTGGATCAACGTATACATATGCTTCGTGAGGTTCTCCAACTTTGATGTCGGTTTCGTACGAAACGGGTAACCCTCTTGGATCGATAGTGGTGAATCGCGCCTTTGCTTGGTGGAAGGAGCGACACCAGGCACACAATGCGGTAACTACATACTTACACAGAGGTGTGGCCTCAAGAGGCGCGCAATGAACGCAATGGATTGCAGTCCCCATCGGGAAGATATCGCGTCTCTAAGAGCATGGTGGTTTGAAAGTGGATGGGGAGGAACAAGGCTTATATAATCGTTAGATGATCTGCACAAGTACTCCAAGTGGGTCGCAAAACTCCCGGACCACTTAAAGATGGCGTCGCGGTACGGATGGAGCCCGATGAATACGGGTATGGGTACGGGTACGTCACAGTCGTATGTATCGCCGGGGACAGCACTGGATTTTTGTTCGATTCAGGGGACCAACCTCCACATGAAATGGCTAACCAAAAGCATCCGACCTGCCGAAAGTTAACAAACGACGGCGGCACCCAACGCATCCACAACGCTTCTAGCTGACTCTTTTAGGGGCCCTTTTACGGAATATTTAGGGAGGGGGGCAACCGAAACCATGTACAGCTATGGCCTCGAACCGCCCACTTACCAAGTCACCTCCCATCGCGGGCAGCACGGGTCCACTCGTTCTCTGGCCTCCGAGTCGACGCCCTTGACCTTACGGCACCAGAGGCGTCGCTCGTTGCTGCGCCACCGTCACTCCCACCATCACCAGTCGACACATCACCGACGAGAGTGGCCGCATGATGATAGGGCACCGGCATCGTCGGGCGCGGCGGTACAGCCAGGAAGACACTCACTCGACGTGACGCGATCGGAGTTGGGATCCCGATACCTGAATTTCAGTCCGCACACGGGTGGAAGGAACAACAAGCCTTCGTTTGGAATCGGGAGCTCGAAGCGAAAGGGGAACGAGAGTACGCTTCTCAGCCCTCCCGGTCATATCGCCATGTCTCGCAACTCGGAGGAGGCACTACGGGTCGAGAAGGACAAGGCTGCCGCGCGGATTACGTAGGTGACATGTTCTCTTCCCTTTTCTTTTCTTTTGCTTTTTCATCTCTTCCGATCGAGCCATACTCTTACATCCGGGACTGACGCATGCCACACAGAGGCCTGGGCAAGTCCCTAGCCGACCTCAGCACGTTTTCCAACCACACGACGAGACGACTGGACGAGGCACACTACGCAGCACTCGAGAAGACGAGCGTGCTCCAAAGCACCATCACGGCGATGAAAGACCTGGCCATCCTATCCCGGGCCCTCCAGAACGACTTTGAGAAGGAGTCGGGCGAGATGGTGCACGAGGTGCAGGGCCAGCTGGAAGCACTCGGGGGGTTCGAGGAGCAGGAGAAGAGGATCTTGGAGCTCCAGGACCGGATCCAGGCCGGGCGGACCAAGATCCACGGGCTCAGCGAGCGGGTGGACGTGGTGCGGCGCAGGGTCGAGGGTTGGGAGAAGGCGGACCTGGAGTGGCGGCAGAGAACGCGCAAGAGGCTCCGGAACGTGTGGATCGTCATATCCGTCGTGGTTGCGGCGATCGTCTTGCTTCTTGTCGGGGCGAGATACGTACCTCCCGGGATGGAGATGCCGGGTTTGGGTGTGCAGGATGCGGCGCTGGGCGAGTACGTCGGCGAGGGGAACCAGTCACGCCTACTTGATCTTGATGGGATTGATGGGCATGTCGAAGAGAGACCTGGATTGCCATTGTGGAAGGAGAGGGGAGCAGAGGGTGAAGATAGACTGCGCTTCTTGGATGAACTATGAGGGTGATCCCATTTCCTGCAACGATCGGTGCGGGCGACGTCTTTCATGCCGAGGAGGGAATGTGGACGGATAGCTTAGGTACATAGCGCTGATACCCCCTTGTTTGAACTAAGGTACTGTGTTTATTTGCAGTGCTCGGGATCCGGCTTAGTGCAGGTCTTCGTGTAAGCGGGCAAGGAGCCTTCGCGATACTCTCTACGACATCCATGTTACTTGGGGTTCTTATAGCCCGGCTTCCCTCGCTGATCGAAGCTGTGAACGACGAAGGCCGACCCGGAAGGATGAGTGGATGAGTCGATTGCATGGGGACTGAAGAGAGGAATCACCCCCCCTGTGACAGGGTGACTGAAGGACAGAGACAGACTGAGCATGTCAGTGGCAATTTTCGTACTCTGCACAAGCACGGCGGCCCCCATGCGGACGGACGGCACCGGAAAGGCCCTGAGACTCTGCCAAGAACCGCCCCGGAGACGTGAGGGGCACGCCGCCGATGATATTTCGGTTTGGTATGTTGGGTATTTCTAATCCTTTCGGGTGACACCCCCCAACCTGCATTTGGCCCCCTCTAAGTGCTTGCGCGTCCCTTCTTGGCGCTAACGCTTATGGCGGCCTCTCGTTTCGTCCTACGAGAGACATGTACAAGTCATATTTTATTGATCTCTGTATTTATTTTATTTTTATGTCTTGCTTTCTTTTCATTAATCTATTGATTGAAACGTCAAAGCGAATTCCGATATGACGGGTCAGGAGCCCGCGAGACTAGAATTTGGCGACTGTCATGTATTTCTTTCGAGGCGAAGGTAGAGGTCAAATTCTGGCCAAGTTATTGGCTCTCTTCCCTAACGTCATGCCGAGCCCCATCGATCAGACCTTCTGTCCTTTTGTCCTTGGAAGTCTGGTCACGCGTCCCTCAAAATCGTGGCAAGAGAGAAGTCAAAAAATAATAATAATCGAAAAGCGGATAGTTGTGTCATTGCGTAAGGATGTTTGTAATGTAAGGTAGGTAGTGACTTGGTCGATGCTGTGCCACCGCCGTAGCAGACCAGAACAATCGTGTACGTGTACGTGTACGGACGGCATGGCATGTATTGCGAATACCTAACAGCAGGGACTATTTTCGTAGACCTACATAATATAATACAGCTTCCCGTGGAGAAGTGCTTACGAATGACGAGTCCCAGCTTGGCCCTACCTTGGCAATAAGAGAGGAGAGAAAACTTCATCGAGGTACAGGAACATGCAGGTGTACGCGTCGCTAGGTACTTTCTAAGGGACGACCCAGACGTATTTGTACTGTCGTGGGTGAATTCCCGCCCTACGATGGACTTTTGCAATACGCAGTCGGTAATACCAACTTCGTACCTACCTTACTTTTTTATAGGAAGCGCATCATGTGTCGAGTGACAGTCACAATTGTGTAACCACTGAGGCAAGAGCCGAGACTGTGAGTAAGGTACCGGTGGGCTGTGTAGGTAGGTACACATTACGTTCCCTAAGGTACCCCCATCATTCGGTACGGCCGGGTCCCTGAAACAAGCAAGCTACCTTACCTTTGGTAGCCAAACTGCCCTGCCTGCAGCTCCTACCTACCTAGGTACCTCCCCCCCAGTGTCGCTCAAGAGAGGCCCCCAACCAACGGAATACTTCTTGCGACTTCACTTTCAACCATTCCCTTCTCCCTTCTCCCTTTTCCTCCCTTTTCCTTTCGTTCCGTTCTTCTCCTCTTCTCTTGTCGTCCTCTCTGTTCGTCACCCCCTTACTCTCGTCATCGCCATCAACGATCCTCCGAATTCTTGTCGGCAAGCCTGCTTGGTATGACTTCGTTCGCCGACGATAAGCCCCAGAATGGCTCCGCCCTGGCTCCAGGCTCTGACGTAGAGCTCCCCGCGCCCCAAACCAACTCGTCTTCCCCTCCTCCTCCTGGCCAAGCATTGACTGGCAAACAAGAGCATTGTAAGTCTCTGAATCTCTGGGTGTTTTAGGAGCGAGGGAATAGTTCGATTTGTTTATTTCTTTTTCTTTTTCTTCTTATTGTACTTTTTATTTGTTTCTCGTCGACTACTGAGACCGAATAACTTACTGATCGTCACATTTCCCCATAGACCTGAAGCGCGAACTCGTCTCCCACCAAGTCAAGTACGAGATACACGAGCTCAACTCCCCAACCGCACTCAAGCGATTCGGCGCCCCCTTCAAGTCCGACTATGGCGAGGTCTCTCCCTTGGATTCCGAACTCCCCGTCCTCCGTTACATTTTCGTTCACCATGTCCGCGACTTTCCCTTCCTCGATAAGGCTAGGGAGAAGGAGTTTTGGCAAGACAAGTTGCAAGTTGTACGTTGGATATAAATGTGCTCCCTGTGCTTCCTGTTCCGCTGGCCATTTTACTGGTTCTGCCCCCGAAACATACTGACCGTCCACGTTCTCCACGCTCCAGTTTCTCGAATCCTTTGCTACCAAACACATCTCCTCGTCCGAAGACCGTCTCGAGGAGACCAAACGACGCAAGCTGGCCATCAAGTGCCAGAAGCTTGTGGAACTCATGATGGTATCCGGTGTCAAGACCTCGTCTGGTTTCGAAGAGCGCATTCGCTTCTCCGAGATCGAGGTGGTCGACAGCAATGCCATCGACACCGGCGTTATGCATACCCTGCCCGAAGGCAACTACCTCAACGGCTGGGACGTCAACGTGGCTGGCGTGCGCACCGTGCAGATCAGGAAAACGATAAAACATCATAGACATGCTGTGAGTGCACATCGTATTGGACATATGGCAACATCTTGGTGCTCCACCCTTCCCTGAGAAACCAAGTTCACTTACGTTTCTTTTCTTGCTCAGGAGTACATGCTGCGCATCAAGAGGAAAGGTCAGCTCGAGTTCTTTGTCAGTCGGCGTTATGGCGATTTTGTCAAATTACAGAAGAGACTGCGCCTGGAGGTACCCGGGAAAGTCCTGCCCACCTTACCCAAGAAGAACAAGTCCAACACGACGACATCTGGCTTGTTTCCTGGCGTCACAGGTGGCCGGGACGACGATGCGTCTTCCGTGTCTTCGGTGTCGACGCAGCTCACCAATCTTGGAGTCGGCGAGAACTCGAACTCGCAGAACCTTACAGTGCAGGGTGAGCGGCAACCCCCTATACAGGACCGAGTGGCCGTAACGATCCATTCTGGTCTGGCTGACGCTGACACTGACGGGGGTACAGATCATCGACGACCTGGATCGATTTCTTCCACCGGGCGAGCCTCCCCACGCGCCTCGTTCGATAGCAGGAGGAGTCCAGCGCCTTTTATTGGGAAGAAGAGCGAATCCGTGACGCTCCGGCGGGAGGCGCAGAGAATCTCCCTGAGGGCGTTCCTCCGCTCTCTCCTCTCCAACCAGCAGATCGCGCGGAGCAAAGCGATGGAGGAGTTCCTCACGAGCGAACCAATCACGCCGACGGATGCCGACGTCGAAGACATCGCCAACCGGAAGGCGGCCGACGAGCAGCGGATGGAGGAGCAAAAGAAGTTTTACGAGATTGCGAGGAAACGCGCAGCCGAGCTTGACATATACATGGAAGAGTGAGGACCCCCCCCCCCCTTTTTTCTTCTTTTTTTTTCTTTTTTTTTTCTTCTTCTTTTCTTTTTTTCTTTTTTCTTCCCCCGGTATGGAGAGGGCTATTGTGCATGCTTACACAGGAAACGTTAAAAAACAGGTTTCGTCGCGACATCATCGAGCGGAACGGCCTGACCAAACTTTTCAAGGAGATCAAGGAGAAGTCGACGATTGAGGACCTGAGCATCCAATATCGAAAGTTCGCCGAGTGGCTGAGGATCGAGGTGGCCGCTACCATCTACCACCTCTTCCTTGCCGAGGACAATTCCCCCGAGCTGTTCGCCCAAGCCAAGAGGATCCACTCACTCATCCCGTACACGGTGATGAAGAACGTCATCAGGATCGCAAACCCGGCAGCGGTGATGTCCAGCGTGCTAGACATCTTCCTCGCACAGCCGTTCGGCACGCGGTCGCTGATGCAACGCATCTTCACCATGACCCTCCACGACGGCATCCGCAGCTTCCAGCGGTCGATCGACGGCCTCGCGGCCCGGATCGGGGATGACGTGTTGGTGCAGAAGCTGAAGGCGTACACGGATGCGGACGAGAGCGTCAAGGAGCTGATTCGCGAGGAGTCCATGGCCGAGGACATGGACATCATCGTGGTGATTCTGCGATCGGAGTACCTGGAGCCTGCCCTCACATCGGCGCAGATCGGGCGGTTGTACAATGCCTACGTGGCGTTCAACAGCGCGGTGGAGAACGTGGACGAGGAGCTGAAGCACGGCGCGCAGCTCTTTTCGAACCTCAAGCAGCTGCTGAAGCTCTACCTTCGGCAACGGGACAAGGCGATGATGCTGCAGCTCATCGAGGAGCCGGTCACGCTGCAGCTGTTCCGCGACCTGTTCACGATCTTCTACGAGCCGCTGGTGCGGGTGTACAAGTCGGCGAACGTGTACGACAGCGTCACGGATTTCGCCGTGTTCATCGACGACATGATTCAGGTGGTGGAGAAATGCCAGGAGCAGGATGCTTCGGCCGACCCGAACCAGACGGTGCAGAGCTTCATCGACCTCTGCCAGCGGCACGAGCACAACTTTTACAAGTTTGTGCACGAGGTGCACACGCACGACAACGGGCTGTTCGACCAGCTCATGGGCTGGATCGAGGGCATCCTGGAGTTCCTGCGCAAGGGGCCGATGAACGGGACGCTGAACGTCAACGCGCTGTTCGAGGGGGCGGTCAGCACGGGGGTGGTGGACAAGGAGAAAGTGATGGACGAGGCCAACCGGCTGATCGCGTGGCAGGAGGCGCGCAAGAAGTGGCACCAGGACAAGACGCGGCAGAAGATGGCGGCGGACGGGGTGGGGTCGGCGGACCACGTGCCGGGCAGCGGGGCGTTCAAGTCGTCGGACTTTGGGCTGGACCAGACGGACCTGGACGACATGGCGTACGACTACGACTCGGAGGAGGAGCAGGAGGCGGAGGAGGAGGACGACATGGACCCGATCTCGGCGGAGAGGCAGCGCAGGGCGAAGAAGAGAGAGCGGCTTCGTCGGCGGGCGGGCGAGCCTGAGAAGCCCGAGGTGTCGGAGGTTTATAAACTCCAAGACAACTTTCTGGTGATGCTGCGGCACGTCTTGGCCGAGTAAGAGAGTAGATGGGTGGGTAGAGGCCTTGCATGTTAGAGGTGGAGGGCTTTTCATGGGTTATTATACGTTGTCACCTGGAGTGCTAATAATGGCTATGAGTTTGCACATGGTTTGGACTGTTTTCACTGTGTTGAATGATTAATATGTCTATACAATCGTTCGTCTCGTAGGCTGGGTGATTCCTACAGGTACCTACCTACCTTACCTACCTAAGGTACTTCGGTACCTATAATACTTTGTACCTTTGATAAGTTGAAGGGGATGGAGTGACGTAGTGCGTAGACGAAGCCGTAGGTACCCTGGTACGTAGGTAAATCATGTATGTAGGTACCTACTTTGCAAGACAAGCATCTGATCCCCCGACTTCCAATATCCCGACGACCGAAACCGAGGGCATGTGGCTAGTGAAGCTGTGGGGTTGAAAAAAGACCTCTACGGAAGTCACGAAGGGGACGGGGCAGGCAGCGGGGAGGGGGGTGTTTCATTGTGGCGCACCGGCAACGCCCGGCTAATCATAAATTGTCTGATTGGCCAGAGATCACGAGCCAAAGTCGGGCCGGGCGAGCTTTCGACTCGTCTCTGTCATGAAAGACGAAAAGACGAAGGAGAGACCGAAAGGAACTTCCCAAACTTTCCCCGAACCGAACCTCGAGTCTTTCCCCCTACCTATCCGGTTCCTCCCCCGCCGTTTCTTCTGGTTCTTCTGTTTATTCTGGTTCTTCCTCTTTTCTGGTTGATGCTCGCAATTGAGCGATATTTCCATTGAGAATGGCATCTTCGATGGCGATGAGGAGACTTGCCGCCGCGCACAACGTACGTTTTTGTCCTTGTTGGGATTCTACCCCCGCGCCTTCTCCCGGGTGTGATGGGTAGATTAGATCATGGATGGATTTTTTTTATCTTGACTTGTTCTCTTTTCTTTCTTCCTTGCTAACCCGTTGGATTTGCTGTCGTAGTTCTCGCGGACGGCGAGGGGACAGTCTAGGTTCTTCTCATCCACACGACCGGTTGGTATGTCAGCCTCGGCCTGGGCGTCGGCCTCGGTCTTGATTCCTCCTTGCACCATTTCCGTCTTGCTTTTTTCGACAGTCAACATTCGTTGGACGACTGGATCATCGACTGACCACTTTTCACGAAAACAGCTCGGGTCATTGCGAATGGCCCTGTGCGCGCAAAGGAGGCATCGCCTTTCGTGAGCAACAAGTACGCCGTCATTGTGCGTCAACCACCTATCCCATTGTTTCCGCGATTCGCTTCCCCCAAACCAAACAGTATTTAACGATTCCACTTCCCACAGGACCACGAATACGATGCGATCGTCGTCGGTGCCGGTGGTGCGGGTCTCCGAGCGGCCTTCGGTCTCGCCGAGGCTGGCTTCAACACGGCCTGTATCTCCAAACTCTTCCCCACCCGTTCCCACACCGTCGCTGCGCAGGGCGGCATCAACGCCGCGCTCGGAAACATGCACGAGGACGACTGGAGGTGGCACATGTACGATACCGTCAAGGGGTCCGACTGGCTTGGCGACCAGGACGCTATCCACTACATGACCCGGGAGGCGCCGGCTTCGATTGTCGAGCTCGAGAACTATGGGTGCCCTTTCTCCCGGACGGAGGACGGCAAGATGTAAGTCGAGAGAGAGAGAGGAGGAGAAGCAGCCAGCTGACAAACGATCAACACAGCTACCAGCGTGCCTTTGGCGGGCAATCGAAGGACTTTGGCAAGGGCGGTCAGGCCTATCGATGCTGCGCCGCCGCTGATCGAACCGGCCACGCCCTCCTCCACACGCTCTACGGCCAGTCTCTCCGCCACAACACCAACTACTTCATCGAGTACTTTGCGCTCGACCTGATCATGCAGGACGGCGAGTGCCGCGGTGTTCTCGCGTACAACCAGGAGGACGGCACCCTGCACCGGTTCCTGGCCAACAACACGGTCCTGGCCACCGGCGGCTACGGCCGTGCCTACTTCAGCTGCACGTCGGCCCACACCTGCACCGGCGACGGCATGGCCATGGTGGCGCGTGCCGGCCTGCCCAACCAGGACCTCGAGTTTGTGCAGTTCCACCCTACGGGCATCTACGGCGCCGGCTGCCTGATCACCGAGGGCGCGCGTGGCGAGGGCGGCTACCTGCTCAACTCGGAGGGCGAGCGGTTCATGGAGCGGTACGCGCCCACGGCCAAGGACCTCGCGTCGCGCGACGTGGTGTCCCGGTCGATGACGATGGAGATCCGCGGCGGCCGCGGCGTGGGTGCGGAGAAGGACCACATCTTCCTGCAGCTCAGCCACCTGCCGGCCGAGGTCCTCCACGAGCGTCTCCCCGGCATCTCGGAGACGGCGGGCATCTTCGCGGGCGTCGACGTGACCAAGCAGCCCATCCCCGTGCTGCCGACGGTGCACTACAACATGGGCGGCATCCCGACGCGGTACACGGGCGAGGTGGTCACGGTGGACGACAAGGGGCAGGACAAGGTGGTGCCGGGCCTGTTCGCGTGCGGCGAGGCGGCGTGCGTGTCGGTGCACGGGGCCAACCGGCTGGGGGCCAACTCGCTGCTGGACCTGGTGGTGTTCGGCCGGGCCGTGTCGCACACGATCCGCGACAACTTCACGCCGGGCCAGAAGCTGAAGCCCATGGAGGCGGACGCGGGCGCCGAGCACATCGAGGTGCTGGACCAGGTGCGGACGGCGGACGGGTCCAAGAGCACGGCGGAGATCCGGCTGGCGATGCAGAAGGCCATGCAGACCGAGGTCAGCGTGTTCCGGACGCAGGAGAGCTTGGACGAGGGCGTCCGGCTGATGAAGGAGATTGATGCCATGTTCCCACAGGTGGGCATCAAGGACCGGAGCATGATCTGGAACTCGGATTTGGTGGAGACTCTGGAGTTGAGGAACCTCTTGACTTGCGCGTACGTTTCGGGCCCTCCCCTCTTTTTTCTTCTTTTTTTTCTTTTCTTCTTTTTCTCTCTTGGTGAGACTAACGATAACAACCAGGATCCAAACGGCCACTTCTGCCGCCGCTCGCAAGGAGTCTCGTGGTGCCCACGCGCGCGAGGACTACCCCGACCGCGACGACGAGAACTGGATGAAGCACACGCTCTCGTACCAGAAGGAGCCGCACGGCAAGGTCGAGCTGTCGTACCGCGGCGTCATTCATAACACGCTAGACGAGAATGAGTGCAAGCCTGTTCCTCCGTTCAAGCGTGTGTACTAAATTCATTGGGGAAGAATGTCGGGGGGGAGAGACACAAGAGCAAGAGGCCACAAGCCACAAAAGTAGGTGTTATTTGCACAAGGGACGTACAAGACTTTCCTCCCTCCCTAGGTCCTGTCGGGGGGAATCGTCCATGATACCACGGAGAGGTGGGGGATGGTCAGGGCTTGAGGCCTGGCATCGGATTTGGCTTGGGAAGATGGGAGGGCCAAAGTGTATCTTAAAGAGTCGGATTTATTCTGCATTGGCTCTGGTGTTAGATGTCCGTGTCCGTGTAAAGAAAGGGGAAAGATTAAAATATTCAGTGTCAGTTCAGTTTGATTTGGTCCATGTTCTACGGTCTACGTGATATATCGTGATATATCATGATTGCAGGATATATGATTCCAACTCGGGCCTTGGAGGATGCAAATAGTGACAACAAGAACGACATGATCAGGTGACTCGTGCCCCGTGACTTTGGTTCTTGCCTCGTGCCTCGTGACTGTGGTTCTTGCCTTGTTCTACCAAGGACGTTCCTCTTTTCTTCCCGTTCCTTCCCTCTTCTACTCTCTCGTCTTTCAGATCCCACTCCTCTGAGGCATCTCTTTGGCCTTTTCTCTTCCTCACAACATGGCCGTCTCCTAAAATAAAAAGCCCACACCTGATCAGGTTCCTCATCTCTGTATCTTGGAGTTCCATCCAAGGCTGGCTGGCCGCCTTTCTTCGTGGTGGACTACAGGAGACTGAAGGGCTCTCATCTTTCCGACCTTTTTTCTTTCCTTTCCTTTTCTTTTCTTCTCTTTTCTTTTTCCCCATCTCTCCCTCAGCAGAACAACCATAATGGCGCCCAGAACCCTCACCAGAATCGACTCAGACTCGAGCGACTCGTCCTCCCTCTCGATCCCCCCCAAGATCGAACCCCCGGAGATCGTCTACTTCCCCGCCATAGCAACCATGTCCCTCGGCGCCCCAGGCGTGCACGCCCTGCCCAAGAAACTCGCCGCGGCCGCCCTCCACGGATTCCGCGCCGTAGAGCTCTACTGGGACGACCTCCTGCACTTCACCCAGGGCACCGCGGGCGGCGTCAGCGCAGACGACCTGCGCAGCGCAGCGGGCGCGATCCGAAAACAGTGCGTCGACCTCGGGCTCCGCGTCCTCGCCCTCCAGCCGTTCCGCGGCTTCGACCTCCTCGCGGACCGCACGGCGCGGCACGACCGGCTCGAGGCCTTTCAGCTCTGGCTCGACGTCGCGGCTATTCTCGACACGGACGTCATCGTCGTGCCTGCGTCGTCGGCGTTCGATGGCGACGTGACCAACACTACGACCACCGGTGGGCGTGGCACAAGTTCAACGACGGGTAATGGCACGAGTGATGCGACGTATACCCGCCTCGCGGTCCGCAACCTGCGCGTCCTCGCCGACGCGGCCCGCGCGCGGACGGACCGGCCCCCGCTTCTTGGCGGCCCCGTGCGCATCGCGTTCGAGAACCGCTGCTTCGCGCGCCATGTGCAGTCGTGGGCTGACGCGTGCACTGTCGTGGAACTGTGCGGCCGCGCCAATGTGCTCTGCCTCCCGGACGTATTCCACATCATCGCCGCCGACGGTGGGGGATCGGCCTAGTTCGCCGACAGCCTCGCCCTCCTCCGCAGGCGCGTGCCGCGCCACCGCGTCCCCTTCGTGCAGGTCTCCGACGCGGCGGAGATGGATGCCGACGATCCGGGCCTCGTGGCGGCGAAGGCGCGGGGGGAACCGGCGCGGTTGTTCTGGGCGAGGAGACGGCGATTGTTTCCCTTCGAAGGGTGCCTCCCGCTCGACCACGCGTTGCGGGCGCTCACTTCGGAGCCGGATCAGGACGCCGGGGCCCCCGGGGTGGGGTACAAGGGGTTCATCTCGATCGAGGTGTTCAGCGAGGAAGGGGACGGGGTGGAGGGGGAGTTGGTGGAGCGGCTGGCGTTTCGCGCGCGCGAGGCGTGGGAGACGACGGTTGTCAAGATGGGCTGGGCGGGGCGCGCGGACGTGGTGCACCCTGTGGCGAAGGGACAGCTGGGGATTGCGTTGCGGGAGGTTCGGCGGGAGCAGGAGGTAGCTGAGAGGGCGCGGGAGGTTGTTGTTGCGGGTTTGCAGAGGCGGTGCGTGGTTGATGTGGACGAACAGTTTGTTGAGTCGTTCTCTAGCCGGGTGTGGAGTTCCCGGCATGACGTTGCGATTGTCGACCCGGTCGAGGAACGGCATGCGCAGGAGGCTGTGAAGGTACGCGCTCGAGGGGCGATGGCGAAGCGGACGCTGGCCAACTGGGAGAGGACGTTTGAGCCGCAGGACGGGGAGTACTTGGGTCATATTCGTGGGGAGGGCGACAGCAGTTCCGATGAGTCTTTTTTGTCTGACGAGAAGGATGGACAGGAGGGAGACAAGAAAAAGAAGAGGAAAAACATGAACATGGCAGCGGCAGCAAAGGCCATGGAACCGCTCCTCCGAGCGCGATACGAAGCATCCGTCCAAGCGGCGCGCGACAAAGCACACAGCAAGAGAAACGAGAAAATCGGACCGAACGAGTTCAACGACGCGGAAAAGCACAAGAAGACGAGAGAGCCAAAGTGGACCGACATGGTCTCCATCCCGGGGTCTCCCGTGGACCCGGCCCTGGCGCGGGCCTACGACGAAGCGGCGGCGACCAAGGACGCGGCGAAGCGGGCTCTGGGACGGCGCATCGCGGCGGGGTCGGGGTTCTACGGGCTCCGATGGGAGGGGATCCAGGAACGGACCAGGCAGCTCGCGGCTGCGGTGCCGGTGCCCCGGCATGAAGACGCGCGGTTCCCTCCGCTTGGGGTGTCGACATCCCCTGCCTCGTCTGAGTCGACGGATTTGTTCGATATGCATGTGCTCTTCCAGATGCCTGATGAGTCTCTGGAGAGTTCGAGTTCGGAGGGTGCTTCCACTTCTTCGTCTAGTTTGTTGGACACTGGTAGTAGTAGTAGTGGGGGTGAGGAGGGCGGGGAGGGTGTGGTCGTGTTCGACAGCTACGCCGAGGATGCGCCTCTTCTCCCCAATGCGCAGGTGGCGGGGGTGGACACGGTGCCTCTGGGGTCAAGAAGCGTATAACAACACGAGAGGAACTGATGAGAATCGCTCAAGAGGGACGAAGTAAGAGGGACGAAGTGTTGAGAGCCATTTCAGCTCTGACTTCGTTTCCGCAAATAGGAAACAAATAAAAAAAGGGGTATCCTCCAAAAATAAAACGGCATCATGACCAAAACCTCCCTGTCGTCGCGCTGCCATTGCATCCAAAGCCAACAACTCCCCCCTCCTCTTGCTCCTCCCCCTCAGTACTCCTGATACAGCTTCATAATACCAGCGCGCATATTCGTCCGGCTTTCCCGCTCCGCTCGAATCTTGATCTCCAGCGCCACGACCCGGTCCTGCAACTGCGCGATCTTCTCGTCCTTCTCCCTCAGGAGCTCCCGCACAACGTCCCGGCTCCTGGCCAGGCCGTGGGCGCGCGCGACCTGGCGGTCCAGCGCCTCGCGGACGGAGCGGGCCACGGCCGGTGGGATGGGCTGGCCGCTGAGCAGAGTCGTGATCTCGTCCCTGAGCTCGACGTCGGCCGTGTCGTGGGCCCTGTGGTGTTGTTGTTGTTGTTGTTGTTGTTGTTGTTGTTGTTGTTGTTGCTGCTGTTCGTGCCCGGGACCTGCGGGCGTCGCGACTTGCTTCCTGCGGGTTGCGGTGGGCGTGAGCATGGGAGACGGGAGGCCGGTTGTCGAGGAGGGGGTCGCGGTGGCTGTGGGAGGGGCCGCCTCCCCCCCGTCAGTGCTTTTCCGTTTGGCTTTAGGGGTGGTAAAGAGCGTCCGCGCCGTGGGGGGGTTCGGCTGTTTGGGTGGCGCATCTTCTCTCGGTTTTACATGGGAAGCGCTGATAGTTGCCGATGACGACGATGATGATGTAGTCGGCGCTGCGGGGGTTGAGATATGGGCACCCATGCTGGGACCGGTCTTTTGCAGCTTTTGGGCGCTGCGTTCAACGGCTTCGATCATTTGCCGCTCTTCGTCGGACGAGCCGTCTCCGATGTAGTCCTCCTCGAACTGGACCCTCTTCCTCTTCTGGCTGGCTCTCGTTGTTGGTGGTGCGGGGGCCTTTCCCGCTTGATGCGCGTCCTGCGCACTTGAGCCCGCCTGCTGCGCATCACTGGCAGGGGCCGGTAGTTGGGTGCTAGTCGTCTTGGGAGACTTGGGGAAAAAGTCGCGCATGGTCTTGGTCTTCTTACGAGGCGACGTGCTTTGGGCAGTAGATGTGGCCGTGGTCGTGTCAGGGGTCGCTACCTCGGACTGGTTCTGGTTCTCGGAGAGCTGTCGTACTCGTGCATCTTCCTCCCACAAGAAAAAGTCGCAGTCGCGACAGCGATAAAACGATCTTCCCTTGTTCGGACCCCGCTTCTTGACGGTGTAGGGACTGAGTATCCTGCGGGGGTCGCAGTTGCAAAGCCACTGTCCCCTGTCATAGACGCCGTTGATGCGTTTCTTCCGGGACGGGGTGGAAGGGTTTGAGGTCTGGGACTTGCCATGGGCGGAGAAGAGACGACCGCGAGCCATTGGAGGTTGGGTCTTGGGTCTTGGGTCTTGGGTCTTGGGGGTTGCCTGGGAGATGTAGATGAGGCGTTGCGATGATGTTGAGAATACGCCAGGGGATACTGGAAGCGGTAAGCGAGATGATTCTGAATTAGTCCATGGGTTGAGAAGATAAGACAGAGGGATGAAGTAAGAAGAGAATGTGTGATGAGAGGGTGAGAGGGAAATGAGGAGAGAGAGGTGAAGTGAGGGTGAAGGTGAGCCCAAGGTCATGGGTCCCATGTGGGTGGCTGGCTGGTCTCAACGGGCAACGGGCACGGCGGCAACGGGCAACGGCGGCAACGGTGTGGCTGGTGGCTGGGCAACGTGTGTACGTACGGTTTCCGTACGGAGTACGGCATACTTAGGTACGTGTACAGTCTGTGCTCCTTCTTTGTTTTGGAGGTGGCGGGTAATTGTGGAGAGTGAGTGAGAGAGCGGCACGGATATCGTGCCGTGCCTTATGGTACGTACATATTGTCCGCCTTCTGTAATTTCCGTCATGTACATAGTATGCACGTCACTACGGATACGGATCGCTTGTAGGATGTTGTACGTGTAAGTACCTCTGTAAATAAGGTACCTTACTCAGTACTCCACATGTCTAGTCAGCACCGCACCGCCCTGAGAATTCTGCCGAGCCCCGAGCTCCATTCAAGGCTCGATGCCCCGCTCTCGACTTCTACTTCTCGCTTCTCACATCTCTCAAGCCTCACGTTACTATCATTCATCTTCACTCTCTTCATCCCCTTCAGCCGCCTTAGTCCACCATCTATTCCCGTGTATTATCTTTTCTCATCCCTTTCTGCCTACATTTTCTTCTACGTCGCCCGTTCAATTCAATGTCCAGGCAAGAGCCACATCGAAACCTCCTCCACACCATCCAACTTCTACGCTACCTTACTCGGGCTCGCCGTTGACCGTTTCGTTTTGCCAACCCACACAAAAGTGTTTCTTGGCCCAGCTCACCGTCGCATTATACCAGTCACCGTTTTCCCTTCTCGGACGGACCGTTGATTACCTCATCCCTTCACTCATGATCTCGACAGCATAGCGACAAGACAAGTTCCAACAAAAACACATCCCAACGCAACATAGAGACAGAGAAGAAAAGAAAGAAAGAGACAAGAGACCAACCTCAACCTCACCCATGGTCGACTCCAGAACCCAGTTAACGCCCGACCTCTCCATCGATGACCTGACTCCCGAAGAGGCCAATCGAATCATCCATTCGCATCGCAAGGTCCGCTACGGCACCGCCTGCTGGCCCTGTCGCCGACGCAAAGTCAAATGTGACAACCAGCAGCCGTGTGAGAACTGCGTGAGACGCGACCACCCCCAGCTCTGCTCCTACAAGCCGAACCGCTCCGCCTCTTCCAAGAGTTCTTCCGCTCACCCTGCTTCCGCACCTCCCTCTGCTTCTGGTGCCGGTGCCGGTCCCTCGTCTTCTATAGCAGCTCCCGCTACTGCCGGACCTGCCGGTACTGCCATTACTGCTCCTACTACTACGGTAGCTGCCGCCTCTTCCTATTCCGCCGACGACCATGCACGCAAGCCTAAACGCCCGCATTCCCCAGACTCCCCATCCGAGTCCGTCACCACTCTCCCTCCCGCCCACCGCCATGCCAGCTGGCCGCCCCGTGCCATGACCATGGCCGGCGTCGACGACGCCGAGGCCCCCGAGAGCGCCACCCGCTATCTCGGCTACAACAGCATCCCCTCCCTCCTGCGCGAGCAGTCATCGTCCCACGACCATCAGCACACCAGCGACATCCGCCAGCACATGCGCTCCATCCTCGGCCTCGACACCTCCGCCCCTTTCCCCCTCATGTCCTCGCGCCACCTCGACGCCCTGACCCGCGAAATCTGCTCCGAGCTGCCGTCCGACCGCGAGGTCATGAAGCTCTTCCGCACCTACAAGGAGACCCCGCAGCAGTTTTGGGGCTTCGTCGTCGACATGGACGACCTCGAGTCCCAGCTCATGGTCTACCTCGAGGACCGCGCCCGCAACGCCCACAGCGCCACCAAGACCCCGCGCCCCGTCTCGGCCTCGTGGCTCGCCATCCTCTTCGCCGTGCTCGCCGTCGGCTCCCAGTACCACGACTCGCCCTACCACATCCGCACCCGCGACTCGCAGAAATACATCCAAATCTCCTTCCACTTCCTCCGCCTCGGCAACTTCCTCCTCCGCCCCACCTTCGATTCCATCCAGGCCCTGCTCCTCACCAGCTTCGTGCTCCTCAACGACATGAAGGCCGAGGCCTCCTGGGCCCTCCTCGGCCTCACCTGCCGTCTCGCACAGTCCCTCGGCCTCCACCGGCCTGCCTTGCCCTCCCACGACGACAGGGATGATAGGCACCGAGAGAGAGACGGGGAGAGAGGGGGGGAAAGAGAGGGGGAAAGAGAGAGGGAAAGAGACAGAGACAGGGACAGACACAGAGACAGGGACAGACGCAGAGACAGGGACAGACACAGAGACACAGACGACCTGTCACCGGACGTCAAGTCGAGGGACTGGATCCGTCGCAAGCTGTGGTGGACCTGCGTCTGGCACGACACCCTGACCTCCCTCTCCTTCGACCGCTCCCCCGTCACCAATTTCCTCTGCTGCCCCATCCCCACCGCCGCCCCGCCCGAGGCCGGCCACTTCAGCTACCTCGAGACCATGTACCACCTCTGCCAGATCATCTCGACCCGCCTCAACCCGGACATCACCACCACCGTCTCCTACGACCAGATGGTCGACAACTACCAGGCCGTCGAGTCCCTGCGCGCCAAGGTCGCCGACCACCTCCGCTGCAAGGAGCACTGCAAGTCCGCCATCGACCGCCTCCAGTTCTACGGCATCCGTCTCCACACCGCCTTTATCATCTCCGTCTGCTGCCGTCCGGCCCTGCACCGCGACTGCCACCAGCTCACCCCGGCCCAGAAGAAGTTCCTCGCCGAAAAGTGCCGGGAGAACCTCATCGAGACCGTCCGCATGTTCCTCGCCATGCATCAGCTCTCCGTCATCCCCACCCGCAGCTGGGCCTACACCTACCACGGCCTCTCCTCGGCCCTGCTGCTGGGCATCCTGGGCGAGACCAAGTCGAGCCCGGACGTCCGCCAGCTGCAGGGGGATCTCATCGCCGCCCTGTCCGCCACCGCCGTCAAGGAGCAGACCTCCTCCTCCTCCTCTTCGTCGCCCGGCCCGCACGTCCCTCATACCGACAAGGACATTGAGCTCTCCGGGCCGCTATGGCGCGCCCTCACTGCCCTCAAAAACATTTACGAGCACGGCTCCGTCGTTGGTTCAACGGCAGCCGCCGCCGCCGCCGCCGCCGCCGCCGCTACCGTGAAGAGAGAGTCCGATTCCGGTAGCGGACTTCCGAGTGGGGCCGGGACGCCTCTTCCCCCGCACCACCAGCATCACCACCACCACCCCGGCGCACTAGCATTAGCACTAGGACCACCAGCTTCCTTCTCCTCGGGGCTACCCGGCGGAGGCGGCACCACCACCACCAACAACAACATGCTGCCCATGTCGCACCGAACCGCGTTCCCAGGCCTCGACCCTCACCAGGACGCAGCCCTCGCCATGGCCGAGATGCAGCAGAACGGAATTCCGCTACATCAACAACAACAACAACAACAACAACAACAACAACAACAACAACAACAGCAGCAGCAGCAGCAGCAGCAGCAGCAGGGCCAGGAACAAAACTTTGGGGCCTACCCTCCCGCTCCCGGCACCCTGATGGCCAGCGGCGCCGCCGAGACCCCCGGCGTCGGCGCCTTGGACACCAACATGGCGAACCCCGACCCGTCGACGTACATGTCGCCGCTGGACCTGTACGACTCCATCTGGTGGGAGTCGCCTGATCCGTGGAACTCGGGGCTCGATTCGTTGAATTTCGATTTCGTGGCGCAGCCGCCGCCGGGACAGCCGCAGCAGCAGTATTACTTTTGATCTGCTCTCCCTTCTTCTCTCTCCGGAGCTGTCTGCGTGTGTGTATATCCTGCGGAGGGGGATTCATGTGTTGCGGATTTATCGACTGTCGCTATATCAGTCGCTATATCAGTCGCTATATCATCATCTTATACCTTTTGGTTTGTCAGCTACGGTGTTTGGTCGGGGGGAGGGATCATTATTTAGGGGATGGCAGGCCTGGCAGGGTACGCCTTTTTTGGTTATTTTTCTTCGATTTATATGAGCCTTTTTATGCCCCTTTTTTATGCAGGGATGAGCCAGGATTGTCTGATTTCTGCTTTCCCCATCAAGATTTGGACGAAAAATACAAGAGATGAGAATCATCGCAGGAGCAAACCCCCAATTCCGTTCTTATTGTTTTCTTCTTTCCATTGCGCAGATAGAAATACAAGCAAAGTGAAGAGGGTATATCAAGCCAGAAGCAATAAGAAGAGCCGAATATAGACAACTGGCCCCAAAGTAATAAACAAGGCCTGTTAGACCCCGACCCAACGAAGAGAAACAAAAGGGGAAAAAAAGAAAGAAGACTGGAGCCAAAACCTCACACCTCATAGTAATAATCCTCATCCAACCCCTCCCGACTCGGCACGACCCCCGCCCCCAGAGGCGGCCCCGCATACGCCGCATCGACGCGCACGTTCAGCAACCTGATCTTGAGCCCATACTCGCTCACCAGCCCGACGAGCTTGTTAGTCTCCGCCGTGATGGGCGCCTGGTTCAGCAGCATGAGCAGCCCGTCCAGCCACTCGGACGCGACGCTGTGGTCGAGCGGGAACAGCGTCAGCACGGGTGCTTCGCGTACTTCGCGTACTTCGCGCGGTTGGTTCGGCGACTGTGCGCCTGCGTCGGCGGCAGTAGCCGTCTCGGGAGGGTGGGCGTAGCTGAAGACGGTGATCTTGGTCGTGGACGTCGGGGGCGCGGTTCCGGCCGGGAGAGCGTGGCCCTTGTTGTTGTTGTTGTTGATGGTGCTGTTGCCGCTGGCGGCGCTGCGGGCGTCGGGCGCCGCGGTGCCCTCGCTGGGGCCGGTGACGTTGGAGACGACGGAGCTGATGGTGGTGAGGTCGACTTTCTCGGCGAGGACGTCCAGGGCGGGGTCCTGCGGCGGGCGGGTCTCGAAGTCGTCGTAGTGCAGGAAGCGGCGGTTGTGGGAGAGGCGGGCGAAGCGCCACGGTGTTGGGGTGTAAAGCCGCCTCTTGGGTTGTTGTTGCTGCTGCTGCTGCTGTTGTTGTTGTTGTTGTGACGACGGTTTGTTTCCATTGTTGCTGGTGCTGCTCCCGCCGTTGACAGCCGAAGAGGAGGAATCGTCGCGGTTATGCGTCGCCGTTGCCGTCGCCGCCGTCGTCGTGGGCTGGGTGTCGCGACGGGGCATGGGTTTGGAGAACCATGACCCCTGCAAAAGACAGCGGATCCTCTGCTCCTTGACGAACTGCAGGGCTTCCTGTCTGAGCTCGTCCCGGACGCGGAAGAGATGCTGGCCCCACTGGTCCTCGAACGAGAGCTCGAGGAGGTCCATCTGCAGCTCGCGGAGCCGGCCGCAGTCGTATTCCTGCAAGTCCTCCTCCACCTCGGCGACGTCTTTCGTCCGCGGGGCCTGGCCGACCACCTGGTCGACGAGGATGCGCACCAGCTCGACCACCTTGTCAAAGTCGGCCTGCTCGGCGCCCGTGGCCTTCCACACGCGGAACAAGGCCAGCAGGGTGGCGGTGTGCAGCCTCGACCACTGGAGGAGCAGCGGCCGGAAGAGCTTGTCGCTGTTCTTGGTCCCGTCCAGGCCTTGGAACCCCTTAAGGTCCTCGGCCTCGGACTTGTCGACCTCGAAGTGCTCGTACAGGACCATGGTCACGGCCAGGCTCGCCCGCGCGATGGGGCAGCGCTGGTGGAGCGGCTTGGTCGACTGCTCGAGGAGCATCTTCTGGAACCGGTCCTCGTTCTTGCGCACGTAGTCGGTCAGGTCCATCATGCCGAGGAAGCCGGTCACTTCGAACTCCTGGGCGGGGCTTTCCGTTTCGAAACCCAACCTCCTCCATTTTTCCGGGTTATGGCGTCGGCTTCCTTTCCTCGCTCCCTCGGTTGGTTCGTCTGACTTTGGCGGCGGCGGCGGTGGTGCGGTAACTGCTGATACTGCTGCTGTCGATGTTGCTGTTTTTGTCGTTGTCGTTGCTGCTGCTGCTGCTGCTGCTGCTGCTGTCACCGTTACTCCACCCGGAGGTTGTCTGTCCGGCGCGCTGGCGAGGTGTAATCCCTTCAGACCACGCCGGTGTTCGGCCCGCTCCACATCGACCCTCACGTCCCTCCACTTCCTCAGCAGCATCTTCGTCAAGGACTGAAACTCGAGCAGCGGGTGGGCGAGATCCTGCAACGCCGAACTCTGCAATAGGTCATACACCGCCTTGATGAGTCCCAAATCTTGCAACCGCTTGATGAACTTGGACCAGTCCTCCGTCGAGGAGGAACCTCCCCTGCCCGCCGTCGTGGTCGGGGCCGCAGCAGCAGCAGCAGCATCCCCCGAGACCACATCGCGTATGAGAGCATTAATGAGCATCAGGGCGTTACCGCACAGGGCGTGGTCGGCGGACCGCAGCTGGGCGATGACGTGCTCGAAGAACTGGGGGTAGACGGCGACGGCAGGCTTGAGGGCGCGGAAACCGAACGAGCCCGGGACGGCGGGGACGGCGCCGCGGCTGGTGCTGGACTGCGAGTGGCTGACGAGGGCCACTAGAATGGACATGGCGCCGCGGAGGATGTTGACGAGCGGGTTGGTGACGATGAGCTCGACGATGCGCTCGACCAGGTCCCCGGCGGCGGGACCCTCGAAGATATCCCATCCCATGTCCACCTCCAGTAACCTCGTCAGGCTCTGGAGGGAGTAGGCAAGCGTGTTCCCGCCGTTGGTCATGATGAGGCGTCGAAGGAGGACGAGGCCGCCGGAGGAGATGAAGACGTCTGCGAAGGCCGGGTCGTTGATGGAGGACTGAAGTTTGAAGACTGCCATTTTCCGGGCAACATCCTCGTCGCTCGCGAGCCGCGACAAGAGCGCGGGGATATCTGCCTGGTCCATGGCAGGCTATAAGGTGTCCACCAGAAAGACTACTGGATATTCTTGTTCTCTGGGTGATAAGACGCCGTAATGAGTCGAGGGGAGAGCCGGGATGGAAGGGTCGAGGATGATATCGTGGTGGAAAGGCGGCTTTATCGGCGGAGGAATTGGAAGTGTATGGGAGATATCGTCGTCGTGGAGCACCGTATTGTCTTCTTTTCGTTCAGCTGTCTTCCTGAGTGTAACGGTGACGGCGTTATTAAAATTATTATTATCCGATGGATCATGCAGTGTGATGGTGTTGAGAAGGACGATGTGAAGAAGGTACGCGATACAAAAAAGTCCAGGGGTAAGGCGACGCGGCGATAGCGATAGGCCAGTAATTGTGATTGGTCAATCAGGCCCAGAGCTACTCCCCGCGTTTTGAGTGGGGTCTTCCAAGATTACAAATCAGCCACAAGAACATGTCTCAGCCACGGACCGCTTACAGGTTACGTAACCAAGAGGTGGCGTAAAGCTACCTGTATGAATTTCTTCCTTGCTCCGTCGAGTCGCGATCCTTTGCTCTTGTAACTTTCTACCATCTCCATAACCCATCTCACCTTTGATAAGAGGGCAAGTTCGCTCATTCAACTCGCGCACCATTCTGCCCTTGCCCGAAAAGCGAGAGAATCTACGTTTTTTTATATTTATTATTACCATTCCTCTTCCATTCTCCGCAACAACCACATCTACGTTCAAGAGACGGCCACGTCCAATCCATCCGCATAATCCCCAAGGTATCCAACATGGCCAACTTCCTCGCCTCCATCTTTGGCACCGAGCTCGACAAGGTCAACTGCTCCTTCTACTTCAAGATCGGCGCCTGCCGCCACGGCGACCGCTGCTCGCGCAAGCACGTCAAGCCCTCCTACAGCCAGACCATCCTCATGCCGAACCTGTACCAGAACCCGGCCCACGACCCCAAGAACCGCATGAACCCGAGCCAGCTGCAGAACCACTTTGACGCCTTTTACGAGGACATTTGGTGCGAGCTGTGCAAGTACGGCGAGCTCGAGGAGCTAGTCGTCTGCGACAACAACAATGATCGTGCGTCAGCCTTCCCTTCCCCTTGCCTCCTTACATGTCCTACTAACACAATTTAAAAAAAAAAAAAAGACCTCATAGGAAACGTCTACGCCCGCTTCAAATACGAAGACTCGGCCCAGAAAGCCTGCGACGACCTCAACTCCCGCTGGTACGCCGCCCGCCCCATCTACTGCGAGCTCTCGCCCGTCACCGACTTCCGCGAGGCCTGCTGCCGCCTCAACTCGGGCGAGGGCTGCGTCCGCGGCGGCTTCTGCAACTTCATCCACCGCAAGGACCCCTCCGAGGAGCTCGACCGCGAGCTGCAGCTCAGCACCAAGCGCTGGCTCAAGGACCGGGGCCGCGACGAGCGGAGTCCCTCGCGGTCGCCCACCCCGGAGCCTGCTAGGAGACGGCACTGACAAATGAGTTGAATCGATGGATGACATATTGCTGTTACTACTGCTGTTACTACTACTACCTGTCTCTCCAGTGGGCAGAAAAGAAAAGGGAAAGGGAAGACGATGTATTCATGTTGCATGGGGAAGAAGGACCTCAAAGAAGCAAGGACGAAACCAAAGGATGGTCACATCACCCCCCCC